CAGTATTAGCAGCAAAGTTGGGACATCACCTGAGAAATAGGTCACTGTGTTTTTTTTAAGACCAGCTGTACCTGGTAAAATGTCAGCCTCATGACATCAGTGAGGGACAAGGGTCAGATGTTCTTTATTTTTTTAAAATGTCATTAACAGAAGCAATATTTCCCTTTTAAACCCCACAAAGACCAAGTCTAAATAAAGGCCACAGGGTCATGAGGAGAGTGAATGAGCTGCTTGGGGTGTGCCAGATTGGATGCCAGCCCAGGAAAAACCAGGGCCACAACAACAACAGATGAGCCTGCTAGCAGAGTGATTGATGAAATGTTAATGTGGAAAGGGACGATCCAGGGAATGCTTATCATGAGCTAAAACAGTCCTCAGAGTCATTGTTGAAGAGAAACGAAAGTGGCCGAAGGGGAGGATCACCAGGAGTCAGACAGCCATTAGTTTTCAAGGATGCAGTTAACGCCTTCGCTTTTGACTTGTGCAAAGAATAAAGTTATAGCTGACCTTTTTTGTTTGTCTGTAACTCTGCAAACAAAGATTTGCACTTTTCAAATGTGAATAATATATTTTATTGTTGCAGAAGAGAACCAATTAAGAAACAGATAAATCACTGTGGTTTTGCCTGGCACATATCATGTAGTTTTTGTATCGGATCATATCGTATCGCATCATATCGTATCGTATTGTACCATGTCCTATCGTATCATATCGTATTGTATCATGTCATATGGTATCTTATGGTAACGTACCGTGTCGTATCGTATCGTATTGTATTGTACCATGTCCTAGTGTATCGTATCATACCGTGTTGTATCGTGTCATATCAAATCATATGGTAACGTACTGTGTCGTGTCATGTCGTATCGTATGGTATTTATCGTACCGTATCATATCGTATTGTATTGTACCATGTCCTATCGTATCGTTTCTATTGTACAGTATCGTGTCGTATTATATGTTATCTTATGGTAACATACTGTGCCGTCTCGTTTCGTATCGTGTCGTATCTACTGTATCGTGTCGTATCCTATTGTATTGTACCATGTCCTATCACATCGTATCGTATTGGTATGTTTCGTATGGTAACATACCATGTCGCGTCATGTCAGGTCGTATCGTATCATATGTATCGTATTGTATTCTATCGTATCGTACCATGTCTTATTGTACAGTATCCCATCCTATCATATAGTTGTTTTTTTTTAATATAATGGAGATAAAGTCATGCATGAGGTATGATCATTGCCTGTAAGATATTTGAACTGCTCTTTGTATCATCAACCCTCTTTACTCTTTTTGATGATTTTCCTTTCTTAGTGGTTGTGGAAACAGTGATGTAATAAAAATAAAAAAAACTCCCTATCCTCTCATTTCAGCATATTTCTTTCCACCGCCTCTCAATGTCTGTCATCTTCCCTGGCGTTTCATTGTGTTCACCAAGGAAACTAACAGATTCAATTTAAGAAACGATGATTGTTAATTAAATTGATCCTTGTGCATGGCCTAGTGTGTCGTGGAAGGACCCTGAAAGGGAGAACAGATTCAGTCTTTGATCGCTGCTTTTGTTTGATGTTCGGCTCCTCTCTGAGGTGAGGTCAGTGTTTTGAATGGTGGGATTAATGGAGTAGGAAATGTACTGGAGCTGGATTTGTGTGAGCCTTTCATACAGAAGCCCACACAAATACACAACCAGTGGAAAAAAGGGAGTATTCAATCAGATTATTGCTGTGTTGTAGGTAAAACAAAGATGGTGGTTGCACAGTGATTTCACTGCAAAGGAGAGGAGTCTGCTGTTGATGTAGACAACCTACATTTAAAGCTAATAAACTTCATAGTGCATTTCCAAAATACATTACATTGCCCTTTTTTTTCTTGAATATATGAATATGTTTCAGATAATGTGTCCCGGGAGACAGAGCTTTGTACCTAAAGCTGAGAGTTTAAAGTGGAGTATTGAGAAGCATTGTGTCAATAACATTCTCCAACCTGCTGAGGATTAAGGGCTTGAGCATTCATCATTTCAGATGTGTAACAAGCCACTTGTTTGGCATGTATCTATTTGTTTAACACATTTTAGGGTCTCAAAATTGAGTATTTTGGCTATCAGCATGTTGTTTTTAATAAAAACAGGTGGAAGGTTGCCCTGTATATATTGTATTGAAGACTTGAAACAAGCTATGAAGGGTATATAATTATAGCGTATATTTCCTGGCACTGAATCAATGGTGGGGTCATTTTTATCATGGGCTTTTACGCAGCACTGCATCAAAGAAAGAAAATTTTATTTTTATAATTTAGTAAAGCAAAGTTCACCCTGTACTGTTCTGCAGTAATCTTCAGTATGCATGACTCACCCTGAACTTATTCTCATTTTCAGAGAACTTGTTGAAACTTACCAGAGTGTCAAACTGGCATATTTAAAACCACAGTTTGTTGAGTAAGGAGCAAAACATTTTCTTAAAAGAACAAACTGTACCTGAGATAATCTCTTTCCAGCCACAGGAATGCTCCCGATCGGCATTGTGGTGTCCAGGCGGTTGAAAACTTCTGTGTCGGCGTTAATTTACCTGGGAGGAGTTGGATTTGAAAAGAGTAATTGCTAGATCACAATCTCAATACTTCAAGATGAGAAAGCAACAAAGACAAACTGCAGGAAAAAAGGGTTTCTAAATTGTTTCAAAGCCCTCTTTCACATTTGATAGCCCCAGCACAGAACCTATTTCAAGTATAGGTTTGAGATCACAAATATGTCAGCTTGAGTTTATGGGATACAAGCAAAGTCTGTCAGTTGTGTCCTTGGGCAAGACACTTAACCTACTTTGCTCTCGGTGAGTGTCCTCCACTGGTGTATGATTGTGAGTGTTGTGTGGTGGTGGTCGGAGAGGCCGTAGGTGCAAACTGGCAGCCCCTTTTTGTCAGCCTGCCCCACAGCAGCTGTGACTACTAAGGTAGTTTACCACCACCAAGGTGTGACTGTGTGAGTCAATGTATCCATTGTAAAGTGCTTTTGAGGGTCTCTGATGAAGCGCTACATAAAATCTGATGCATTATTATTATTATTATATTTTCTCCTTGTGCTCATTTCAAACAGAAACTTTGTAATATTTGTTATAATGAGTCTGTATTTGCCTCTTTTATCGCAAAAGAAGATAAGCCGCACACATGTAGGAAATTCTATGAGAGTTTGTTGTGGCTGTGTGACTATTTTAATCTCTTAAAATAGGTCATTTTAAAAAAGGCAAGCCCAAATAGTTTCCTCAACAGCTGGAGACTGTATGATGGCAACGTAACACAAACATGACTAACTCTGCAATGATGTGGACTACTTTGTAATAGGGTTTTGTACACATTTGGTTCCAGTCTTTTTATGGCAGTAGGACAGTGTGCATTAGATTTACTCCAAGCTTCAGAACACTTTCAGAATACAGAAACCATAGCAAACGTTACCCTGCAAACTCTGAGTTATATGGAATAAATGATATACTACTGTCGCCTAAATTCCCTAAATACGATAATAAAACGATGTAAGCATTACAACAGATGAGCTAATAGGTTGTAAGATACTGGTTATGCTTGTTGTCGTATTTTTGTTTACCAAATGTTGGCTCCATGTTAGACAATGACATCATTGCCAAACCATAAAATTCACATCATGCTTTCAGAAATCGATGATGTATTCTCTTTCTGATGTGATGGTAACTTCTCTATTTCACTGCTAACCAATCAAACTGCAGAGGAAGCGGCGCTCTCAACCAATGGCAGGCCTGCCGTCACCGGTCTCTGGTTGCTATTTATGTCGGTCGGCGCTGCTGATACGTCAAGTTTGAACTTTTCAAACAGTAAGACCGGAAGTTGATAGATTTTTTGTCTATTTATTTAAACAATTTTGTACACTCAGATTACCTTATTTTTAAAAGTCGTCATATTTCTTCCACTTTTGCTTTTTCTTGTTTTAATTCACTGTAAACTACATAAAAATGCAATCAAATAGCTGATTGATAGATTATTTTCTATATTACTTTTATCATATAAGTTGGTTTGTAAATTCAAAGGTTGATAGTGGAATTGATGTCGACTTAGGAACTTGTTCCCTAGTAGCTACTAGGGCTGGGCGATGAAACGATAACAATATATATCGAAAATTAATTACCCTCAATATCAATTTAAAACATGGTCAATATGCTTTTCAATAGTTGGCATTCTGCCATGTTTTGGTAGACTATACGAATAGCCAATGAAAAGATGACATCATTAACAACACTGGCACGAAAATATTGGTGGCTTGAAGGTATTTTGGTTTTTTGAGGTCGGACATGAAGCGGAGTAATGTGCCATTCAGTCTGCTTTCTCTAGTGCAACGCCTTATGACAAAACGTCACAGACGCAGTAGCTTATTGTGTTGCAAAAGACATGCTAATTATCACTGTTAAATTTTATTTTTTATATCATGATATATATCGATATCGACTGATATGAAAAACATATATCAAGATAAACTTTTTCCCATATTACCAAGCCCTTCCTAGCACTTACATGCTTTTGAAAAAGCCTTCTTCATCAAAAACATAATCCTCTACGTCAAATTAGAGTCAATTATGAGCTTTTTCTTTTTCAAAGAAACTGGATAGATGATCAATAGCTTTGCAAGACATCCAGTGTAGTGTCTAAATAGAAGTCTTGAAGCTTTTATTCTGAAGGTCAAACCGGATGTTCTATATTTTACTATGAGCTTCTGGGTGAAATTTAACTTCAGGGTGGATCACCAACTGACGTCTCTCCCTCCCTCCTTTTCGGTTTCAATTCAGTCAAATCATAGCGACCTGGCAGCCAGAGGCACTTACATGCGTCTTTGGACAAGAGAAACCAAATCTCTTTCTGTTGTCGCTTTTTAACCCTTAAAAGAGACGAGGACACCGGGATTGTCATCTGAACGAGGTCAGCTTCAAACCAACGCGTCGGTAAACGAACTGCGGCCCCCCTCCTTAAATCCCACAGAGATGGACGAAAAGGTGTTCACAAAAGAAATTGATCAGTGGATCGAGCAGCTGAACGAGTGCAAGCAACTGACGGAGGGACAAGTGAAAACACTATGTGAAAAGGTGAGGTATTTAAGAGATTTCTTTTCCTCTCTCGACCCCAACTTACTGTCAATGTCTTCGCCCCCTTACCGACGCCTTCCAGACATTCTTAAAATGGCGTCTATAGTGTACATTTCACCGCGCTGCGCTTAAATGTAAAAACATTAGTATTGAATTGTTGTCTGTTAAGCACTTAGAGAGTATGTGTATTTGGGAAAATACTCGAAATGGGGATTTGGGAGCCTACCTTGTTTGTATGAGCGGATTTAGAGGCCATGCAGGGTTGACCATACTGTGAATGCAAGTCACATACCACAGTCAGAGCCGAGCCCCTTCAGTCTGTCACTGTGACCGGCAGCCTTATCAGTGGTAGTAAAAAGACACTTAAGACCTTTAAATTACTGTCCTAACATCTGGGCTGTAATAGAAGAGAAAAGTGCAGCTGGTAGCAAACTTGTGCTTCATTTAAGAGGCCTTTATACCGAAGTCCCCATCCATACACCTGCTGAGTCAGACAGCATTGTTTGTTTACATCTATGTCTCATATTGATTCAAAGTTGTGTGCAAATACTTTCATGATAAATCTCCACTACCAAGTATGGATATATTGGAGTAAATGTAACAGTGATTTTATGTAAAGAAGCAACATTTTCTCCCTTGACATGTGCAGATTTAATCTAACTGGACTGAAAACAAATGGTTTTGCTTTTATTCCCTTTTATAGCAGTAAGATGAGCTCCAGCCATTTCTCAGATTAAAGCTCCCGTGAGGGTTTTGTAAGCTGGTTCGTAAACAAACTTGAATTCACAGTGATGCCTTTTTATGATGCCACAAAAGTAAACAAGACTTCACTTTTTAAAGCCTGTTAACCTCTGCGATCATGGTTGAATCTTGAACCCTTAATGCTTAAAGCAAATACTCACAAAATGAACATATTACTTTTTCAGTGGTATAACAAGCCTAAAACAGCCTTCATACCCCATGAGTATGTTTGTAATTGTAGCTTTAAAAAGGTTGATAATTGTTTTGATATAGATTAGATAAACTTGATGAGTCATCCTGTTTTCATGTGTACTAAATGATGACACAATATTTTTCACATGGTCAGCGACGGCTCAAGTTAACCCCTGACCCCTTTTATTTCACATGAGATGTATGACTGGTCTGTTTACAAGCCTATAAAGACATAAGTTGACACGCTTTAACATGACACTATATGAGTGAATTGTTGACATATTATAAGAAAAGATTACTCATGAACTCTTTATTTGTAACTTTTGCCCTTTTATTGGTCTGTTTACTAGTCTATAAAGACACCAGGTGACATGCTTAAACATGAGTGAATTGTTAACATATAACTTTTCAACTTTTGCCCTTTTATTGGTCTGTTTACCCATGTTTTTGTATAATTTTGACGTATTTCAAATCGTTTTAAAGGTCATTAAAGGCAACCTGAAGCTTAAGGGCATTATCACTCCTATTTAATGTCTAGACTTTTCCTCCAACACTGTTATTCTTGTGCCCACAGAGTAGTTGTCAGCTTATTGTGGCTTTGACCTTTCGGCCACTTAACTGGATGTTTCTTGTTCTTCTTCCCGAGCCAGGAGACACATGATCTCACGAGCTCCTCTTACTTGTTCCTATTGTTCGAACACTAGCGCACAATCTAATATCAAAATGTTCATATTCATGTCTGTTTTTGCCAACACAAGCCTTTGCTGCATCTTGTGACTGCACCGGTCTGAGCTGGAGCTTAACCCCAATCTTTGCTCGGGATCCTTTCTGCTCACACCACCAGCTGATTCCAGAGATGTCTGAGCTTAGCGGTAAATAATAATCACTCAGAGACTTTTAAGTGACTCTTAGTTTGTTCACTTTAGAAATCCTGTCAGTGTGTAGTGGTTTAATCCACTGCAAATGTTTCTGACTTTCAATCTAAACACTGCGAGGGTTTAACTCTCACAATAGAGGCTAAAACTGATGTCAGATGTTTCAGTTTTTAGTCATTAAATGTGATTTTCAGTCCATAGAGCTTCTGTTTACTGAAAATCTTGTATGAAATGAAGAATGCTTTGAATAGCTTGTGGGTATTTGGAGGATGTGAGTTAAAACGAGGACCACCCTGACGCAGGAACTGCACGTGTAATGGTGCCTTTCTTCCCTGTTGCTATTCCTGCCACCGCGTCCTCCTCCAGTCCGACAAAAATGCCACACAAGTAGTCAAGAGAGGAAAACGGAAAGCTCAGTTTTCTCTCCCGAGGCTGTGTCATTATCACGGCTTATGAGCTCCAAACTGCAGTCGTCTACCTGCAGTTGTCCTTACATCTCCCTATGACTTATGTTAATACATCCACCGCCCACGCCACATCCCCCCTCATTTAAAAATAGCCGAGGATATGATTGATTTCGGTTGCATCACTAACACAACCAAAAGCCATCGCTGCCAAGCCGATCGCAGAGTGTGACTCAGGATAACACGGTCCATTGTGAGTCACAGAGCAGCCGTCTCTGTTTTGGGATGCATGGGGGTGTGGAGGAATGAGATGTGCTGTGTAATTTGTTCTCAGCCTTTTCATTTCGGCTTCCCAGGGCTGAATGTACCAGAGGGTCTGCCTGCTGCGTCTTGTGCAGAGAGAGAGAGAGAGAAGCGAGCTCTTACTCGCCTTGACTCCATCACTAACACTGTGAATGTTTCAGTTTTTTACCGCTGCAGAGTGTTCCCTTTCCCAGAGCGCCAGATGTTTGTTTACCGAGCGGTGAAGTCATCTGTTTGATCATTTAATAATGTTTAATCTCGCTGCTGCTATATTTAAACCGAGGCTCTGCAGACAGTGTTCTCTTCCATGGAAATTACCTTCATTTTCCTGCCAATTACAAGAAGCATAATTCACTTAATGCTGAACATGTTTCTCAGACAGAGGTATCCTCCTCATGACCTTTAGTTGTCCAGAAATAAACCTTATCCACGTTACATAACTATTCAGATATTGTTTTTTTTTACTTGTTTATGTCTGTGCTCGTTCTGTTCCCATATGAGGCACAGTCCAATAACCTTGTTAGGCATGATCCAGGCCCTGGTTGCATGAGGACCTAGCGGGTAAGAAGACGTTTGTTTATGAGATTCAGGGGGAACGTTTGAGCTTCCTCTCAAAAAATTGAAGTTACGTGACTTCGTTGAAAGTGTGTCACGGTGACGTAATAAGTCGGTCATGTTGGGAAAGATGCCCCATTTACCGGGGGTGAAGTCGGCGCAGCTAATAACGCTATCTATGTGTGCGCACTGAGGTCACCGGTGAGTCGGTGAGAAAGGCAGGCCGCTCCGATCCTTTTTATATTCCTGCTGCAACATCTGACATGGCAAACTAAATGTATCATCATTATTCATTCAGCAGAGTTCAAATCAGAGCAGAGAGTGCAGCAGCTGCAATACCATAAAAAACAGTCAAGACAGATCACATACACACAAAGGTATGCAGTAATAATAAATAGTTTCTGTGACTGAAAGCTTCTCCCAGCCAAGTTCACAAACCGGAGTCAAAGCTGACAAGCAAACACAATGTGCCCTCGCATGGCTGCTGCCTGTGGTGGTTTTTCCCCCTGATTATAGAGCTGTCGTCAGGAAGACGCTGAACTTTTAACAAGCATGCTCACCTCAACAGTGAGGTCATTGTTTGCGGTTGTACTTTTGTGTACAAGTGGAGCTTAACGCGCTCCCAGTTGTCTCCTGAAGGACCTTTGACTGGGTTTTACTCACTTTAATGGGATTATATTGCGGCAGGCGGGAAAGCGCTGACTTGACTTCTCGGCACTGGGCTAAGCATTTTAGTGAGCGTGTGGCTGTCTGACGTCTTGGTCTGAGCTGTAATCTGGGCCAAGGTTCCCTCCCTTCAGCTTCTCTGTGGCATTTCTGCTACAGGTGTGGTCTGTACTTTGGGTGAGGTGCTTACGTAAACTCTGCCGTCATCCTATTCATTCACAGCTGGGCTGGCATCCACAGGACCAAATACAGGCTTAACCTGGCAGTTATGATACGAAGTCGTCCGTTTGACCTGAGCACAACCTCTGAAGTGTTTACAACAATCAAACAGCAGTCGAGGTGAAAAGGTCGGCGTGTTGGGAGAATTGACAATAGACGAAGAATTCATAACTCGTGTTTGTTTGTCACAAACCAAAGTGAACATGACCCGAGTCAAAATCAGCTGATTCTCTACAGGGAACATCTGATCTGTTATATAACATACTCCCCATACGTACAGTTCAGTGTACGGTTTCAGAGGTTAGTTACTGTGTCATGCACAGACCAGGCAGCTCGTCAAGTGGGTCCTCATGAATAATGTGTGGAGGGAACCGCACTGAGTCATATGTCTTTGTTTTGAATCTTCTACGTGTTTTTGCACTCATTGTTTCTTCAGCCTTTATAGGGAAGTGCCCCGATGAGTAATTGTTTTAATGTCAATCAGTAAGATATGAGAAATTTATTTTCAGCAGAAGCAGCAGAGGAGGTAAAGCTGCGGTAAAGCTCAGTTTTTTACTTGTTTATTCAGTTTCAAACATCCGTTCCAACATTTTAAAAGTTACCTGCTCGTGAGTCCTCAAAAGAGATCTATTATGCTCATTTTCACCTTTTATACATTTTCATTCTACCGTCTTATTTACCTCATACTTGCTGTGCTCTGTGAAAAAATCCTCACTTCATCTAGAGATGTTCTGATACCAGTTTTTCCCTCCCGATAGCGATTCAGATACTTGTGCTGTGGGTATTGGCCGATACCGATTATCGATCTGACACCAGTATGTTATAAAAAAAATATCATACCAGGCCTGTATGTCTCTGATAGGATTATCATTGTGATAAGGTCTGGCTCAGGTTAAACCCTTCTGTAAAACACAAATAAATTCAGCAAATTTATTTTTAAATAGAACTGTATAAAAGACAGCAAATGCAATTGAACTAAATAAATGTAGGGATATTTATTTTTAATAGAATTAAAGTGCAGCCACAATATTTTTAAATAACAAAAGAAATTTAAACAGAGTAACGGAGCTAACGGGTAAATAAATTGCGTGGTATCAGATAGGTGCCTGGACTCCAGCAGTCGCCGATACCAATGCCAGGATTTTCGGCAGTGTCAGAGCAATTTCCAATATTGGTATCATAATCGGAACAACTCCAATTTCAGCTCAGTTCAGCCTCTGCCTGGAATAATAGGTTTTGGCTGCCTCACTACTGATATGTAAAGTTAAACACAACTTGAAGATGTGATGAAATGACCTGATAACCTAACCGCAGAAGTTATCAGAAGACAGCCATGACTCGCAGTATCTTGGAAAGGCCGAGGAAAAATTAAAATACCTTCTGAGTGGGCGTGTCCTTGAAAGAGCTGCCAGGTGTGCACGTCTTTTTAATGTTGTTTTAATAGGATGGCAAAGCCTGACATCAGGTTCAGGTCGAGTGTGGCCAAGTTCTTCAAACAAGCTGTTCAGAGAAGTCAGAGGACATGACTGTGCCAGCATCAGGATGTCACCAACTTGAGGTTTGCACATGGAGTGGTAGACTGCTGTGTATTGCGATTGTTCGGTTGTTACTGAAGTTGGTATGATTAAAGAAGCAAGCAGTCGGCAACATCCATCTCTCAAGGAGGTGTCTAACTCTGTGTTACGGTGTGTTTGACCCTAAGTTAATTTTACACCGGAATATCCCTTTAGAGTCATGTTAAAATGACGAACTGTTGGTAGAGTTTGTTAAAGCATTCATGCCACAGAAACACGCATTACTAGTTGGTTTTCATTCATTCAGGTAGTTGTTATTTAATTTGTACCCACTCCCAAGTGTGTGTTGACTTGATGTTGCACTAAAAACCAAACGTATACTGAGGATAACTGAGGGTTTAGTATTAAGATGGGTCCCAGACAGGCTGACCCAGCTCTCTGAACATGCATGTGTGTTTATTCAGCCTCCCCATATTTCTCATTTCTGCTCAGGGCGTGATTAGTAGGAAGGGATGAAAGTGTAGTGCTGCTGCTGCTGCTCCACTTTAATGCAGACACAGAGAATATTCTGTCTCTTTAGGGAGCTGAAAGCCCTGGTCAATCTGTCATTGAAAGGCCTTCTGCCACATGGTTGTAGGGACACGTGTTGGGCGTGTGTGTGCAATGTAGGTCAGCATTGTGCAGCTCTGCAGTCCAGTCCTGGTCACTCTGGCTCTGTCTCTCTCTCTGTCCCATCTGCTGGGGTGACGGGGCAACATCAACACTCTGTCAATGTCGGTTCTGTCTTTCTCTCTCACTAATGGGGACGGTGCAAAAAGACAAAGGCTTCTGCTGCTGCTGCTGCTGCCACAAACAACAATACTGGGTCACTTAGTGGACAGCAGGAGTAGTTTGTTTGATTAAAAAGTTAGAAAAGGCTTTGAATGAGTAATATTTCAGTATGCACATAACACAAATACTACAGCTGTAATACCTGTCATGGACGCACAATGAGCTTTTCTGCCTAATCTTGAATAATCATATGAAATTCTCTCTAAAAAATGACTTTTTCATTGTTTTTTTTTTAGCTTTCTTTGGTTTTGTTGATGTCTCTCTTACCCTCGCCCCACGCTAAAGACATGTCTGGGGGTCATTTAGCTCAGAGCACTTCTCCCTCAGCCTTAAGGATTTGTGGGCTTCAAAGCTCCTTAAAAGAGCTCAACCAGCTGACGGACCCCTTAGTGTGTGACCAGCCTGCCAAAGACAGGCTGACTCCAGGAATAGGTCTTGTAGTGGGTCTCCACTTCTAATGTTAGGAGCACCTCGAAGAGCTCTCCTCCTATTTTTAGTTTTGTTTCTATTTCGCACTGTAGCAACAAAGTGGAAGTATTCACAAAGGTGGCTCAATCACTGTGAGCCTGATTTAGAAGAAAATGGACAGGTTTTTCTTTTTATGATTTAAAAACAATGAAATGTACTCTTCTACCATGTCTTAAATGATCTCACAGTGCATGAAACACCGAGAGAGAGACGGCCTTTGAGCTAACTTTGGTGGTCGTTTTAACAAAGACAAGGAGGGACACAGAAAAACGTTTATTTACCTGCATCATCTGTCATTTTTAAAATCACTAGCTGTAGGCTACTAAGTGAGTCATTCACTGTTTCAGCCACTTTTAGACTACACCATCATGAATAATGGGTCCTCAACCAAGAAAAACAGTTTGGACTGTTCTACTGTTGGATGAAGAGGCTGACTGTTGTGTAGGGCTGGGCGATAAAACAATAATGACATATATTTAAAGTTAATTTCCCTTGATATTGATGTGAAACCATAGACTGTATATACTATGGACAACTTGGTTCCGCCTCCCGCCAGTATACGGATTTGAAGCCAAATAGCTCTCAGTATTTCTGCGTTTTGTCTTTATTTCCTGAAACCAACATTGCGCAGTAGCGTTGTATGCATTCCTCGGGAGAGTCGCCAAGAGTCGCTGTGATGACGCTTATTTAAGAGTATCACGGAAAATTTAAGATTGACAAGTGATTTTTTTTATATCGTGATATATGTATATCGACTGATATGGGGGAAAAAAATAGCGTGATAAACTTTTTCCCATATCGCCCAGCCCTACGGTTGTGCTGCCATACCCTCCAAGTTGTAGCCAAGTCCTTTTGAAATTAATAATTAGAGGAAACCGAGTCCTTCAGCCAAACACTCTAGCAGGCATTTTGCTTTCTGTTTACTGTACAAATTGATTCTCAAAATTTTAGCTGTGCAACAAGAGCTGCCTCTCCAGGCCCACTGGAAACTTCGACACAAATGCACACAGCCATACAGAGAGAGAGCGAGCTGAGGCTCATTTCCTCTGGGAGATTATGGTGGGGATGCTGGGGGTTGTTTTGTAATCACTGTGCAGCATCTTAATACAGACCCCACTGTAGGCTGATGTGGAAATTGTGCAGAGCAGTCGGCCGGAAACTGTCCCTGAAATAAAGATGGAGAACAAACAGGCGCAGAGAGAATTACAGAGTACAGAGCATGTAATCACGGTGCCGGATCACACAGCTTGTTCTTGCATTTTAATTAGCAGAGCAGCTGATACAGAACAAGACACATCAGTGGAAAACTCCTTATTTGGGATGTTTCAAACCACTTTTTTTCACACTTTTTGAACTAAATGTTTGTGTTGCTTGTTTTTTTTTTTGCAGGCAAAAGAGATCCTAACTAAGGAGTCAAACGTCCAGGAGGTGAGATGTCCGGTGACGGTGTGTGGCGATGTGCACGGCCAGTTTCACGACCTCATGGAGCTGTTCAAGATCGGAGGGAAATCTCCAGACACAAACTATTTGTTCATGGGAGACTACGTAGACAGAGGGTACTACTCTGTAGAAACTGTCACTTTACTAGTAGCACTTAAGGTGAGTGAAATATTTGAGTCCTCACACATTCAGAACTGAATATCCCGCTTCAAATGGAAAGGATTTACTGACGGTTCTGTTTTGCGGATGCTTTAGGTACGCTTTCGGGAGCGCATCACAATCCTTAGAGGAAACCACGAGAGCAGACAGATCACACAAGTATACGGCTTCTATGACGAGTGCCTAAGGAAATACGGGAACGCCAATGTTTGGAAGTACTTCACAGACCTGTTTGACTATCTCCCCCTCACTGCCCTGGTAGACTCTCAGGTGAGACTGAACTTAAGCTCCTCAGATAAAATAAATGCTGACCCAACATCTAAAAAAACAACAAGTGAAGTTTTATGTTGCAGAAATTGAAATAGAAGAATGATTTTTAACAAAACTCCAATTCTTTCTCTCTCTTTGCTTCAGATTTTCTGCCTTCATGGAGGCCTGTCACCGTCCATAGATACTCTGGATCACATTAGAGCTCTGGACCGTTTACAGGAGGTGCCACATGAGGTAAAGACAATAATGAGTGTGTGGATTAAACAATGAACACAGGAGAGGAAAACAACAAGATAGAGTAACATGATCACACCCATTAGCCAAAAGGAGAGTCATGTGACAACAGTATTGTTTTGCTAATAGAGAGCATGGATGACCTAAATGTCCTCCTCTCCCTTGGTGTCCTCCACAGGGTCCCATGTGCGACCTGCTGTGGTCAGACCCTGATGACCGCGGCGGTTGGGGCATCTCTCCTCGAGGAGCCGGCTACACCTTTGGCCAGGACATCTCGGAGACCTTCAACCACGCCAACCGCCTCACCCTGGTGTCCCGTGCCCATCAGCTGGTTATGGAGGTGGGTGTCAAATGACATACACAGTTTGATTGCAGAATCACAGAACCACTGCTCTATCAGCTGTGAGCAGAAAAGTTATGTTGTTTGTCGTGTACTTCTCAAGTATGATCTGTTTAGTTTCCATCTCTGACCAATGTTGCATCTATTTTTCTCAGGGTTACAACTGGTGTCACGAGAGGAATGTGGTGACAATATTTAGCGCCCCCAACTACTGCTACCGCTGTGGCAACCAGGCAGCTATCATGGAACTAGATGACACCCTCAAATATTCATTGTAAGTATAACTAAAAGCTCTGATGTTGATTTGGTTCTTCAAAGTGTTGCATTTTTAGTCAACAAATCTTCTTTCCCTCTCTTTACCAGCTTGCAGTTTGATCCTGCGCCTCGCAGAGGGGAACCCCATGTTACTCGTCGCACCCCAGATTACTTCCTGTAAAGTCTGACCCCTGTAAAGTCAGGTCCAGTTTTTTGCCATGATGTATGATCAACCGATAACAACATGACTGAAGAAGGGGAGGATGGGACACCGGGTGGGAGGGTGGGGCTACACAGCAGTGCACATTGTATATCCACACGAAGACCTATTTAAACAGTTAGGGAAAACAATGTCTGTGTGTCTATGAATGGACCAAAAGGTATGTGCCATAATCATTACAATTTTCATTGCTGAGGACTTGTATTGAAACTCTCCACTATGTAAAACAACAGTGAAGTATGACTTCTCATCCTGTACCTGTGTAGCTGGACGGATGGCACCGAGGTCCAAGTTGGAAATTTGCAACCTCCAATGTGGATGTTTGAACCCCACACGCCATGGCTCTTATTTAGGAGATCTGAACATGATCTGTTTGCACTTTTGTAAATCTTAAGAAATGTAACATATGTCAAAAAAATGAAAATTATTTCACACTAAAGATGTTTTTTTTTTTTTTTCTTTTTTGATTTTTTAAAAATTACAAATAAAGCCCCCATCAGGCAAGTTTTACAGACAAGTTTTACTTTTTGTTTGGTGTAACTTTCAAGTACAACTCTTTCTTTTTTTGCAGTCACACAGCTTGGTGTATACAATAGACAGATGTGTTCATCCACATCAACTCACTGACTCCCTCTGAAGTAGAGTCTGTATTTAACAAACCATTTGAATAATAAAGACGAAGGTGGCTCCTTGATTGTATTGTGCTTCTTTCTTTTTAATGATTACACTTCCTCTTATGCATGACGTAATCTCAAATTCAACTTTGTTTGTATGGCACTTTTCAGACAAAAAGATGTAGTTCAAAAAACAACAATTGAACAACAATAAAACCCGACCCTCCCACCGACACACACAAGTGCACACAAAGTGAGAATTTAAGATATATTGTTTAAGAGACATGGCCTGACACCGAGACATTACGTAAGGAAAGAGCTACCTCTTGGAAACACTGGAGATGAAGATAAAAATGGTAAAAAGAAAGACTAAAACCTGACAGACTAAAAGCAGGAGAATAATGTTAAATGAACAGATAAGTAAGAGCTCTTTACCATGTAAAAGGGGTTAAAAAAAAAAAAAAGGAAAAACCTCTATGACGAGAATAAAGAAAAAGACAAAGAACGGAGATAATTAATAAAACGACATAAAAGAAACATTTAGAACTTCGATTAAAATAAAGTTGCGTGAAATTTGGCATTATAGTCTTGCTTTGGTGGTCTCTTGACATGTAATTAAATGCTTTTAATGGGACCAACTGAGGTCAACTAGCACTGAGTTCTACAACAACTGTAACAAAACTTTGATGTATGTTGAGATACCTTATCTATTATAAAAACCTCCTATTCTAAATCAAATACACACTAAAAGTAGAGATTTTTTAAATACAAGTATGTTCTATCATGATGCATCATTAAGGTCAACTAGAATTATGATAAAAAGGACGTCAATATTTTTGAATGGTTTCTTTCAAGCGTATTTTTCCGTGCATAAACACAAAAGACTCCAAAAGGTCAGTTTATGTCCTCCTGCTGCTGCTGTTTAAGTTCTGCTTAATTTCATAGTAGAAACAAAAAAAAAATCAGGGTATATTTTCATGATTATGAACAAAAAGCACCAGTTAAACATTTAAGTGACAAAAATGTGAAACGAAAGATTCCTGTTGGAACTCAAATGCACCATAATTCCAGGTTGGGAAGTGCCTGTAGTGAGGATAAAGCGCCATCCTCTGGTAGCTGTGAGACTTTTCATTATAAATTCTCTTTTCTGTTCAACGAGTTTAACATAAAATTGAGACATTTATACGTGCATCTGACATGCATACAGCCTGTGGTCAATTTCTAAAGTCTGCAATATGATAATGATTAAATGCCCAACCTGTATACATCCGTGAATCGTTTTTATTCATTTTTTTATTTTTTGTAAAAACGACAGACACAACACACTTTTTCTATCAGTAAGTAAGCCAGTGAGGTGAATTATGGTTGATAATTAATGGTATAGGGGAGAGTAGGGTAAGTTGAGCCAAAGGGTAAGTTGAGCCACCCCCTGTTGCTTAGAAATGGTAAAAGAAATTGATCATGTGACCGAATATTTAGGAGATGGGCATCAATTCATGGAGTCTGTGAAGGTTAGAAGCACATGGGTGAAGGGGTTAGACATTTATTTACAAAAAAACATTTTTCACTCTTGAAAGTGAATTTAGTCTGTCATCAGTTTTATTAGAATTGTGTTCAAACCAAAAAAAGATCATTTTAAATTTGTTTTATACATCAATTGTGGTATCGATGAGCTGCAACATGAGGTCAAAAACCTAACATAAAAGTCCACCATTTTAGCTTAGAGGACTAATAAAGTCATAATAGTAGTTCTGGGGTAAGTAAAGAAGTCTGATGAGAGGATCAGAGTTTCAGTTCAGATTATTTAAATGTTTTACTTTTTCTTTCCAAAAATACAGCTGTGAATGTTCTGAATCACTTAAAGACATTCTCATGTTAAAATGGCTTTTTACAAAACAGCTTTTTAGCAGTTATATGCAATAATAATAAAAAGAGTTATTGTACCAGTTGAATAGTGTATAACAGAAAAAAAATTCACATATTATTTAGGGAGAGAGAAGGTGAGGGAACTTACCCCGCTCCTAAGGTCAACTTACCCCATACATGGGGTAAATTGACCTTAGGAGACCATTTTTTTTGGCATGCCTTATTATCAAGACAGTTATGTTTACACTCATTCTGTTGGTTTTCAGGGATGCACAACATCTTGAATTATATGTAGATACACTAGTTAGAGACAAAAATATGATTGTCTTGATGTAATGATCCAAAATAGGAAAAATGGCTCATCTTACCCCACTCTCCCCTACATATCCATGAATCGTTTTTATTAGTTTTTTATTTTTTTTTGTAATAATGACAAACACAACACACTTTTCCTATCTTAAAGTAAACCAGTGAGGCAAAATATGGCTGATAATTAATGGTGTAAGTCAACCAGGCATAAACATCCTCTAATAAAACAGTTATTTTGTTAAATCACAAGGAGGTCACCTATAAACTGAACATGCTTTTCTGCATCGACTGTGTTTTTTTTTTTACATTTTATTTTATTATTATTATTTACCAGCTTTGGGGTTATCTAGACCAAACCCAGGAAAAGTCAACAGGAACGGCCGCCCCCCTTCCTCCTCCTCTCCTCCCCAGCCCTCGTCCCCTCCAGGCGGAGCCTCTCAGGTGGATGATCCGCAGACTTCCAGCCTTCTCTCGGTATCTTCGCGTCTGTCTGTTCGGCCCTCTACTGTTGACTACAGAGGACTTCAACCTCTGGATCTGAGTCCAAACATTAACGGTACGTAGTTTCTCTGCGTGAAGTTTCTTTCTTAAACACATTTGTTCCCGTTTCTCGCAGAGGTTTTCTCCTCTTGTTCATGTTTTTGTCTGAGTAGTCTGGATGTTGTTGCTTAGAGGCCTTCACGGTATCGCGGCGCGCTAGCATTGTGCATGGTAATGCTAGCTACCTCATTCGCGTCTCTTTTTACCAATATTATCGGGTTGAATTGGCAGTGAAGGCGCAGAATTTAGTTTTAAAAAGCGCAAAACTGACTCTTTATTTTTAGCGTAAATAAATTCCCCTTTAATTTGTTTATGGACCCTGTATAGGAAGGTAGCTACTTAGTTAGCATCTCCGCCGTTTAGCTTCGTATTAACAGGTGGCTAGCAAATATCGTCGTTAGCTAGCGCAAAGGTAAACCAATCGTTAAAATAATACAAACATAACGGGGGTAACTTTGAGTTTATTGTGTCTACTGTTGTGAAATCTGGTGTAAACTCATTGTTTATAGTGGGAGAATTAGTCACCTCCATAGCAGGTCAATATTAGCTCGGTTAGCTGTAGCATCATGAGACGTATAATCACTATTAGCTGTCAATGTAGGTAACAAACAGGTCAGTGTTTCTTCAGCGTTTTAAGGTATTTAACTCGTGGCTTTTCTGTAGTATAACATAAATATGTACAGAGTTTAAAGAAAAACCAATAACAGACAAAATGACAGGGGGTTAAACGAACCTGCCAGGTGTCAGTAAATATGAAGAAAAACAGAAACAACAGCAAGGAGAGACAGTCAATCAGGATATCTGTTTATAGAAGGAGGCAGAATTTGACTTATATACTGTATGTTTAATAAGTTGTCTGTTTTTTCCTGACAGATAATGCCCACAATAAAACTACAGAGCTCTGATGGGGAAATCTTCGAAGTGGATGTTGAGATTGCCAAACAGTCTGTAACCATTAAGACCATGTTAGAAGGTAAGTGATTGTAAACTCTATGATCTTCTCTCCTAACATCATATCACTGGTAATCTTAGAGATGTGAACTCAGGTCGTTGAATATTGGACTAATGATATTCACTGTTTCCATGACAGATTTGGGAATGGACGATGAAGGAGACGATGATCCAGTTCCCCTCCCCAATGTAAATGCTGCCATCCTTAAGAAGGTACAGAACAAATACACCATTACAGGACTTGACACTAACTTTTTTCACAAGGAGCACATGTCCTCCTAAGTTGAAAGAGTAAAGAGCACATGAAGAACTTTAATTTAACTTTAATTTAAGCGATCAAGTAATGTTTGTCTTATTGGCCGACATAAGTACTATTATTATTAGTAGTAGTATTAGTCCTTTTGGTCATGTGACATGGAAGCTATTGAAGGAAAACAGCCATTTTTGAGAACATTAACTGGTAATTTATTGATGGTCCCTTATTCAACACCCGACGTTGACAGCGAGGATGCTGAGTAGATTTAACCGCGCTGCTGTTGCCATTCCCGGTTATGGAGAGTGAGAAGACCCCGGTAGATCCACAGTGAATGTCAGTCGAATATCCAACCTAAAACTAACTTCACCGCGGTATTTACATGAAAACACATTTGTTGCCTGGGCGAATTTTTTTATGCGCACATGTGCCTTTAAATACATTATTTTACAACTCGCACTCATCTATTTTTAGTGAAACGGTCGCACTGTCGAGCCCTGCATTCATCAGATTGTGTTTTTGAGTGTCTACTGAACTATGAATGGAAAGTGGTCATACTCTAATCCTTCACAATCGAAGTTTCTGGTTGTTAGAGCTAAATGGCTGAAAAAATAATCCGGCACCTAAGAGTATGTTGGTTTTTCCTTGCCCTCTGGTGAAACTATGATCCTGTCTTTTGCGTGGATGGAAGCTGTGTACTTTTATATTTTCAAGTGGGATCCTTTAATGAAACTTTGTGTGTGTTTCAGGTGATTCAGTGGTGCACCCATCACAAAGATGACCCCCCTCCTCCTGAGGATGATGAGAACAAAGAGAAGAGGACAGATGACATTCCTGTATGGGACCAGGAGTTCCTCAAAGTGGACCAAGGCACCTTGTTTGAACTTATTCTGGTAAATACAGCAAGTACCTTCATAACACATTTACATGACACTGAAATGGTCATTTCCCAAAGGTTTGCACTCACTTTTACTCACTGGCATTTGATCCGCTACATGAACTGAAACCAAAAGTACAACTATCGTTTTTGATGGTCAACAGTATTACAGATTGTGTCTTTTATTTTTTAGAGTTTCCAGTGTTGTTCATTCATAGAGATTTCCACACAGACACCCACTAGAAGTGTGTTCTCTAAGCAGTGGTTTGTAAGCGTGAAGGTATTAACTGGATTACAGTAGGCACCAAAGCTTGAGCCCCCAAAGCAAGAATTTGGATCATGTGTTTAAAGCCTAATTTAGTATCTAAGCTCTTTGCGGTAAATGAATCAGAACAACTTTTATTATGAGTACAAGATTCTATGTGACTGATATTTTTCTGTGTTATAATCCAAACTACACTTATGATTTTTACACATAGAGGGAATACTCTGTTTACTTTTTTGAGGAAGTTTACCCCTGAACAAGTTTGTCACACAAAAGAATTGAGCAGGGTGGGATCAGATTATTGCCTGGTTATGGTAGAATTTTCCAGGATATGTCTTTCGTTTTGAAAACTGTCCTTACAGATCTCCTTTCTCGCTCAGTACCCGTCTTTGTCAAGTCATTGTGAAGTTAAATGAGCTTGTATCTTCCTTTTGTTGTCTTTTCCATTCTCTGCTGAGACGGAGTGCCAAGCGTTTTCATTTGCTTAACAGGGGTAGTAGAAAAAAGGTTGCTTAGCAACAGTTGAGAGATAGGTGTGGGCAAGTGCTCGAAAAGAGGCAGGGATTTTAAAACACAGTTTCAAGGTGGGACATGAAATGTTTTGATCTTGTACTTGAACAGTGAGTTTTCTCTGGGCCGCTGGTGAAGGTAAACACTCAAGACACGTGAAAGGTAACCTAAGAAGTTTGGGAGTGATTGAGAAATTGGTGTAAGACGTTGTGTGCTTCCAGGAAGTGAAACACAAGTAGTTCGAGTCATTTGAGTTGTTAAGCCCCCCTCTGGCTGTTTTTAAATGTAACTCTATTCACAAAGCTTGAGGACGTAGGGAGGCCAGTGAAAATGAAGTCAGGCAGGATTATGTCCACTCCATGTTCAGTCATTGGGTTTCAGACGAGTGATTTCAAGCTAATGTTTAAGCCCAGTGATTTACCCTAACTAAAAGATACGACAGGGAGAAGAAGCTGCAGTAATGTTTTCATATTTACATACCTGAATATGGCAGTATTGTACAAAACAAGTAATATGAACAACATTATATCAGGATAAAACCGTAATCGCACTGAATGTCCATAAACAGCAGTGCAGTCACTAATATTCCCAGATGTCGGTCAGACCCGGTGGGATTAAATCTGTACTGGACTGGGGTGTACTGGGAAGAGTTCACTCCCCTTGTTCATTTATTTGAGACAGCTGCATTCCCCCCACCCCCACCTCTAAACCTCCCTCACACTCAGCCAAGAACAAAATGAAAAAGTGTATTTTCAAATATTTGAGCCTTCAGTTTCACTCACCTATTACACACACACACTGACAGCCCTATTCCTGAATATTTGGCCCCTCTCACAGTGAATTCAGTGTTATCAACATGATCTGTGTCTGTTTCATGACATTTGATTTGTATGTCTTCTGCATTTTCACTCAGGACCTTAACTCAGCATCAGATAGGCTGCTGTAAACTGTGAAACATGGCTGTAGTTTCTGTGATTTTCTCAGTTTTTATATATATTTTTAGACTTTCAAGCCCTGTCATTAAAAATCAGCTGGTGCAGTACAGCAGAGTCCTCTGATTGCACAACTTGACTTGCAGCAATGATGGGCAGGAATTCTCCGATTCACAAAGGTCCCCAAATAATGAAGTTATTAAGTCCCAAACAGGTTTTTGGTTCGTTGTCATGTGTTCACAAAACACGGGATCTCCTGCTCTCTAGCTAGCACAGAAGTTTCTTCCCTTTTCTCCCCCGTCAGTCTACAGAGTCTTGTAAAGGTGTATACAGCCTGTCATTGACGCTGTTCTTCCTCACTTTGAAGCTTGCAGACCCAAACAGGTGATTGTAAAGCTGGAAGTGTAAAGACATGTTTGTGCCACTTCTGAGAACAGAGTGAAGCTCTTGAAAAATGTCCAAATCGAGCGAGAAGGGCTCGTCGGTCGAGGTTTGTTAAAATGAGTGGAATTTAGTGCTGAAGCTGACCTCGCCTGTGACTGTTGAATGTTTCGCTTCTGTCCCTGGGACCAGAGTACCGGTTCTTCCGTCTGTGACTAATACACTCAGGATTGACAAGTACCTCATACAACCTGGAGTAAAAATAGAAAAGAAGTAGACTTTTATAAAATCAGCGGGACAGATTCTTGTTGTTTCGAATAAAGGCCTGGTGACATGCAGTTTGTTTTCAACTGACACAGTGGAAATAAAGATGTGAGAAGCTGTTATCGTGCTCTCTATCACACATCAAAATGAAACCACAGTGACCACATGTTCAGAGGCCTTTAACTCGATATTTTTGTCGCCAAGCGATCACACCTTACAGCGTTTTTTTTTGTTTTTGCTCTCTGCTCCTCTTCATGTCGCGGTTTTGTTTTTCCTGTTTTTTAGGCCGCCAACTATTTGGACATCAAAGGCCTCTTAGACGTCACCTGCAAGACGGTGGCTAACATGATCAAAGGCAAAACCCCAGAGGAGATCAGGAAGACTTTCAACATCAAAAATGATTTCACAGAGGAGGAGGAGGCCCAGGTACTTGTTCTGTCTTTTTTTTTTGCCTCTCTGTCATGAAATGAGCAGATGCTGCATCAGTTGTTAAAAATGAATACATCACTCAGGACGGGTGTGAAGTTAAAGGGAAATGACCGTGTTTTTTTTTATTATTTGTGCTGCACAGGTACGCAAAGAGAACCAGTGGTGTGAAGAGAAGTAAAGGGGAGATCCTGCCAACACTACCACACTGAAAAGGAGTTGTCCCTGCTAACTGGTTGCACTGGCGTTGTTCATACTTGTCAATACTTAACATTTAGTGTATTTAGAGCCACATTTACCCCTCTTTCCAGTCCCCCCTCTCCCTTCTCCCTGATCTCTTTCTACCAACAGCATGACCATTTTAACTTGCCTGTGTGTTGTCTTAATTTAAATAAAGAAGAGCCCTTTCGGTCACCACACACGTGTTGTACTTTCACATTAGAAGATAGCTCCGGTTTCATGGCTTTGTACCCTCGAAGATTAGCGACTCCTCTCATATTCCCTCTATTATTAATCGCTATGGTTGTCTTTTTTACTGGACATGTTTGTGTTCTTTTAGGTTAACTGATGAATAAAATGGCTTTTTTGACAATGGAAAGGAAATGGTGAATATTTTATTTTTTGCTCTGTAAATGAATCATTTCTGTAAAAACCATTTTGAAAAGACAGGGGAGTCTTAAGGAGACGTGACGCTTGATTTGGACAGATTTTTTGCATTATGGACTTTTGGTACTTGTGCGTAGACACAGGATTGGTTAGCTCATTCCTAATTCATGTTGTATTGAATTGGTAACCTCAGAAAAGCTTTGCCGCTGGCACTTGGGATGAACAAACAAACTGAAGGAGCAAATAAAACTGAAGTAAAAGGTTGGTGTTTGTCCTTTTTTTGCTCTACAGGAGCACCGTCACCTTTTTTGTAAACTTTAAAGGGATATTGCATGTATAGATAAAATGCTGTGCAGTTGCACAAAGCTGCTGTTAAAGCCCTGGATGGACCTAAAGAGAAGCACACCCACTTTATGCTATTACAGTGCCATGAGAAAGTTTGGGCACCCCGTCTGAGGTTGTATAATAATTGACTCTGTCTCCACAGAAAATAATCCTAGTGTCATGTCCTTCATTTGCCCATCAGAGCCAAGTGTTGGGTTGTTTTGCAGACTCTGATTTTAAGTATTGGTGGTATTCTTTTGTATGAAATTAAATCAAATGTGAAAAATAGGCTGTGCAAAAATGTGGGAACCCTTGACATTGTCTTGCTTTGAAGACCTGTAACTAATCATCACAGAGTAATTGGAAACACCAAGTTGGTCAGGTGAGCTCATTAAGCCTTGAACTTAATAGGCAGGTGCATCCAATCATGACAAAGGCTATTTAAGGTGACCAAACGCCAGTTCTTTTTCTCTTTGACTCTCCTCTGAAGAGCTGCAAGATGGGGGGCCTCAAAACAACTTTCAAATGACCTCAAAACCAAGATTATCCAGCAGTATGGTTTAGGGGAAGGCTACAAAAAACTTTCCAAAAGATTTCAGCTGTCAGTGTTTACCGTGAGGAACAGTGTAAGAAAGTGGAAAGCCACAGGCACAGTCCTTGTTAAGGCCAGAAGTGGTAGGCCAAGTAAAATTTCAGCGAGGCAAAGACGAAGGATGGTGAGAATGGTTAAAGACAACCCACAGACCACCACCAGAGACTTGCAGAGTGATCTAGCTGCAGATGGGGTCACTGTGCACAAGTCAACAATACAGCGCAATTTGCATAAGGAAATGCTGTATGGCAGAGTGATGCGTAAGAAGCCCTTTCTTCACAGTCGCCACAAATTGAGTCGCTTGAACTATGCAAAAGCACATTTGGACAAGCCAGCATCCTTTTGGAATAAGATCCTGTGGACTGACGAAACAAAAATCGAATTATTTGGTCACAACAAGAGGCGATACACATGGCGAAAAAAGAACACAGAATTCCAAGAAAAACATCTGCTACCCACAGTGAAATTTGGTGGAGGTTCCATCATGTTGTGGGGCTGTGTGGCGAGTACTGGTACTGGGAACCTTGTTAAAATTGACGGTCGCATGGATTCCACTCAGTATCAGCAAATTCTTGAAAATAATGTGCAGGAGTCCGTCACAAAGCTGAAGTTGCGCCGGGGATGGATGTTTCAACAAGACAATGACCCTAAACATTGTTCAAAATCCACTCGGGCATACATGCAGAGGAACAAGTACAGTGTTTTAGAATGGCCATCCCAGTCCCCAGATTTGAATATCATTGAAAATCTGTGGGATGAGTTGAAGCAAGCCGTCCATGCTCGTGGACCTTCAAACCTCAATGAATTAGAGCTGTTTTGCAAGGAGGAGTGGGCCAAGATGCCTTTATCCAGGATCCAGACACTCATTAGTGGCTATAGAAAGCGTCTAGAGGCTGTGATTTCTGCAAAAGGAGGCTCTGCTAAATATTGATGTGATGTTTCTGTTAAGGTGCCCAAATTTATGCATGGGCCTATTTTTGCTTTGGTGCATATTGCACATTTTCTGTTAGCCCAATAAACTTTACTTCAATTCTGAAATATTATTGGGTCTATGAGTTATTTCATATATCAAAAGTAAGTTGTGGAATCAAACACCCAATGATTGATGAATGAAAATACTGGGATTTGTCAAGGGTGCCCAAACTTTCTCATGGCACTGTATTAGGTCTGTTTTCCATAGCAACCATCTGCTACTGAGGAATAGCAGACTGTTGCTATAGAGTATTGACCAATCAGAATCACAGCTGTTTAACAAGGTTGTTGTGTCCTCATTAGGGATCTTGTTCATGAGATGTATCTTAAAGGGATATTCCGGCTTTAAATTAATTTAGGGTCAAACACACCGTAACACTGAGTTAGACACCCCCTCGAGAGATGAATGTTGCCGACTGCTTCCTTCTCTAGTTATACCAACTTTACTAATAACCGCACAATGGCAATATACAGCGGTCTGAGGAGCCATAAACAAACTTCAACCAAAACGCAACTTTATAGCCACAAACAATGCTCAGAACAGCACCTAACTTCAACAGTACATATAGGGTCACAGTTATTGTACTATCCATCAGACATCTTTTTAACTTTGCCTGATTTCTTAAGCAAAGAGACTTAACACAACTCACCTACGCTCTTCCAGCAGCCGCTTGTTTGTAGTGAGACCTTGGGCCAGTCCATTACGGACTACAGCGGGGTGACGCAGTTCAAGGAAGAACATTTATGATCATTTTTTTATCATTTCCTTGAAGCAACAGTCACCATATTGATCATTTTGCACTGCAGACGCGGTAGTTCTTCTGCCTTAACGTCTCGGTCTGATTGCATTTCCATAAAGAAATGATCACAAATGTTCTTCCTTGGGCTGCGTCACCCCGTTGCAGTCTGTAATGGGTTGGCCTGAGGTCTCGCTACAAGCGGCTGCAGGAAGAGAGTAGGTGAGTTGTGTTTAGTCTCTTTGCTAAAGAAATCAGGCAAAGTTAAAAAGATGTTTGGTGGCTAGTACTGTGGCTTGGACCCTATATGTACTGTTGATGACGTTAGGTGCTGTTCTGAGCATTATTTGTGGCTATAGAGTGGCGTTTTGGTTGAGCACGTGGCTCTCCGTATTGCTATTGTACGGTCGTTACTAAAGTTGGTATAATTAGAGAAGCAAGCAGTCAGCAACTTCATCTCTCGATGAGGTGTCTAACTCGGTGTTACGGTGTGTTTGACCCTAAATTAATTTTACGCTGATATATCCCTTTAAATACTCAAATCTCAAAATTTCACGTAAATTCTATCAGGAGACAGCAGATATGGAAGCCCTTGGCAGACATGAATCCATACATTATCTTTACTCTGCTGTCTGGGGACAGTGGGTCATGCTTGGTTGTGTGCTGCAATCTTGAACAATCTACCTTGTTATCCTGACATGCTGATTTTACCATTAAAAAAATTACTTACCATCTAAAGTTTCTCAAGAATATCCCTTTAATTTAAAAAAAAAGTTCCCGTCTTTGTCATTCATCAAAACTTTCCCTCATTTGTGAACAGAAACATAGACGAGATATTCAAAACACTTTTAATACAACAAACAAAAACAAGTAATACACTGGAGGCTTTTGAGGCATAAAAAATACAAAAGACATCATGGAGGCGTCAGGACTGACAGAAACATCCTCAAAACTATTTCTAGCACAAGAGCGCTCTCTGCTGGAGAAAATCGGTTTTTGCTGTACAAAGGCTCAGCCGACAGAGACCTCATGGTGCTTGTGAGCTGAGTTTGAAGCTGCGAGCAGAACGGTAAAGTAAAAAAGCCTTTTTAGTCAAAATCTAAAAACCTGTTAACATTGAAGTTTGAACATGCACAGATTGAAAAACACAAGATACTGTCTCAAAGATCCTGCGGTAACACGCAACCGAAAGGAAAGCAAAATTCTGCACAAAGGACAAACACAAATGTATTGCTTTAAGAAATGGTAGAAACTAAAATCTTTTTTTCAGTTGTTTCAAATTTTTTTTTTTACATAAAACATATAAAAGCTTAATTATAATAGGGAATTCCAACATTTATAAAACTTTACAACACAATGCAATATAATAGTACCCATTTGGTCTTGGATTTCTTTACGGAGCTGCAAAATGTTCAGTCAAAAGAAACCCTCTTTTTTTCTCCACCGGCAAAAACTGACCTAAAAAAAATCAAAAAACAGAGATGAGAGCAAACAGAAGAAAAACGTTATGTTGATATAGTGACTTACTGAGCCTGAAAGTGCCTAAATAGAAGTAACGTAACATGATGCTTGGTCTTTGTCATTTTGAGGCTTTTTTTAACTGTTGAAGTTTTTTTTTTTTTTCTGTTTAATCAGGCGGATGTACTTATACAAAAAGTGTTTGGAAATGGAATAAAATGCGTTTAAAAAAAGGAAGTTAAAAGGTCGGTTTGTTTCTGTCTTTGGAGCTGAGGTTCTGCTGGTTCCTGCTGGATGGGACTGAATGTAAAATGAAAAAAAAATGAACATGTTTGACGCTGAACCTTGAGGCTAGTGTAACAGACAGGTTCAGAACTTTGTGGTTCATAACAGAGAGGGCCTGTTTACACCGGGGAAAGCAGTTTCTGAAGCACTAATTCAAAGTTCAGGAGCAAAACTGTCCAATTTAGACCATCACTGAAAAAGTACAGCAACCTTAAAAGCTGATCCTGTGTGACTGACGACCACCTGAACCTGGTGTCTCCCAAATAAGAAGGTTTGCATGAATATCTGAGGATAACGGATGGTGTGAAGCAGGCTTAGAGAGGGATCGGCCTCGGTGACTTATAGATGTATTTGGTGTGGAACGTTTTTAGAGGTTTCGGCCTCCAGACACAGTTTCTTAAACCGATGACCACAGAGTTTCGCTTGAATTCGGGCGGGTAAGTTGATCTTCATGGCTCTGTCGAGTGCTGAGTTGAACAGGGTCTGAGATGTTGATTGATCACTGAGTCTCTGTTAGCACTTTAAGGGAAAGTCCTGCTGCCTTGGCGGCCGACAGCGCTGTCGTCGTCGAGCTGTGCGTCTGCTTGCCAGAAAGTTCCTGGTGTGTGTGTTTGGTCGCGGGCTGACGGAGGTCGCCCCGCTTGCCGGCAGACTGCTGCAGGGGTAAGCGTGCATGTAAGCGTGTGTGTGCTGGTTGAGACAGGGGTAGCTGTGTTGACGGGGAGGTGGGCGGCGGGGAGCAGCCCGGGGAGAGCGGGCGCTGGTGCTGGTAGAGACGGTGGCGGACTGGGGAGGGGGAGGGGGGAGAGTCTATAGCACTTAAATCTGAAGAAGTTGGGCTGGGGCAGCCTCCTCCTTGAAGGTAGCGAATGCACTTCTTTTTCCTCCTAGGGACAGTCAGAGAGAGTTATCTGTGAATAAAGTGTGGATGGTAAATGTCAGCAGGCTTCAGTGGAGATGCAGCATTCACACGATGTCATGAACATGGACACAAATGATCACAATGAACAACGGAGACGGATTAGTGCCAGGATATGAGGAAAACATGTTGGATTGAACATTTCTGAAACTTTTAGAAGCTGACTAAATATTTTACAGAACTACAAGTAATAGAAGTGGAATTCTTGGGCACTGTTTCAAGAGATTTCTATTTTGGTGTCAAAGTACATATTTAAAATGTTATATCCAGAAAAACTAAGATTTTTCCCCCCTCTTTTTTAAGTTGTATTTTGAGCCTTTTTCCCTTCAATAATACCACAATAAACCAAATTAAAGGGATATTCTGACATATAATAAGTTAGGGTCAAACACACCGTAACACTGAGTTAGACACCCCCTCAAGAGATGAATGTTGCAGACCGCTTGCTTCTCTAGTTATACTAACTTTAGTAACGACCGCAGATAGCAATACAGAGAGCCACGCGTTCGACCAAAACGCCACTCTATAGTCACAAATAATGCTCAGAACAGCACCTAACTTCATCAACAGGACATATAGGGTCACAGACATAGTACTAGACACCAAACATCTTTTTAACTTACTCTCACCTACTCTCCTCCAGCAGCCGCTTGTTTGTAGCGAGACCTCAGGCCAGTCCATTACGGACTGCAGTGGGGTGTCGCAGCTCAAGAAAGAACATTTATGATCATTTCTTCATGGAAATGCAATCAGACCAAGACGCTAAGGCAGAAGAACTACTGCGTCTGCAGTGCAAAATGATTAATATGATGATTCATACTTCAAGGAAATGAAGAAATGATCTGAAATCTTCTTCCTTGAGCTGCGTCACTCCGCTGCAGTCCATAATGGATTGGCCTGAGGTCTCTGTACAAACAAACGGCTGCTGGAAGAGAGTAGGTGAGTTGTGTTTATTGGTATAGTTGGTTTAACTAGAGAAACATGCGGTCGGCAACATTTACCTCTCAAGGGGGTGTCTTAACTCGGTGTCACGGTGTGTTTGACCATTCATTTATTTTACGCAGGAATATCCCTTAAAGTTATCCAGAGATTGAAAGGTAAACACAGATATTTCCGTGGGTATAATGTGAGTATAAGAAAGCAAGCTTCTGGGGGTTTTAATCGGCTAAAAGCTGAAAACGTCAATGAGATGTCTCTCTTATTTTGTGCGGATAAAACGAGGATCCACCTGAAACAGTCTGATGTGGTCACACGGCGTCTTTTGCATTTTGAGATTTACAGAAGCTTCTAAAAGATCCACTAAGAGGTCATTTGTAGTTTTTGTTGCTCATCCCCATCAGACACTAAAGAACCTGAGTGCCGCGGTGCTGCACTGTGTGATCGGCTGCATTTTCAAGCAGGTTCTTGTACCTCTGAGTGCAGCATCAAAGCAGTGAGCAGGATCCCCGGATCATTACCAGAACATGATATGAGTCACCAGGTCTAACCACAAGGAAAGGCGCTGGGCCATATTTAGAGAGACAAAGACAGAGGAAGAGTGCAATAGAAAGTGATTTCTAAATGTCAGAGTTCACCATCAAAAGGCGCCTGTCACCACATCGCATGAATGGAGAAAGTTGAAAGCAGATGGGCATGAGAACGCCGCCAGAGTGCAAAGCTGCAGGGAGTGTGTGTGTTGAACTGCGGTGATAAGGATTTGCTCTAACCGCACCCTCTCCTCCCCCCAACCCCCACTTTGTTCTCTCGAACTGAAACACACACACACGCTTCGATTTCCATGACGTGATGGTGGGGAAGACGACGGGGTTGCTGCTGCAGTGCTGCTGTGGTGGAAGTGTTTCTGCAGTTCTGAGTCCTGCGTAGAAACCGTGGACTGTTGACGACTGTAAATCCTGTTGTGACTGAAACAGAGCGGTCTGAGGTGCTGACGGGCGACCTGACCTGCTGCTGTTTCTGTATCGCAGAGACGGTTGCAACTCTGAGAAAAAGCCCATTTCAAAACTGATAATTCACGTCGATGATGTTGAGACGCACCTCGTGGGAAGATGAGATAAACGGATAACCTGTGCCGTCAAGAGTTATCACTGAAACTTCAACGTTTTCAGAAATATTTTCTGCTTTTCACGCCTGAACCTTCACTCTCGTTGGGAAAGTTAAAAAATTTCCACTTTGAGCTCAACAAAAAAAAAAAGGGGGAAACATCATCAATCTTAAAATGTCAGGACAGCCTACTCAGAAAACAGTGTCGATGTGAAGGCGACAAAAAGTTCTGAGTGTATTTGATGCATTTACGGTACAAGGTTTGAGAAAAAAGGCTTCAATCTTGAGTCGTGGTTAAAACTTTTGTACCCCATCTTAAAAATGTCCAGAACTTTTCAGGAGTTTGCTCCACTTTATGAAGTTTGGATCCTTTAACACCCTGAGTTTAAGTTTCTGTTGAATGTGAATAAAACAGTAACCCACATGTTGTATATTTCATGATTTTTGTAGAATTGGATCAAGTTTTGCAGTCTCTGTATGATGCAGAGGAACCATCTATGAACTCTGAGAGCAGACATGATTGAAGAAGAAGAAGAGCGTGGGGTGTTACAGACATAAATCAGTGTTTATTTTATTTTCAAGATTGTTCTGCAGGATGAAGTCTTGATCATTTTCAAACTGTCTTTATTATAGTTTTGAAACAGTAAACACTGGGGGTTTTAGTTCGCCGTGTTAGTGACGGATGACATGCAGAGCTCAGGCTGGATTGAAAGGATGTAAAGGCAGAGCGTATCCTGAGGCAGACATAATCTCACGGGTGGGAGTTATTTGGCTGAGCTTGATAACTTAATAGAGTGTTAATGTGACAATGATGACTGAGTCAAAGATGAAAAGAGCTGGAAACTGAAAAAAAAAAAGATGTTTTTCCTGCTCAGATTTCGGAGATTATTACCGCCTCCAGAGCGGCTCTGCCTTCATGTTATCATGTTGAAGTATGTGAACAGCTGAGGACCCGATCAGGGCGGAGGTGAAGTGCTGATGAATGGATGGTTAGTGGTAGGAGATGATGACTTTATTTGAAGGTATCACTGCGACACTATGGGGAGGGTGGGGCAAATGTTTGGTACACACCTGCAAGGACCGCACCAGTCCGTTTGTTGGTTGAGGCCGAAGCGAGCCCGGCATTTCTTAGGAGAGCCCGGGTCTGAGCACAATGCACAGCATGCACAGAGTAGAACAACCACAGAGGAGCAAGAAAAGGGAAAAGGGTTAGAGAGAGAAAGAGAAGAGTTACAGACGAACGAGGAGGAAACACACAAAAAGAGCATGTCAGGGCAGGAGAAGCACCAGTAGAGCTCTCCGGTCGAAGAGAGCCATCGAGTCAAACTGTTAGTAGCAGGTTGCAGCATTTGCAAAAACACCAATCACAAGAATAACCAGCAAACACACACGAAATATGCTGTTAAACGAGTCAGACATCCTGGAAAACAGGCTGCAAAGATGCACAGAGACATTCAGAGGGACTTGGAGAGAGCAGCCGTGCTGAGACACTCTGTTAGTACAAGACCGGATCAGGATCTGTGACTCTGTCAAAAGCCTAAATAAATGCTACGAGGAAACAGTTAAAGTACAAAGAAAATGTTTTTCTTTAGTTTACATTGAAGTGTCGGGATTGTTCAGTTTTCCATAAACGGTTTTAATATCATCAAACTGACTTGAAGAAAAGATCTTTTTATTTAAAGCTCCTGTGAGGAGTTTTTAAGTTGATGTTTTTTATTGATATACAAAAGCAACAAAACCATTAGTGACAAAATGGAGTAGTTTTATAGAGTCTTTTTAAAAGGTGGGGTAGGCAGGGTCTGAGGAAGTGCCAGTTTTTAGGAGAAATCTTGAATGTTAACTCTACCCCTCCTAACCAGTTTTCCCCTCAGCTCCTCCTCTCCCCTCTCTCTCTGCTCCAGCAAGCCCCGCCCACAAACAGACCACCAAAGTCTCTGATATTTAGTTCGTTTTCTTGCTTGTGTTGGCAGTCATGGCTAAAGGAGGATTCAGACAATTTTGTGTACTTTCTGGTTAGTTTCTACTGTCCGATATTGTAGCACGCTAACTTTGTTTGGGCTCGTGAACGACACGGAAGAGCAGCGTCTGCCTCACAACCAATCAGATTGGGGAAGGCGGGGAATGGCTTTGTTTACAGTCAGAAAGAGCGGGCTGCTCTTCAAATTTAAAATGTTGACTACACAAACATAACAAAACACAGCGATATCGTTATATTACCAAATGTCATCAATAACTTATAGCTATTGACTGATATTAAAAGCGTTTTTGTATAAACACCACAAAAATAGATGCTTCTTTAACGGATTCCTGCCTAATCCACCTTTAATGCCTGAAACCCATGTGAGGGGGTAGGTGTCAGCTGAGCAGCTGGAGAAAGAGCCTTTGTTTGCATTTTCCACAATAAATCATGAATGTGACTGTCAATAGTCAGGATCATGGGATTATTTTTTTTTGCCACAACTAAAAACACTGACTGTCTACAGGGGGTCCAAAAGTTCCTCACAGGAGCTTTAAATTTAAACGAAAGTAGCTTTAATTTGCTCAAAGCCATCACTCTTACTGTGAAGTTATCTGCTGAAGTCATTACTAATGTTCACTTACGCAAAGTCTGTGATTTGAAAGGTTTCTATGAGTGCTTGTGTATATTTTTATCAGGAGACTGAATTATTACTTTGTTTTGATTGTTTTTTTAAAACAGGAAGATGTCTTGTTTCACTGGGGATTCAAACATCAGAAATTCAGGTTACATGGAAAGCAGAGTGGGCGGTTTGACGTTAAAGACACATCCTGCCTCGTAGACACCAATGTGAAACTCTATCGGAGTGTTAATGAGTTCAAGCTTCACTGGATTTCCTCCGTTTAACTTTGAAATTGGTTCAACTTACAGGGTTTTATTCTGCTGACTCATTGTATCTTACTATCAAAAAAACAAAACGTCCAGATATTTGAGGATAGTTCACCTGTGTTGGAGTCCTGCAGTTTCTCCCTTTTTCTCCTCTTCTTCTTGCCCTGTGGGAGAACAAAAAAGAACAAGCATCCGACATAAAGAGTTATTCCCTTCTGTTTGATATCAGCCCAGATTTCTTGTTAACCTAATCAGTCCAACCCTTATTTTTGACGGCGTGTTCACGATGCAGTGTAACATCAAACTGTTTTTCTACTTTGATCAGACGGTGGGAAAACCCTTTGAAAAATTAATAATGCAGTCAGAAGCAGCGACAGGTCAAGCAACCATCTTGAATGCTCTGAAAAAAAGCAGGTAAAGCGTGTAAGAAAGATGTCACTGTACTAAACCTAACACCTGAGACACCTTTAAAGAGGCTCTCAAAGGTTTTGGAGATCACCTCAGATCTCTTGTCTATTATTCGTACGTCTTCAGCCTCTGATGTGTTTCTGTTGCGGTAAATGACAGACCTGTTCACACACTCCTGTTGATGGTGAAGCGAGGCCTCATATTCTGGTGAAGTGAAGGATGTGGGTACAGAGATCTGCTGCCTACGCGTCATGTCTGCCCTCCTCAGCTCACCGTCAGCTTTCTCTATGTGGTTTACTAAGTCTTCTTGCATCTGCACCTTTCTGGAGCTCTGTGTGTGTCTGTGGGTATACACGGGTGTCTGTGTCTGTCTGTGAACGTACACGCCGCATACAGGTTTGTTTTAGAGGGGGTTGGTGGAGAAACACCTTCAAAACTGCGGGGGCTGCAGGTGGAACTCGGCTTCCTGTTTTGTTAGCGGGTCCACACTGACTGTAGTGCTGAACTTGAGAGCAGAGTGTGGAGGAGGCTGCAGAGGGGGTTCCTTGAAATGCAACAACACAACACGGCGATGATGCTCTTGTGTGTTTATGTTGACTAAAAGGTGTTGCTAAAGGTTTGACACAGCTGTGTTCACTTTTAAGTAAGTTGATGAGCATCGAACTAACCACCAAGTAATTAAGATGTCAATGAAACAGTCAGCTTAGTGAACGTTAAAGCTCCTGTGTGGAGTTTTGCAACTTTTATGAAAATCCACGATTTCTAACCCGACAGTCTGCGACAAAATCGATGATTTCTAACCAGACAGTCTGCAGCAAAATCGACGATTTCTAACAAGACAGTCTGCGGCAAAATCGACGATTTCTAACAAGACAGTCTGCGGCAAAATCGACGATTTCTAACGTCCCAAATCTGTGTGAGGGGGTAGGTGTCAGCCAAGCAGCTACAAAAATAGCTGTTTTAACAATTTCTATGTAAAAATATTCGCAAAAAAATGATCAATTAAATAGTCGAAGGTCAGCCAGATGGGATTAATTGACTTAAGCATAAAGGGGACAAGATACGCAATGACTGCTTTGTCCTCAGGGGGCACCAAAATTTACACAAATTAAAAGTCTCTCACTGGAGCTTTAATATTTTTAATTTAATCCGAAAAACAAAGAGAAAATATAAAAAAAATCAGATTTTTTAACTAATTACTCCAAAAAAGAGACTAAACAGCAGACAAACATTATAAACTTCTCCTAGTTACATCCCTGCTGTGTTACTGTACGAGTCGTGTTTTGCTGTGACATCTTTCACATGAACATATCCACATCCACTGAGTGCTCTGCTGGTTTTATTAGAACTGGCTGAACTTCTCAGAGCTCCATTATGCAGACAACAAAAGCTGCTCCGCCTGTTATCTGGTTTATAACAAAATTATATAGATGTGTTTGAATTTAAAGGAACTCTGCATTAGTTGGCATCACACTGAAGTTACTGGAACTACAAGAATAACTGGGACAAACTCAGATTGCATGTTGGTGGTATGAGAGATGTACTGAGCATGTTAAAAAAAACCCAGCCCCAGTTAAGAGTCACCGTTACTTGTACAAGTCAGGAATGGAAAAACAAGTCGGCAGAGAAAAGCTTGAAAAGGTATGTCCCTATGAAAAAAAAAAAAGGTGAAAAGCTGAAAAGCTAATTCTGTGGTGACTAAAGCCGAAAATCCTCCTGATTAAAAACATAGACTGAACTTACCACCTGCAATTATTCCAAAAACAAGTAGCATCTAAAAACACATGTTAAGCAGTGTGAAAAGACTGAGTGTTGGCGTGTCTGTAACATCCGTTTTAATTATCTGAATTTAATTAAGAAGAATAGAAATAAGAATAACTTTATTTATCACCGAAGGGAAATCCAAATTTACAGAAAAAAGTGAAGGTGCTACTTTGAATGGGATGCTTCCCCAACATAAGATCCTTAAATATCTAAAGCAGTGAGGCAGCGAGGCCAGCCATGCGGCCCTGCTCTCTGTTAGTTAAGCAAAACGGGCTGATTTATACCTCTGTGTGATTACTAGCTTTCAGAAACCATGGTAACGTGCAAATGTTTTCATAGCTGACCAATCGTCCCGGCTTTTGCAGCTCTTTTTCTTTCCTCTCTCTCTCTTTTCTCTTGTGTGAGTCATTAAGGTTTATGAAAGATGCATGCATGTTCCACTTTGCAGAGGAATACCCACAGCCCCTTTATACACATGCGGCTCTTCGCATAATCATTTTTTCCCACCACAGAGGCATAAATCCACCATAAGACGTGTCCCTACCCAATCAGCTTTATTCTTTTCCCCTGCGACCCCGCTAAGGCCCGCCTCCTGCAAGAGTTCAACAGCAAACTGACAAGTCAGAGGCACACAGCAGCCCAGATACAGCACATCCCCAACACATCAGACTAAAACACATGCACCACACAGGTTAAACTTCCCCCTCCAATCACTGGGACCTATTTCATCATTTCATGCTATTAATGTTTGTTTTATTTAATCTATGTTACTTATGACTGACAGGTCTGACAAGTCTGAGGACTAATGATCATGCAGGTTTTTGTGACGCTAACCAGTAAAGACAGTAAATTGACAAACTTCTTCAGCTTTTGAGGTGAGGACAACAAATACTACCGAGTTCACCAAGCTCTCATTAACTGATCCTGTTTGAGATTCGCTTCTTGGTTTTATTAACAAACCAGAGAGTCAGACTCCTGAGCGTGAGTGAGGGGGCCTTCTTGACTTCAATGTTTACATTTTCCTAAACATGTTTTCTTTTCAGGTCACTATTGTTTCTTGATGGTTTGGTGGATGAAGAGAGACGCTGGGAGTAGGAAGAGAAGTACTTACGTAGTTGTCTCTGGCAGACCAGGTCGGGTAGAGCTGCATGTGCAGTTGTCTCTCTTTGCGGGCCAACTCGTAGTACTTGGCCTGCTCCTCTCGGGTCAGCGCGTGCCACTGGAAGCACATGGAAAAAAACAAACTTAGAATCTGATCTGAGGATTTATCATTATGACTATTCTGTAATAATCCTGAATGTGTTAAAGGTGAAGTTCTCAAGGGCATGGACGAGGACACACCATATAAAGTAGATAGATAGATGGCTTTATTAATCCCCAAAGGGAAATTAAACTGTCATAGCGGTCTGGCAAAATTCAATAAAATAAATAAAATACTGAAAAGACAAGAGAACGAACAATAAGGCATAAACAATTTATACACATGCCTTAAATAGAATATCTGAATTCTATGACTATGTACAAGTGCATATAGCGGGCATTATAGTCAAAGTGAATGCAGAAGGAGGCAGGTAAAGTATTTAATTGAGTCTTCTGGTCAATTTCAGTTACGGTTATGAAAATAAAACTATTTATTTGCAATATGGATTTTAGTGTTTTTTATTTTTTGTGCTGTGCAAGCTTTGAAAAGAGGCAAAACTTATCCCATTTTTTGTGCTCTGACCGCTTAAAAAATGTTTTCCCAAAACTTTGATCTCTTCTCAAATAAAAAAAATCTTTCCTTGCAGAAGTGCATTCGACTTTGGCAGCCCGTATAGTGTCCCTAATGGTGATTGAGGGAACTGTTGGCTTTTACACCAGGTGGTTAAAATGATAAACTGCACCCTCTGCTGGGAACAGAAGAAACTACAAATTTTAAGTCTTGCCTGCGAATTGGATGCACATTTATGGCTACGTTCACACTGCAGGGTATGACGCATAAATCAGATTTTTAGTTAAATCCGATCTTTTTGTGCGGTCGTTCACATTACAACAACGAACGCGGCATATAATGCGAACGGAATGCGGTCGGATGAACGCGACCTGAGCGTCCACACTGCAGTCACATCGGATACATATCTGATTTATATCCACATACAAAAGAGGCCTGGGTCGGATTTGAAAAAAAAAATCAGAATTGCGCTGTTCACACTTACATGAAAAAAACAGAAATGTGTCACATATGGTTAAAAAATCAGAATTGACCTGCAGTGTGAACATAGCCTTCGATACTGCACGGTTTCATCCTGCAGTGACTATATGATAAAAAAATCACAGATAAGAGTTGAAGTTACAAAATCTGTAAAAACTCAACTTCAACATTTATAAAAAAATGCTTCAACAAAAAGTCATTTAATCCTGTAAAAGAAAAAAGGACACTCGCTTTGTTTTTACATGTGAAAGTTGACGAGCCCTGACAGCAGATTATTGAGTCAGTTCTGGGTTAAAGTCTTGATCTAGGATCTAGGATCTGCATCTGAAATAGATCTTCAGGGTCCCAGTATTAAAGGTCTGTGTTGTTATGATCTCTGCAGCACCAAAACGTGAAAGAATCAGCGCTCAGCCCTCTCATGTTCCTCATGTGTGAAATTACAATCTGACCTAGAAACAGGATTAGTCTTATTTCAGTCCTGTGTGTTGTTGTGTGTTGTTGTGCGCGTGTGCACTCCTTACCCTTCGTCCCAGAATCTGGTTGATGGCGGCGCTCTCCTTTAATGTGCACTCGGCGATGACCTTTGCCCTCATCTCCTTCATGTAGAGCATGAAGGCGTTCAGGGGTTTCTTGATGACTGGCTTCTTGGGCTCCTTCTCCCGTTTGACCTCTACCTGCTGCTTCCTGTGAGGAGAGAGGAGAGAGGAGAGAGGGAAGGACAGGAGGAGGAGAAAGAGAGGGGGAACATGGCGAGGAAGATGAGAACCAGAATCAGAATTAGACAGTTTTTAAAAGATGAAGGTACAATAACTCAGAGGGTAAAGACAGGAGTGCAACAACAGAGGGAGGAGTTGAAAGTACAGAGTGAGATAACCGTCATGGAAAAAAAAAAACGTTGAGTGCGGTGGAAAATACTCACACATACATGCCCCTGTCATACTGATCGTGCTCCTGTTTGCCTGTATGGGGCACTATGGCTGGGTGGGGGATCCCTGTAGGGTGCATCCCTGATGGGCCCAGCATCAGAGAGTGAGGGAACCTGTGAGAAAAAGGAGGAGGAGGAAGAAGAAGAAAGACAAGAAAGTGACAGAAAACAAAATGCATCAGTTCAGAGGAACGCGTTCGAGCAGGAGCAGAGAGGAGAGCGAGCGTTTAAGCGAAGGCAAAGAGATTTCTGTGGGCAAGGAGCTCGAAAGCAAGACAAGCCCGTGGGTTGATCACTTAAGCGCTGAAGTAAGCTTCAGAATCAGAGTCAGAATACTTTATTTATCCCCGTGAAGACGACAGAGGAGGAGGAGGAGGAGGGGGGATTCGGTAAAACCTAGTGTGTGAATTTTCCGCCTCTCTAAGGCAAATCTAAGGACAAATATCTATATTTACTCCTGTGGATTTTCAGTGGTTCAGATGTGAACAGAAACCTGTTTAGAGAGGAGGTGACTTCACTGACTGACACAGACGACTTCTGAATGAATAGCTAAATTTTCAACAAACATTTATTATTGATAGCTGGTAAACAGTGTTAGCTCTTTGAAGCACATTGTAAACATCTTTGATTTAGTTCTGTTTAGTCAGGAAACATTTAGAGTTTCCACCACTAGAGGGCGCCAAAGCATCACTAAATGAAAGGAAACACATCTCTGTTATCTGCTCACGTAAAGACACATCTTTTCTGCTAATGAATTATTTCTTACCCAACTATTAAAGCACTGAAGTTTGAAAGATGTCTTTTAAGTTTCTGAAATAAAATAATCATACATTTGTTTATTTTTTAACCTTACTTTTACAGCAAAATAAAAGTCTGACTTGCACCAATTTGTTGCTTTCCACTAGAATGGAGTTAAAAGCACATCAATAGTGATAAAACGTGATAAAATAAGCTGATAAACTGATGTTGACGATGATTAAATCTCAGCTTTTCCTAGATTTTATTCTGTGATGTACGTTGAATATAAAACTGTTTAGAATCCCAGTGAAATACCCACCGACATCCAGCGCGATCAAGGTCCAAAACAAACCCTAAGAAAGGTTCCTTCATGAGTGAAAAGAGGCCTCGAGTGAATGAAACGCAGCAGACAACCTGACACAGTGGCGAAGCGTTGCAGCGACAAAAAGCATCACCCTTTGAAAGCATTGACTTCCATTCTGTTCGTGTGCACCGGAGACCTTTATTGGATCAAATACAACAACTGAGAGTCACCGCTTCAGGGAAATATACAAAAAAAAAGGAAAAGAAAATATGGATCTCTCAGATACAGAGGAGGTGCGAGGCTCCCCCTCTTGTATTTGTAGTGTCCCTGTGCGGCCTTGAAAAACAAAAAATGAGAGCTGTCTTTTCAAAAAAATTCATCTTTTAAAGTCAGGGATCAGAAGCAGCAGACAAAAGGAAAAACAGAGAGGAGTTAAGAGTTAGCAAAAGCCGTAAAAGCTGTTAATGTCTGTGATGGTACTAAAGAAGAGTGTGTGTCTGTGTGTGTGCATGTCAGCGGTTTATTTGCTGCAGCAGTGTCTGGATCTGTTTGCTTGTTCTGGCAGGAACACACTGAACTGGTCCTGTCTCAGCACACGGGCTCCAATAGGGACTCACACGATGAAAGCGGACACAGAAGCTGGACACGAGTTCGCCATGTTGCACAGAAAAACAGGAGCTGAAGATGCAGAATTTTTTTTGGCTCGGTTTTGCCCGTTTCGGCTCGGTTTCGGCCCCGGGGCCGGCTACGATACCTGGAGTAGGAGGAGGAGCCGGGGAGGTTGGAGGAGTAGGGCTGCCTGAATCCACAGGGGGACAGGCCGGGGTAGACGGGCTGACTCTGCCTGCCACACAGCACAGCGGAGGAGGGGAGAGACGGCCACAGTTTGTGTCTTTTAGATTGACAAGTAAAATCTCCTTTGAGCTCAACTAGCATCCAAATTTGAAAGAAAATCAGACACATAACAAAACAGATGCACTATTCTGAAAGCTTCTTATTTACTGTAATTTATCTTCATTTTTTGCATCTTTAAAACATGCAAAACACTTATAATAACAAGTAATAACTGATACTATCTAGACTGTTTTTGTTTGTCTTACTTACACTCGAACATCTCCTTCACAGTCGAATCAAAAATAAATGTATTTGCTTGTGTTTCCATATTTTCTACGTTATCCTATTTTCTAATATGCAAACAGCGATCTCTACAAAACAAACTTCAGCATCAGTAAGATCCAAAAAACCCTCCTTCTTCTCCAAAGTAAAAATCTCGGCTGTTTGATGCCTTAAAACGACTTTGTTACAAAAGCTCTTGTGATGCTGTGATGCGCAGCGATCCCCCGCTGAGCTCTGGATCAGCACTGTTGACAGCTGTGTGTCAATACATGGCTTACCGGGAGCAGAAACACACACACTCACACACCGCGGGAGGTTGAGAGCGAGCGGGGATGAGATGTAAGCAAGAGCCTTTGATATGTATAAAAGCACACTTCTACCTCCTGTGAGCCGATACAACCAAACCCCCCCCCACCACTACATTAAACGGATTCTTCCTTATGTTAGCATGAATGCAAAGACGCTCGCCCTGATCAATTTCCTGCAATTAAATCACCTTTAAATCATCACACAGACACTTCCTTTCCCTTTTTGCTCTGAGTTAGTTTATTAGCAGCACATGCAGAGTCGAACCCAGCAGCAGGGGGAGAGATCAGGGATCACAGCGCTGAGCTCTGGAGGATCACTCAGGCTGTAAATCTGCTTTACACTACAACACACGTCAAACGCTGCTCCAATAAAGGTGGTTTTAACCTTAACTGCTGAGATATATTTTTTTAAGGAGGCTGCAAAAACCAGGTTGAAAAATCCAAATCAACAATAACCACCGATCAGTCAGTCAATATAGAACGAGATGTGCATGTGTGCCAAACATCTTTAAAGCTGCGTGTACCAAACGCAAATGTATACCCCAATATTTTTCCTTCTTCAGGAGAATCAGGATGAATCCATATGAGACTAAAGGAGGTAGAACTCGCCCATAGAAGAAGGAGGCAGTGAAGACTCTTAGAATCGCTCTAGTGGGATCTTTGTAGACGTGATCTAGCTGCTTCTGCTCACCAGGACGCTCTTTCACACTCTTTTTTCTAACTCAGATAACAAGGAGCAGGTAAAAAACGTCATCATAGCATCACTCTGCCTGAATTCCACTGAGTAAGCACCGTCACCTTGTTTTTTTTATGTTATACCTCCCCGGAGCTGCCTTTTTCTCTACCATACAGCAGGGAAATGTCACACTACAAGACATGTGTACCAATTCAATATTGATATCGGTCCGCTATCAGCAAAAAAAACGAATATCGGATTATATCGGCCTACATCTAAAATCTCTGATATCAGCACTCCGATACAAGTAGTCCATTCCAGACTCCACTCTGGTAAAGTAGCGACGAGTTGGAGTGATGTCGGCCTCGTGGAAGTATTTTTTGTTTTTGTCCAAAAAAAGACGTTGCAGCTGAGTGAAAAACTTGTCATGCACTATTTTGTGCCAACATCGGATCAGTATCGGTATCGGCCAATATCGAAGGCTACAATAACGGTTTCGTATCGGAAGTAAAAAAGTTTTAGTTTAGTTTATTTGTTTATACGAGCAGGTTTAAAGAAAAACAAAACAAAAATACAGTATACAACGTGCTTTAGAAGAAAAACAATGAAAGAGACAGCTCTGTAGCGACATAGATAATCAGACTTTGTTTGAAACGGTGTAGGATGAAGTTGATTAAACTTATCTAGTCCTACCCCTTCATTGTTGTGCTACTGTAACTTAATCAGTCAGAGCATGTGTAGAAATAACAGCACAGAAGAAAATAAATATATCAGAAACAAAGGCACGTTGACCATTGTTATAAATTCATGTTTCTCTCTTATATCCACTCAGAATGTGGTTTATAAAAATAAGTTTGCGATCTGCAGGTTATCAAGTTGTTTCGGGACGCCCCTGATAAAAAACATTGAGTATTTAGGCTGTCCTGAAATTTCCTGGAAATTTTCGAGTGTATAACGTGAAAAAACACTCACTCAGACAGGAACATACCTCAGTTGTGAAAGGCTGCAGCAAAGTATGCTGGGAATGAAATTAAACACTAGACGGAGTGTTTTCTTTGTTCAACTCTGACTGTAAGTGACAGCACTGTGGGACAGAGCTCGTAACAACAGAGCACAGACTGTTCTGAAGCAAAATGCTGTCAAAAGACCTCTGGAGGCTCTTTTTTCACCTTTTAAGAGGTCATGACATCCAAGCATCATCCAGACTCAGTAGGATGAACGCTAAAGTCTCATCCTGCGTCCTTATAGAGCTGTAGTTTTCTACTGTATTTAATAATGCAACATGTTTGTGAGACTCAGCCTCCCACTGCAGCGGTCACCACTGCAGAGCTGCATCCCCTCAAACAACAAGAAAACACATGTGGAGGTGGTCATGGAGAGACCAGGCCACTAGCCGAAACAACAGAAAACAACAGACTGACATTTAACGGCTCGTTCTCCTTCTCTTTTAACAAAAGAAACACGCTACGAGGGGCCAAAACAAGAAGATAATCTGGGTTAAAGGAGATTAGCTGTTAATAATATTTGTGAAAATCCATACTGAAGGGTCAGAGAAAGATAAACGCCTATAAATCAGGGACTGGAGAAACGTCCAGGGACCGTCAGCTCGTCTTACAGAAACATAAAAACAAACATAAACTCACATGTGAGCGGACGCACATGCAGAGTTTTAAGCTCCCTTTCCAAATCTCTGTGACATTTGATGTAAGCCTTAAGCTGCCGGGGGATTCCGTCCAGGCACAGAAACTGTAGGTCGCAATAAATGGATTTGCGTTGATCCAGAAATCAATGGCAGCCTGACATTAGAAGTTCATAATCAGTCAGCGTGACTTCGCGAGCTCACAATAGACGCAGAAATGATGGAAACAACAAATGGATGTGGAACAGATGTGTCTGCTGCTGCTGACGTCCAGCTCTGCAGACACGAGTTACGCTCAACCACCAAAAACACTCTCAGCTCATTGGATATTTCATTTCTGGGTTTCTGCTGATTGATGGATGTCCAGAATCTACCTGAACCAGCCAAACATTTCCCAGAACCCAACGATTGTTGATGTGAAAATACTGCATGAATTGTCTTGAATCTTCAAATATCTGAAGCCTCTTTATTCAGAGCTTTTAGTTAATTTAATCACCGGATTTTTCGCACTATAAGGCCCACCTGATTATAAGGCGCGCCGGATTATAAAATGCATTAAGCCAAACAAAACGGTCAGATAATTCAAACTTTATTTAACTCATTCAATAACTCTGCGAGGCGACGGTAGCTGCAGTGCTCCGACAAGCCATCAGGCTGTGCGGCTTTGTAGCTTACTGAAGTCGTAATAAAACATTTTGACAGATTTTTGGGCGCTGTGTACCACATTAAGTGCGCCTTATAGTGCGAAAAATACGGTACTAAAAACTTTAGTTTTAGTTTTAGCAAAGTTCACCGGTTCAGGTCTGAGTCCTAAACACAGAGGATCAAAGAATGTGGTTTCTATGACAACAAGGCCCCTGGGTTCGGCGCTCTGACAGCAGGTGAGACGGAGATGTATGTTTGTAACACTGACCCGGGTCACGGCGTGTGTGTGTGAAGAGCTGTGCAATGAGGCAAATTATGAAGATGAAGAGAGAAGATGTGGGCTTCTCCAGAGTATTAATGTTTCAGGGTCAGAGGTCACATGATGCTTAAATTGTTGGCAAAGTTAGAGCTGACAGGGTATAGATTTAACCAACTGATTGATTTGATTTCTATTCCTTTATTAAGCCGCACGTTTTTACAGGAGCCCCCAGGTGCAGAATCAAGATCGAAGATAAACGTGCAAAACACATACAAGCATCATATCTATTATTGATTACAGATAAATGTGACGCAGATGAGGTTGCCATGCAACTCCTGTTATTTGAAAAATGACACAGAGTTTATAAAATTGTTGGTATTGAAACAAATCAGCGCACAAATAACTGATCAGCATAAATTATAGATCTGTAGCGTTTCAATTTTCATGACCTGGGGGCCTCTGTTTATTTCAGACCTATACACTTTCCTAAACATACAAGAATCTGTTTGTTAAAGTTGTAAATGACACTTTAAAATTTTTAAACTTTATTCATGTCGAGCTGAAAATGTATCTAGATGAAGTTTCAGCTCAACACCAGTTGTCGTGATGTGACTGATCGACATACTTCCCATTTATGTTCAAGGAAACACCGACAATGTTACGACACAGTCGAGGTACACAAAGCACTGAGTGAGTCACAGCATGTACAGAAAGGTGTGAGTGTGTGTGTGTGAGAAAGAGAAAGAGAGAGACTCACCAGCCCATGGGGGAAGTGATCTGACCGACACCGCCTGGAGGGAGGGAGTAATACCCTGAGAGGTCCTGGGACTGGTGCCTGTGAACGCCTGCAGGACACACACACAAACACACACATCATCCCTAAAGACATCATTCACTTAATAAATGATCCAATCCCTCTGTCTCTGGACTCAACACACACACACACACACACATTAGGGCTAGGTCAGCGGCCCCTGGGTTTGGCCCCTGGTCTGGCAGGTTATTAGGGTTATTAGCAGTCTGGGAACCTGGTATTACACTCAGAGATGGCCTTAATAACAAAGGTCACACACTCTCAGAGGAGTGTGAGTGTGAGAGATGATGCTGCTGCTGCTTCTCTGTGTGGGGATGTTTGGGGTGGGAGTGTATGTGTGTGTGTGTGTGTGTGTGTGGTACCCTCCACTGGGAGTCCATGTCGCCAGTCGGTTTGGCGGGTTTATTTTCGGTTCCCATTTTTCAAACTCACACGCGCGCTGACATAGAGATGGGACGACTAGACACACACCCAAACAAACATCTCCTCAGCTCCACTTCTGGTGAAGATGTTTTCCGACTAAAGAAACACAGACAGCTCGACTCTGTTCCCTCACACTGTAAATACTCCCTCCCTCCCTCCCTCTCTCTCTCTCTCTCTCTCTCTCTCTCTCTCTCTCTCTCTCTCTGTGCCCTTCAAAGGAAGTCATTTGTCAACAGGCAGCACCTAGCACTTAGCGCGGCCCGGCTGCTAACCTGTGTTTGCAGCGCAGGAATGCTCTCGATGACTGTAATTTGGCCGCAGCTCCGGGCCTGTTTAGGACCCCGAGCCACTATAAATCTGGACGGCAGGAATGTGACTGAGTCAGTCGACCTGTCTCACCACTGCCAACCTTCCTCCCCTCCCTCTGTCTGTCCCGCCACACCCTTCCTCCCTCCCTCTCCCCTCTCTCCTTCCTCGTCCTCTCTCACAGCCCTCCACCCCTGTTCGGTCCAGGTCCTTATCCGCCTCGTTTCTGTCCTCTTTCTCACCTTTATTTTACCTTTTACCTCTCTTTACCCCTCTTTGTTCTGTCTATCACCACAGGCCTCTGCTCTTTTCTTTGGTCACCCATCATTTCATCCATCTTTTCTCAGAACTTATCTAGTTTTATGATCTTGATTTATATTTTACTCCCCTTAAAAAAATACAAACACTACATCTTCTAAATAACTCTGTTGTTATTGTGTGCCTCTGAAAAACACAAGTTTTTACTTTGCAAAACAAGCAACATCAAAATGTCATTTCAAGCGGTTTAATCATCCAATTTTGTTCACATTTAGCCGACAAGTTATCACAACAAGCCTAACTGAGTGTCATAATCAGCAAATGAAGGGGCTCTCATCTTCCTGTCAAAGGTCTGGGAGTGTGTGTGTGTGTGTGTGTCACAGTTACATCATGGAAGAGTTTCCTCAGCTGTTTGTGTCTAACTCACACATACACACATGCGCGCGTGTACATATATAATGTAAACACAGGGTTTATTCACCCTCAGGCTGAGTTCAGACCGACATCAGCGCAGCGTGACAAAACAAGGACCCTGTATTCACGCAAAACAAACACTGTAAGTTTCGATTCTGAGTCAGCTGACGGTTGGTGCCGCATATAAGCAGGATCTGAAAAAGAATACAATATGTTTCATGGTGCAGATGAGAATTTTGACTGTAAATGTATGTGAGCTATAGACTCTCTATGTGCATCACTTTGAGAAATAGAGAGCAGAAATCTTTTTATGTGTGCTTGTGGTGTAAAAAGGTTTTAGGTAATTATTTAGAGAAAACTAGAAAAAAAACTGCAAATTGATTTAAACTTTAACTATAAGACAAGTTTGAAGGAATAAAGAAACTGTTCAAAAGTTCAAAAAGACCACATTCTAAGGGCCTGTGCACATTGACGTTGTAGCTGACACCTGAAACTTTAAAGACACTGACATACAGGCCTGTATCACTTTTCCTTTACCTATAGATCAAAATCAAGAAGCTGCGTGACTTAGACGACAGGAGTGGTAGAAAAACTAACAACACTTTTATTTCTACTAATGGTTTAAAAGGTGCTTCAAATATGAAGCTCCAGAGAAAATGGAAACAGACTGAACAGCCGTGCTGTTGTTAAATGTTGTTAATGGACACAGGCCCTAATTCTCACTCCTCACTGACTTCTCCTCTTTAGGAATGGTGACTGATTGTATTTACCACATGATTTTCCATAAACAGTTTAATTACCTTAAGATGGGTATAATAATATACATTTATTTAATGGTTCTATTCATAAGGAAACTATTGTGATTATGATTTAATACACAAATCTACTTCCAGAGTGCTCTAAAGCAAAGATGTGCTATCACTGTCATCTAAGAGTTGTACTTCTACATCACGGGTAAGTATGAGCAGCACTGTCCTGCCTTTGCTTCGACCTTTAATGGAGTCATCTTTATACAGAGACCTTGTTATTTCACACCATCCAAGGCTGTTTTGTTATTTTGCCGGGGGGCTAACATCGGTCTGATCGTGCCCTCAGGCTCCAGTGGATTTCTTAGTCTGTTTCTTGATCTCGTACGGGATTAGAGGTGAAGTGATCTTTTCCTCTTGGTTAAACTCACACGTCCTAATTTAAATATCAATAATCAGCTTGTGTGTTTATAGGAAGCTTGTGTATTTATGTGTTTATAGGGCACTTAAGTTTAACTGCTAGGCGTCACATGTCACCTTTTTTGACACTTTCTTGACAACACAGCTACATAAAGCAAACAGATTTTACTTTGAGAGTCTAACTGTGGTGGAAAATCGGTGTCTTTTTCCCGTAAGCAACGTTTTTGCTTCAGTTTTGACACCATCAGCTTTGCTGTTGGTAAACCTCGATGGGAAAATTGGCAGCAGTAAAAAAGGCAGATTTTTTTTTTTGGAATGTCCCTTTTTACAGCCGCCATCTAACAACAAGTGCAGCGCCTATCTCACACTCTCCATATCAGTGTCTTGGGAAAAACATGAAAGGGAAATTATTTGAGTCAAACCGGCCCCTGCGCGAGCTCGGTATGAAAACGTGTGCGTGTAAAAACGAAAGTGTAGGGACTGAAAATAGCCTTCCTGCACTGATAATGTGCTGCGGTGTTTATAACCACTGAGAGTGTAAGTGCTGCAGCATTGAAGCCTTTAAATGACTCGACAAAGAGTTGGTGTGGTGACAGAAAGACAAGAAGAAAGTTTACAGTGTTTTCTTACAGTAAAGATGATAATGAGTCTGACCAATTTTAGTCATCATCTTCAGTCAGCCCAAACATCAAAAGTCAAAGTCATAATTTAAGTTGATTTTTCACAGTGTTAATAATCCGATGACTCTCATCACTTTTATTCTATAGTTCATCACATCTCATTTCTAGTACAGTTTCTTTTCTTCAGTGGTGTGACTCAATCGATCATCGATTTAGAAACCGAACAGAAAAATGGAAATTTCATGATGTTTAAAATTGTTTTGACTACTTTAACTTGTCTAAAACTTGACTTATGTTCTTTGTCTGATAATGTGAAATTTCTTGTACAAAGACAAGAAAACACTGAAAAAGTGTTATAAGAAAAACGTATAGATGAAGATCACCTAAATAACTACGTTGACATGTAAAAGGTTAGAAGCATGACTGGGTAAAGTAAGGGTGCTCAGAGAGGCCAAGTCTCTCAGAGGTAAACATGGAAAAAGGTTCACTGCTCAGTAATTTCAGAATAATGTTCCTCAATGTAAAATCTCAAAAAATTCAGGGGTAACAGGAACAATAGTTCACAATATCATGAAAAAACCCAAGTACCATATTTTTCAGACTATAAGGTTCACTTAAAATCCTTAAATTTTCTCAAAAACCGACAGTGCGCCTTATAATCCAGCACGCCTTATGTATGATTACTTTGTTGTGCTTAAATGACCAACTTTATGTGGTAAAATGCACTCAAAAATCTGTTGAAATGTTTAAGTACGACTTTGGTTAGCAACGAAGCTGCGCCGCTCAATGGATATTTGGAGCATTATGGTACACAGATTTTTTTTTTGTAGGATGGTAGGGAAAGGTCCCGCCCTCCTTCGCTTCTGATTGGCTAGAAGTGCTGGGCTCCGATTGGTTATTCCTAATCGCTGTAAAACATCATCGTCTGTGGGGTTAGGGTTAGGAGATTCAGAAGTGTGATAATAATGTTCTGTATAGAGCCGACAGGTCGCATTTGGCTCGAGCGTATGATGACGTTTCCAGCTTTTCTAGCCAATCAGAGGTGAAGGAGGCGGGACTTTCCCCTCCCATCCCACAAAAAAAAAATCACTTACAGTACGCTGTGTCACTATCTGATCGGCCCTGTAACAGGACCCCAGAGCAGCCAACAAGACTGCCTGACTGTAATGTCTAAACTAGAAGTACATTCATGTAAGGCAGCCCGGGCCCGGAGTACGCGCTAGCAACAAAAAAACAATCGATACTTAATGTGCCTTACGATCCGGTGTGTGAACAAAGACACGTTAATTCACAGTGCGCCGTATAATTGCCTGAAAAATACAGTAACAAGAACAAGATTCTATAACAATTTTAAGAAATCAATGGTCACAGACTTTGAGACCTTCATGCGTCACTGTTTAAAAAGAGGTATAAAGACACTATTTTTAAGAGGTACAGGGATGAGGAAGGTGTTGGGTAGCACCAAGTGTTACGAGGTTATTGTTTGTTTTGTTTTTGTTTTTCTTTCTTGTTTTATTTTGTTTGTGTGTGCTGTACTAAGTGAATGAAGATTTTGTTTTGTAACACAAATTCATGACCGTATTTTATTTATTAAAATTATCAGGTACATCTAAACAAGTTGCAAGGAAGGTGTGGGTACTTATTATTTAAAGGGAAGGGGGTGGGAGTTCATAAGTTATTTTTCTCACTCCTTTCGAATATATATTTCTATGTTTTATGTTTGAATGTTTTACCTTACTTTTCTTGTTTTGTTTTTTTAAAATATTTTTGGTTTGCATATTCGAAATAAACTTCAATCAATCAAAAAAACTGTATTAACAAACAGCATCAAAAACTTAGACAACTCTTTAGTAGAAATCACAGCAAAGGCCCAAAATCGCTTCCAAAACTGTGCTCACACACTAGTTTGTTGTTGCTTCCACAAATTGAGGATAAATTGTACCATATAGAATATGATCAGAGCCTTATCTCACTTAATAAAAAATTAAAGAAAAAAAAAAAAGAAAACAAGAAAAAACAAGAATAAAAAGAGAAAATCACAAATAGAAAGTCATGTATCTGTTAAAGCGATTAAAGAGTATCAAAAGTAGCAGGATAATGTGTTTTGGGGTGTTGATTAATGTGAATAAAGGCATATATCAGTCAGTAAAATGCTGCAGCCTGCTCTTATAAACACTAAAAAACACTGTTTAAGACCAAGACTGGGTTCTGCCCACTGAAGCATGCTGCTTCCAACTTCCCACTCTCTCTGCAGCTCATGTACAGTAATACCTGAAGACCACATGAGACCACAGTGTAAGTGCACTTACATGAGAGAGTGAGAGCGAGCAAACGTGTTTCATTTCTGCTTTTTTTCTGCTTTTATTTTACGCTCTATTGTCAGCGCGGGCAGTCATAACTGAAACAAAGTCAGAGTGAAGTGACAGAGCTGAATTGACTACTTTTATGTGACGCGATGAAAGCCGACTCAAGGCAGGTGAGAAGTGACTGGAATGACCAGCTGGGCCAAACTGTCTCAAAAAGTTCGACTCGTGTTTGTTTTTTGATGTGTTGCTGGTAAGTAAACCAAGACCGCGGTGAAACAAAAGTCCCAAATGACACTTTTTTCTACAGCTGGTGCGCTTGCATGCGAATTGAAAGCACCAGTAATGGCTTTTTTACATGTTTTTTAAAATTGCACCTAAGCTTTGTTTGAAACATCTTTATTTTCAGCATTTTTCTAACTGGGCTGAGCAAATACATCTAATCTAAAGCATCAGTAATCAGGTGTAAAATGGTTCCACACCTCTGCAGCCAATTCTGAGCAAAGCAAGTGGTGTCAAACGCAACAAAGTATAATGTACATATTTAGCACCGAAACTAGTTTTGTTGTAGCTTTAACTATAAAAAGAATTGAAAGGTTTGAGAAGCCAAAGTGCAACCCTCTAGTGAGGTTATTTTCAGCTGTCGTAGACACACGCTGGGGGTTCAGATGGAAAAAAAACACAGGAAGTACCTGAAGTGAGAGCTGTGAAGTGTTAAGTCTAACCAAAGACTCCCCCCCTCCCTCCAGTTACAAATTATGTGAAATTATTATAGTAATCTACAATAAACTGTGTTCACGTTCGTAGCTCAGAGGCATGACGCCATGAAGAGTAGGAAAAACAATAAAATATTTAAGTAAGGGGAGTGAAAACATGAACTTCTATACCAAGAGTCAGCTCGAGGATTTCACACGTTGTTGGTGTTGGAGAGGAGAGAGAGAGAAGAGGCCAAAACAGAGATTAAAGAAAGTCGACACAAATAGTAATCATATCTCTGATTTTCTTTCAACCCTAACATGTAAGTGATGCATGAGCGGTTTAATTATAGAGCGGGCGGAGAGAGAAAGAAAGTACTTGAAGACCACTGAAATTATAAGAGATCAAATGATTACAGCAGAAGCTCAAAGGTAAACCCTGAGGAAATGTTAAACTATAATTTTATTATTCACACACAAAGAAACAATTAAAAAAGCTGAAAATTGAGATTATTGTATGAATTAGAAACACATTTATCTTTTTTTTGTTTTAGTGGAAAGTTAGACAATGGTTCAGCGTTAAGAAAGAGGAGATATAATGTGGCTGTTACCTCTTTTATTTAGCTAGAAAAAACATCTTTATTCATATGTGACATTAAAAGGCATATTCTGGCATAAAATTAAGTTAAAGTCAAACACACATAAATGTTGCCGACCACTTGCTTCTTTGGTTATACCAACTTAAGTAACAACCACACGATAGCAATACACAGCAGTCTATGTTTCCACGCCCAAACCTCAACCAAAGCGCCATTCTATAGCCACAAATAATGTTCAGAACAGCACCTAACTTCATCAACAGTACATACAGAGTCCTAGCAACAGCACTAGCCATCAAACATCTTTTTAACTTTGCCTGATTTCTTTAGCAAAGAGACTAAACACAACTCACCTACTCTCTTCCAGCAGCCGCTTTTTTGTAGGGGAGCCCTGACAAGTCGATCACCGAGTGCGGTGCACAAAAATCTCAAATTTTTAAATAAAACTCATGTCAGCTATAAAAGATCATCTGGAGTGGTTCTGGTTTTATCTTTGCCAACACAAACCTGCACTGATTTACACCGACCGTGGACTATGAGAAAAAAATAGGCAAAAAGACTGAACACAGTCAATAAATATGAGTTTAATGAAACCTGCAAAGAATCACTGAAAGGAAGAGGAAAAAGCCTGATTTATACCTTTTGTTAGAAACCAAAATAAAGGTGGATTTTCTGGCTTTTGTCCCTGCTGGCCACCGTATGTCTCCTGTTACATTAACAGGATGATACTCTATTATATCTTTCATTTGTTTTTGGTTCTTCTGCATTCGTCCGTGACTAAAGAGCTGATATCTCAAACAAAAACAGGTTTTAATCCTCCGACTGTCGACAGGTATTATACTCATAGATCCAAACTGAGCTCAGAGATAAAGACAAGAGTTTCAGCACAAAGGTGTGGATAGGTGTGCCAAAAAAATGACATCACTGATGATGTGACCCCACACGCAAAAAGCTGATGAATGATATGAGAAATAGGTGAGGTAGTGTGTCCCTATAGGAGCATGTGCATGTGTGTTGCAGTCAGAATTCAGGTGAGATGGTGTGAGAGACACAATGCTCAACAGCTGTGTGTGTGTGTGTGTGTGTGTGATAGGAGTTTGGAGCAGGTGGTTCAGTCTGTCATTAAGCGCTGAGTCACTGTGCTAGCATCAGCCATGGACACACACACACACACACACACACACACACACACACACACACACACACACACACACACACACACACACACACACAAGCACACACAAGCACACACACACTCAGAGTCTAGACCAGACAGGGAGAGCGTTTTTGAAGGATAAAGGGGATTTCCAGACGCAGCAGGCAGAAAATTGCCCGAGGTCACACTCTGGTATCTAATCAGAGATTCAGAGTTAAGAACGGACTTTTGTTCAGCTGATGTTTGTTTTGGATTTCCTGATCTCTCTCTTTTCTAAACTGAAAACACACTTTTTTTCCCACTGTCGCACATTCAATTTTTTTTTCTTTTTTCATTTTCTTTTTCAGACTCAGAAACTTCAGTTTGGGATCAATGCAGGTGCTGCACTGGCACCTACATCGCCCAAATATAACTTAGCAGGGAACGGCTGATGGCTTGTAGTAAGTTTGAGCAGCTAGCCTAAGGTAGAGGTGATAAGACCATTACAAAGATTTTACAACCCTACCCCAAAATCCACAACTTTGGACCTAAGCTACAGCTAATTAGTGTCCTTGAGAGCTTTGCAGACATACTCCCCAAGCTGTAAAACCAGACTCTAATGTTTAAAAACAGAGAAGCTCCTCCCCTTTATCTTTAAAATGTGCACAGTTAAATCAAGCTGTTATTACTCCATTACCCTAATTTAATAACGAACTACTGAGCTTACTACGTCACCAAAACAATCGACAAACAAGTGAGCTGGCTGTTGAGTTGTGGTTCTGTTTACTACCTGCCTTGCCTCTTCTCATTCATGCTGTTCATACTCCTGGGTTGGATTGTGGAGCATGTGCAGAAGACTAACCCCCGATTTTCATTGCATCCGGAACGGCTCCTAACCAGAACGGCGGCCATTTTCGCTGTCCGCCAATTCCTACTGGATCCGTTTGAGAGGTGAATTTCGTGAAAGATTACGGACAGCAGATTCACGCGCGATAACAAGTTGTCTTTAGCCACATAGGCTAACCATTTAAGCAGTAGATTGTGTCCTTCCAGAGGATGTTTAATTTTGTGTCTGTGCCCGACTTCTTTCCAGCACGGGTTAATCTGTGCTGAATTTATCTGGCATGCTCCGGCGTTCGGAAAAAATAGAACTCTTGCGATCAGCTACGGAGTTCACCGAACAGAAAGAAGCCGGTGGAAATTGGGGGTAAGGTCCAATTTGGCCTGACGTGAGGCGTATACACACACAAGAGAAAATCTATCCTAAACTATGCAGGTATGCTAGGCCGGATCTGAGAAGTGTGACTTGGTGCAAATTCAGTCAGACCTACATGCATGTTTTCTTCAAGTCAGTTTAATCCTCTCATCCATAACGTCAGTGATGTTGGGTAACAAGTTGTGATGTCTCACACATATAGAAAGTGTGACATAAAGAGTGAGAGTTGAGGAGTGTCAGAAAGAGTCGAGTAAAAAGCCGCCGCCCTCCTGGCCTCCCCTGAAAGTCCCAAACTCCTGACCCGTGTGTTTAAATGTCAGGGTGTGTTTGTTTGTGACTTTCAAACAGAGTAGCAGTTTGTGTTTGTATGTACAGCGCTTGTTAAGGAGAACCGTGTGTGCACTGCAGCGATGGCTTGTGCGATTGTCACTCTAATTGTTTCCATCTTTGAGTGTCTGTGTGTGTTGTGTGTGTTGTGTGTGTGTGCGGCTGGCGGTCCCTTCAGAGGAGCAGGCCACTTCAGAGCAGCCATGGAACCGCCACAGGCTGACGGAGCCGTGGCTCCCACTTCACACACTGTGTGCGTGCCTCAATATGTGTGTGTCCATGTGTGAGGACAGAGAGGTTGGATGTGGGGTTGACAAACATGAACGGGATGCCCGAGTGTGTGTGTGTGTGTGTGTGTGTGTGTGTGAGCGTGTGTGTGTAAGTGAAGCAGCAGGATGTAAGAAGAGAATGAAATCATGAATTTATTTCATTTGTTATATTGAATTTCTCATGTGTCTGTTTCTGGTAAAGAGAGGGCGATGCTCTTTTGTGTGTGTGTGTGTGTGTGTGTGTGTGTGTGTGTGTGTGTGTGTGTGTGTTCTGTATTTGTATTGATGTGATGAATGATAAGTGGATAGCACAAACAGATCTGTGTGTGTGTGTGGAAAAGGATTTCAGTAACAATTCGCTGACTGTTTGAAGTACGTCTGTGTTTATACATGTGTCTGTGTAGTTTGTGCGTCTCACATAAAAACTGTTTAATTTGGTATTTCAACAAGAAAGTGTATCCGTGTCTGTCATTATGTGTCTGTGGGCTCTTACCTGTCTTCTGGCTCATGTCTGTGGGCAGGTGTGGGGGGCTCGGGCTGAAGTGCTCGTTGCTGTAGGGCAGGAGGGACGACAGCGGGTGCATCCCGTGAGACTGCTGCACCACCGACACTTTGTTGGACTGTTGATGAAAGAAAAATAAAATCAGTTATTTCATTTTCATTAATATGGTTTACAACACATTCACAATGACTGTTACATGAAAGCGGCTGCAGGAGTTTAACTTTTGGTCACCAGTGTCAGCCAAGAACCAAAAATGATCTTTTCTTGACACTAATGTGCAAAAAACTGCAATTCCTTCAGTGTCCACTGGGGGCTAGCTCCAAAAGATCCAATAAGTGGTAATAATAAGATGCAAACTTAGGCATAATCAGTGGAGTCATTTGGTAGGCAAAGGTAGGCTATCCCTGAGGGTCAAAGTCACAAAAATGTTGAATAGGGTTGAATAAAATATTTCACATGGACATAAATAAACACTGTGTAGAAAATAGTGAGGGGGCCAACTTTTATCAGTCATTATTTTGTTTTTTACATTTTCAAAAATACTTTGACATTTTCAAAACGTATTTGTACTTTCATGTATTTTCATGTTTTCAAAATTTACTTGTGTTTTCTACTGTATGTTTTGAGTTCATGTGAAAAACTTTCTTGTCATGTAACATGTTTGAGTGTTTTATGAATATTTTTGCATTTAATGAAATATTTTTGCCGTCTCCTGAGATATTTGACCCTCGGGGCCACTGTACATCTGAGCTAACACCTCCGCTCCGCCTCTTTGGCACTTTCTAAACTGGCCTGAAGTTATGAGTCATCAACATTTCATGAAACCTTTTCATCCATGAATGGAGACATCACTAAGAAAAAGCCCGTTAAGTTTATTGCAATGCCGTCAACTCAGCCATAATTATTTTTTTACATTTTCTAAAATACTTTATTGTATTATGTTTTCAAAATTTACTTGTTTTCTAATGTTTGTTTGAGTTGATGTGAAAAACTTTCATGTTGTGTAAAGTGTTTGTGTTTTATGAATATTTTTGCATTTAATGAAATATTTTTGCTGCCTCCAGAGATATTTGACCCTCAGGGCCACTGTACATCTGAGCTAACGCCTCTGCTCCACCTCTTTGACGCTTTCTAGATTGGCCTGAAGTTATGTGGCGTCAGCGTTTCATGAAATTTTTCAGGCAATGCCGTCAACTCTAGAGGGACCTGTCTCCTGAGATCCACCAACCTGAATTTGCCTGGATTTGCTTAAAAGTGCCTCCAACAGCTCCATTTGGCATCAGTAACAACGACACTGGTCATGAGTTAGTGTGTTTTATATGATTTCATATTTACTTGGATGTAAGGGGACACTGTCAAGCAGCCAGATGGTGGTTATTTTGTTTGGACCCACCATAACCAGGAGGCCTCAAATTATACAGCTGGTTTCCATAAGAGCCAAACTTTGATTGTTTAAGTCAAGCCTAATTTTGCCTCGAACACACTGAGCATATTAAAATGTCTTTATTTGCTTTAATGAAATCTAAATTCATTTTTCTTCTTTTGAACACCTGCACTCTATACAACCCTCCACACCCACACACACACAAATGAACATGTATGAGAGTCAGACAGCAGGAAAGCTGGACATCTGAAACATAGTTTGGAACAAATGGATAGGCTGTACTTTGCTCCCATTGGCTTTCAGTGGAGCAGGGAGGAGAAGGAGGAGGAGGAGGAGGAGGCCCATTTGATCGATAAGCCTTTGATGATCAAGTGAGTGTGCGTGCGAGCTTGTTTGCTTTCATGTTTCTGTTTACAAATGGCTTTCAATAACTTACGTGAAATCCAGTTATTGCTAATGCTCACAGCATGCCGGCTGACATACGATACGTCACAGCGGTTTGCAGAGTTGGAGGCAGCTAACCAAGCAGCCTGGACACAGTTACACAGCATACGTTTGAACTACAGCATGGAGCCGTGCGTGTATGAGAGACGTGCGCCGATGACACATGGGTGCGTTTGTGTATTCCCAAACTGTGCAAGTTCTCTGAAAGGTTTGCAGGACTGATTATTATGTAAATGGGATTTTTTTTCTTAATTTTGTACACTTGGATGTACAAGTCTGTATGCGTGTGTATTTTTCAATGGATCTCTCTGTGTACGCCCATTTGCATGTGTGTCTGTGTGTGTGAAGTGTGTAAGATCAGCACTACAGACGAGCAGATCTGCTGCTTCTCGCCGGGCCTCCTGCTGAGTAACAAAGTGAATACCTTATCACTTAAAGTCAGAGCTTCCACACGCTCAGTCCACATTTACACACACAGACACACACACACACACACTCCTGAAGAAGCTCCTGTCCTATCCATCAAAATCTTTAACTCTTTCCACACACACATACACACACACATGCTGAAGTCTCATGTGTATGCTGCAGAGCCCGCTGCGGAGTTAAGATCAAACTGCTAAAACCTCTTTTAATGGTCATACACATGAAAACCAAATGAAGCACCTCTGTGCTGAGGAGCCTGGAGGGTGGGAGGTGTGAGGGTGCAGGGGAGGAGGTGGTGTGGGGGCAGGGTGGAGGTCAGGTTTGGTTAAGGTGCTCTGAATTCATAATGACCTCAAGAAGAAGCTCTCAGAGGAAGAGGTCCAAACATTAGGCACAGGTCGATCCATCATCTTATTTGCCTTCTGACTTTTTAAAAATCACATTAAATAGTTTTTAATAGTTTTTTCATCTGATTGTTATTGTTCAGTTTCATGTTGCGTTTTTGTAATTGGGATGTTGAGCTAGATGTCATCAGGGATACAAATAAAATCACCCAAACCGAAAGATTTTGGAAAAGAAAAGAAATATGGCAGAGGTGCGTTGTCATGGAAACACTTTTGAAATCCCATGAGTTGTATTTAACAATGTTTTTAAGTCTTGTTGTGGAAACAGATTTCTTCCATCCTTATACTTTCTCCCTTTCTCCCTTCTTCCTTCTTTCCTTCCTTTATTCAGCCATATTAGCCTGATTGAAATCAGAGATATCTTTTCCAAGAGAAAATTGTCAACAGCTGACTTATACTTACATATCAGAACAAAAAGAGTCTTGTAACTATATCTGAGAGTGTTTTGCACATTAAAATAGAAAAAGAGATTTTATATATATATATATATATATATATATAATATTAGCTTATTTTCTAAGTTTTTCAAGAACAGGAAAAAAAAAACATTTCAAAGATTTTCAGGGAACATTTCTTTTTTTCTTTTTTTGATCTTTTGGTCAGACACATACAGAGAAAAAACATATACTCTTATACGGTTAAAAAAAACGCTGAAATATATTGTCTTTTCTCACATCTTTTTTTTTCTTATACTTTAACTTTACAAACAAGAACTCACATTCTAAACACAAATATGAGTCTGCAGTCCAGAAAAAAACACCTAAACAAGCCAGACTTTCACCAAAAAAATGAAAATAAAAATAATAATAGGCTCTAGGAAGTCTACATAGAATACATGTATACAGTGGAATTCAGTACCCCGCATTAAAAACATACAAAAAAGAAATATTATGCAGAGGTAGGCAGTGTCAATAGGAAACATTTTTTCAAGGATCAGGCTGTTGTTTTTTTTTAATTTTTGGTGTGCTGAAAAAAAAAACACCAAGTAAACTTAGAAATCATCAAATCTATTTACTTTTAACAGACAATGTATTGAAAAGTAAAGTTCCTGTTGACTTCCTCTTTCAAAATAAAAGTTTCAGGCTTTTTACTCCAAACATTTAATCAAGGTCACATTTTGCGTTCATAAAGCATCATTGTGTTAAAGCTTTAGCAAAGATATTTCACAGACTGAGTTGTTGATGTTAGCAGTGAGCTTTTCTCTATATGTGGTAACAGGATATTAGAATCAGACTATGCAGCGTTTGTAGAGGATTAACAGAACCACATTAAAAGCAAAGTGAGATCACGACTGCAGCATGACTCAACAAAAACGACGAGATTTCAAAGGTTGCATATAATGATGACTGCAGCGAAAAATATGATGCACAAGTGTGGCTTTCTGCACAAAAACATCACACTGATGTATGAGGAACATAGAGGCACGTTCTGCTTATGAACGCACACACACACACAAATACACACACACACTCACGTGCACGGCAGCTCTGAACCTTCAAACATGGCTGTGGCTCTCTTTCACGTGCTGAGGTTGATGTTGCCGTTTTGCTGTAACATTATAGCCGCAAAATCGTCCATTTATGTTTCCTCTCTTCCTTGGGGTAATTAGTCGGCCTTGAAGTGGCTTTAGCTGCGCCTTCCTTTTTTTACACACACTCAGGGAGGCTGACTGAGAGCACTCATTTAACCCATAATTATCAAGCCCTCTGTATTTAAAAAAAGCCCCCCCACCCCACCATCCCCCCTTCACCCCACCACACACATACACTCACACAACTTACACATAATAACCTTGGCTGAGAGACTGACGAGTGTGTGCATGCATGCATGTGAGGGACGACCAAAACACACACACACACACACACACACACACACACACACACACACACACACACACACACACACAAACACACACACTCTCACAAAAGATCAAATAATACTTAAAGCATCTTTGAAATGCAAACATGCAGCTGAGTTTTCGGGTTAAGAAAAGCAACAGAGGTCTCCCACATGTGTTCAGGTGCGCACACACACACAGACACACACAGACACACACACATGTAACCAAGGGAAAAGTTCACTCAGCCTTTAATTAACAGCAGCAGGGTTACCCACCCTTTCATGTTGATATAAATCATCAGGGAATAAATTCTTGGTTCAAATGAACAATAACGGAGAATTGTTAACTCTGACCGTCTGAACTTTGATTCATTTATCAGATAAGTTTTGTTTTTAAGGTAAAAAAGTTCATCTTTGATCCTAAAGTGAGGATTTGGCCCTGCATCATGTCACCTTAAGACCAAGAGATTTGAGCTGGACCCGCTGCTTTATCAGTCACATCAGCGTATCAGTGACGTCAGATCGAGGCATGTGATGGCACTCCAATAAAAATCTTCATGCAACGGACTGGTTAACTCAATAAACAGCATGTTACCAATTTTTCTTTTGCTTTTATCAAATAGTGTAACTGAATAGAGAGCGGGAATGCAGGGAGCACGGAGCAGAGGAGGAAGGAGACAAGAGAAGGCAAAGCAGCAGAGCCCCAAAAGTAGGTATTTCCCAAAAAAATTCCTAAAAAGTAGGGTATGGAAAAGTATGGAAATTCCAACTGGGTAGGAACCCTGTTTGTTGGGGCCTGTCCTGTGTTGTCAGGGGGAGTTTATAAAATCCTTCAAACGTCCAAGGTTTTGTATATAAGTTTTTTGTTTGTGTTGCGTGGACCAACTGAGTTAGAAGCGTGTAAAAAACACTCGACCTGACCCAAAAAACTCTCAAAATTAAGTAGGCACGACTCTGTGACTCCACCCCACGTAGGCGTGTCTTCTTGTTCACCCTCGGCATAACCTGATATTGGCAAAAATGTGATTTTGTGCATCCCTATTCTGTGAAAAATGGACATCATCTGAGTGACATTACTGATTCGTTTGGAGGGGAGGTTTTGATAGAATGAGTAACCCAACCACATTTGACCCACATGGTCCCCCTGAAGTTTCTAGCACTCCCATATTGGCTTCATTTCATAACACTGAAAGTCGCATCTTTGCTGAGGGTTTCAAATTATGACACGCACTAAAATGTAGCAGCAAGCCGACAAAAAACAGCCAGAAGACGACTTTGTAAAGGTTTTGTCAGGCATCGAGGTCACACATATTTATTCACACTGAATGAAAATGTCACTCTAAAAGGCGCCTTGAACTAAAGATGGAATAAAAAAAAACGAACTCGGTTCATTTGGTAAATTACTGATGCATAAGATGCTGCTACGACCTAGTGCAATGGTATACTGTGTATTTCTGTACATACATTAATCATGTAAGCAGCCGTACACATGAAGAAACTCATTGCCAACGCGCTGAATAATAAATCTCATGTTTGTTGATTACATCAAAGATTAAATTACTTCAAAGACACAATTACTTCATAAATTCCAATTAGATATCAGCCCCTCTGTCTTTCTGTGCGTCAGGAAACGGTGGATGTATCCCTCCGTGTCTCTGTAGTCTCATTTCACTTGAAAGGCCTTTGATTTAACGGCATATTGTTGCTGCCTTTTATCTCCACTCTATTTGAACAGAAATCTGCTGCTGAATACAAGAGTTAATGGGATCTCAGACATCACTTGTTTGTAATGACGGCCCCCCACCTTGACCCTGACACACACACACACACACACGCGGTTTTATGTATGCATTTCGCATCCACGCGCGTGCAAAGAAACGCAGTTGCATGCGCGCACACACATGCCGCTTCATTCAGAGGACCTTATGCTGATAAAACACCTCTAATGTATTCTTTAGTTTTTCAGATGACACACTAAGTAGATTCATCGCTTTTTATATTTGAAGCGGAAATTCAAGCGTCCTCTCTTTTGTTCCTCGCTCTAAAGTGCTTTTGAGTCTAATGTCTTTAATCTCAGATTTCACCGAGATGGAACATTTAAAACACTCGTTCGCTCTCTTTTCTTTCCTCGCCCTCGTGCGGCAGGAAAATTAAATAGATAAATAAAGACAAACTGTTGAATGCTGGATTCACCTTGCAATTCTTTTCAAGTGGCTGCAATCAAACTGCTTTAGAGGGGAGACTGCTTTAGAGGGGAGAGATCCTCACAAAGAGATCTGAGCGTGAAGGTGCCGTGTTTTGTTATCAAATTAAATGAGGCTGCGTTTAAAAAAACAGTCGGTCAAAGGCGAATCGAAACAACAGTTCGTAAGACGTGTTTTAACTCGATGATGTGTATCTGGACAAAGACAAGCTGGTGGCCATCTGAGGACAATGACTGACTCCTAACTTTCAGCAGATCCGATCAAAGCACTTAAAAACATTTGATTGAAGACAGTTTGAAGTAGGCCTGGGCGATTTGGCAAAAAAATGATCACGATATATTTTGTCGTATCGTCCGATCTCGATTATTATCACAACTTTTTTTTTTAAAACTGCCGGTTTTAAAGCATCTTTACTAAAAACTAATGAAACTAGAGAGTAGTTCAACATTTTATTAACATACAATGTAGATAACAAAGATTAAGATTATTATATTATTAAGAAAATTATAAAAGCCATTTTAACTCAACAGTACAACAAATGTAGATAAATTCTAAATAATGCAGTGAGCTAGTTGACAGTCCTGAGTGTTTTTGCAGGTATGAAAGACCCAAAATAAACAAATCGCCCCTTCAGAGATAATGAAGACGCCTTAAAAGTTAAACATTAGATGATGTAAATGTAGATGATAAGATTGATTGATTGCTTTGGTCTGGTTGCTGCACTGCTAGTTGTAGCTAAACTGCTAACGCTACTCGTGCCGTCAGCAGTGACAGGCTGTGTAGACTCTGCTCACATTTTCATGCTTTCAGCAAAATCACTCGGGAGGAACTTCTTTAAAATTTAAACAGATTTGTTGTGTTGCCGGTTTTTGAGGCACCGTCCACCGACATACCTTAAACATCGACTTAATTACTCAACGTCACTTTGGAGATACCCAAACCATGGCACCGCCACACAACCGACGTTGAATAACTTCTCAACAAAAACATCTTCAAAGGACGACTCAAACTCACGGCTGACATCTATTTTGCTGACCTCAGCTCCGCGTTCGGTCATTCTGTTTACTTCTCCTGTAACTTACAGAAGTGAGCAGGAAAAGCTCGACTCTGATTGGCTGTTGTGACGCACATATCCGCTATGTTTGATAGAGTAAATATGCTCACAGCTGATCACCGTGATCGAACTAAAATTTATCACAATCATCGATCACGATCATATAATCGCCCAGTCCTAGTTTGAAGGATGAAATGATCTGTGATTGGAGGTTTTTTCCTCATTTTTTCTTTTGAGTTATTCTCGCACATCGAAACAGATTTCACTTTCACGGAAGGAAACTCATTTCACACACAATATAGATTTGTTTTCATGTTACAGATGTGCCAAATGGAAAGTCAATTCAAAGCTCCTGCATCTTTAGAGAGTCTTTAAACACAGATGCACTTCTCTGACTATAATACTGCTTCATCATAACGGTATACAGTATTTACATGCCGGTTAACAACTGAAGGGGATTAGTTCTGAGTCTGAAAGCGGGGTGAAATTCCCCACACCTGCAGCACACAGAGAGAGTGAAAAAAAAGGAGAGAAAAGACACACATTGTTGAGAAAGATAAAATTGAAGGTAAGTATGAGTAAGAGGTAAGGACTAGTTTGGGTGGCACTGAGAATCTGACGAGGTATTTCACCTGACGAAAACTCCCGACCCAGATCAGATTGAGAGCTTTAGATCCACATCGAATTCAACGTGACCTCATGTGAAGAAAAGACACCACAGCTGTGAGAAAAAACAGAACTCCTGATTTAGAAACCTTCCTGTATGACTCGGAGAAAGTGACAGATAAGTGAGTGAAAAGAGGAGGTAGAAAAACGATGTGAAGACTGATCACGTTTTTCCATCCTCAATGACAGCAGATCATATCTCACAGTTTCAATCTTTAATATATATTCTGTTTTGATATCTCATAGAGTTTCAACGTTCATCTGACGTAAACAAGTTTTTTCACTTAAATAAATCAAACTGATTAATTACATTTTGATGTAATCGGCATTGTATCGTTATCCGGCCTCACAAGGCTGATATTGCTGTTATGCTTGCGATTTTTCTCACCTCCACAGCGAGTCAAATCTGAAACAGCTCCTAGCTAGTGTTGAGTAATGGACGTATATCAGTGATGTTTTTGAATCTAAATGTACCTGAGATACGTTCATTAACATAACCCTCTACAACAGATTTTGATCCGTTGTATTTGTTAAAAGCAGAAATAAACAGTAACAACTGAATATCGGTGGAATAAACCTGCTATCAACTAAGGATAGGAAACGATACAATATTATCACGATACTTGGGCCACGATTCGATATTATTGTGATTTTAAACATTTCGCGATACAGTGAGTATTGCGATACCATATATTGTGATTTGTAGTTTTTCAACTACTCAGCTGATTTAGTATTTGTCTTTATGTTTGTCTTATTGACACAATATTTTATTTCATGTAGCACCTCTTCATGTCATGTCCATCTCATTTGTGCCCTGCTTTCATTCCTAGTGTCCCTCCACAGGTGCTGCTATATTTGTTTCACTAACTTCCTCCTGCTCTATGAAGTCACCTCTGACATCCTCACTGGACAAACAATTGATTTTATTTTCTATTATAGAATTGACTTCATATTAGCATTAATTTGAAAAAAAAAAAATCGATACTTGGTGGATGGGATGATACGATATATCACCAGACAAAATATCGTGAAACTATGCCGCATCGATTTTTTTCTACAATCAACTGACCTGCTCTTTCAGTATCACTATTGGCATCCTTGGAAAAGTGATATCGGTCAACCACTAATCAATATCCATCCAGAACATATCACTGAGATTACTTTGTATATAGGATTTTAATATAGATGAAATGGTTGTTATTGTTATTATTATTATTAAATTTATCAGCTGACCTGCTCTGAAATATTCAGTATCTGTATCGGCCTATGAAACTGTTATCAGTCGACCACGATTCTGGTCTAGACATTTAGCTTGAAGTTGCATAAACAAGAATAAGATGGACTTGTGTTAATAAAAATGAATGATTGTTATTGTTATTATTATTAAATTTATCGGCTGACCTGCTCTGAAAAAGTCAGTTTTGGTGTCGGCCTTGGAAACTGATATCAGTCGACCACGATTCTAGTCTGGACTACCAGCTTGGAGTCGAGTAAACAAGGATAGAACAGATTAATGTTACTAAAAACTACAAAACATCATCATATGAAAGCAGAAACCTTTTTTTTAATCTATTCTCATCGAAAAGAGTGACAGCTGCAAAAAATAAAAATAAATAAATAAAAATGAAAATAACTTTATTGACCCCAGAAGGGAAATTTAATCAATATAATAATAAATAAAAATAAATAAATAAATAATATAACAAATTCAAATAAATCAACCTCAAAGTATTCTTTTTAATCCAACACAGACGTCACATGATGCATCCTCAGTTCTCCACTCATACTTATATTTGTGTTCAGGTCCCAGACCATCACCTCTTTGTCCCTGTTACCACCAGACTGACCTGCTCGACTCGTCGTGACCCCCCACAGCCCCGTCCCACCCCGGCAGTAGGTCTTAAGTAGGTCTCTCAATCTGGAAGTGATTGTCTGCTTCAGAGTCAGGAGCCCAAAATGAGAGCCTCTTAGTGGAGGTTTGGGCAACATCAAAGAGAAGGCAACCATAACAACGCAACTATGTTTAAAAAAAGGGCCAAACACCCCCCAACAAGCCTGCCCACTCCTCTATTACACACACACACACACGCAAACACACACTAACGCTGATATCCAACCATGTATGCAAGAACACGCCCAGTGGTGTGCATACAAGTTCACATAAAACACACACACACACAGAAACACACACAGTGGTCCAGTGCTACCACACAGCACATCACAGGAACATCTGGGCCATGGTCATGATGAATCAGAAACCGCTGCTCGACGCTAACAGACAGAAACTGAGAGTGTGTGTGTGTGTGTGTGTGTGTGCGTGTGTACATTTTATGGTGTATACTACCTCCAGCTAAAGTGTTCAGGAATAAAGTGGTTCAAAGTTTATTCTGCAGCATCTTTGAAACAAGATAAAAAGAAGATTCGGTTCGCGCCGTTGTCAAAAATCGTCTGTGGTATCCCACTGTACAAGAGAAATATCAGTGACATGCAGTTTTTAAGACCTGTTCCAGGGAGAAAAAGGTCAAATTTAAGCTGCAAGTGTAAATTCAGAGCTCTGGTTAACAGCAACAACAGTCGAAATGCTACAGTGCTTAACTACCCTGATGTAAACAAGCACAAATGACTGACAGTATGCTCTGAATTTGGCAGTAATTTGATCTTGAAAACAGAGATTAAGTTGTGTTGTTAAACTTGCATAGACTTGACTGGAGCACCATCATTCCTCTTTAAATTTTTTAAAATTTTTTATGATAGAAATGACCTCTTAAAGGCTGAGTTTGAATGTTTTACATCCAAAACTTGATTATGCTTTAAAAGAAAAAACACTCCTTGTAATGGCACACATAGATTAGATTAGATTTTTCTTTATTCATCCCTCAGTGGGGAAATTAAAATTGTTAACAGCAGCGGTCCACACAACATACACATTCATACCGGGTACAAAAAACAGTAAGATAAAAGAGCCACGGTAAAAAAAGAAAAAAATACGAGGGCTGAAAGGATTCCTCGAGTACCTCGATGACAAAAAAGGAATTTTCTCTGCCTCGAGTACTCGTTTATAAACTCAAACCGTCACTGTTTAAGTGTTATTTTCAAGGTGACACAACTCGTTACCACGGTAGAAGGAGGAGTAGGCGCTGTTTTGGTTTTACGGAGCAGAAAAATAAAAAATGAGAGGGGCTTTTCCTCTGCGGAGCTCCAGTAGTTCATTCGCAATTCACCTCTGAGTCGTGGGCGGAGACAGCGCTCCTCTGCACACTCCTCTTCACGCTAGCTTAGCCTAACATTGCCGGTGTAGTAGAAGTAGCAGGTAACATAGGAGCCATTCAGCTCTCGGACACTAATGTCTTAAGGGGCATGATGAAAGTTTATATCATAATTAACTTTCTTGCGAGCATTGCAATCCGCTAACGCACAAGCTTGATCCGCGAGTGTTCCGCGATAATTGTACTTTAACTGAAAAAAAAAAAAAAAAAGATATCTCCGATTACTCGATTAATCAATGGAATATTTGGCAGAATACTACAATATTCAATAGCTCATCTAATTGGTTTTGCAGTGACTGATTTTTGGAGGGAGATCTTTTTACGAGCCTCTACAGGTTGTTTCTTTTTCTTTTTCTGTTCTGTTCTGTTCACAACCATCTTTCAGAAAGCCATGGGAAAACAAGCAGAAGATGATGTACAAGTGAAAGTTTTAATCAGACTTTGGAGAAGAAGAAAAAAGAAAGTTGTAGGGAGCGTCACGTTCCTCGACTCAGGCTCGGCGTGGAGAGATACCTCCGACCTCTTTCTGAGATGACGCTCACTGAGCCACGAATGCGACTGCATGTAAAATCAAATCCCGGCTGAGTGATGGCATTTAGAGATGAGTTATCACTTTCTTAATGAGTGGACGAGCAGAGACAGACAAGCTGGCAACTTTCTCCTCTAGACTGTGGTGACGGTTTCTCTCGCTACACAAATGATCTCTAATGACCGGTCCTACAGAGAGCTAATTAATGGTGTGCTTGTTTATTTCTATCAGAAAGTTCCACAATTAACAACTTGTTTGTGACATTTGGGACATCATCCACGACTTAAATATTGACACAGGGAGACAGAGGGGGAAATGAGCCAACCACAGAGGACGTAAATCCTCTTTGAGACTCACTTCCTTCAGGGTTTGGTTTGACTCAAACAATAGATACTCTGACGACTTCAGGCCGCAGCCATATTTGTCTGTCCTGTGGGAAACTGCGAAAAAAAAATCTGGAGGTTTGATAACGTTATTGTTGAAACGGCATGAAGGGATTGAAGCTGCGAAATAGGCGTCTGTGTTTGCGAGAAAAAGAAAAGTCAGCTGGGATTTCCAAACAACCACAACATTTCTCTGAGCTAATTTGGCTGCAGTTTCAGATCAAAGTTTGCTCTCCGCACTTGACCTTTCGATGGATCCCTGCTTTCCCACTGTGCAGCATGAGAGTTGGAAACACCAGGCGTTTTTTTTTTAGCTTTGTTTTTTTTTAATCTCTCATATCCCCATAGTGATTGGGATCTCGTTCGCAGGTTTTATGTGGCGCAGAGATGACTGAGCTCGTCTGTCGCTCACTCATTGTGAAACCTTTTCTGTGCGGCTGCCGAGGACAGCTTTCACTCACCCGCTCAGCCTAAATATCAAACCATGTGGCCAAATGGGAAATGCCGACACACCATAAAAACCCCTTCGCTGACACGTTTCCTGTGTGCCAGTATCTATTTATTATTTATTACATAAATACAGCAACTGAATACCACGGTAAGAGAACCATATTTCCCTTAAAAGGCACAAAAAAGAAAACTGAATCTATCAGATAAGAAGATTTCCATGAACCGAGGAAGAGAAAATAAGAAGAAATCATTTGATTTCTCACATAAAAAGGGAAGATATGATTGCTCTGAAAGTCATATTTATGATACTTTAAGAAAATCGGCTTTACGGCCCCTGAGAGTCTGTTTATTTAACAGCGATTACAGAAAATAACAAACAAAGTTTAACTTTTTGATTATCTATAAAGTGTTTTATTCTTTTCTGTAGTAACTTTTTGGGTAGGACTCAAAATATGAAGATTTTCATATTATATGGGTTTTTATATTGAAAATCTTGGTGCTAATTTTTGACGGTTTATTAGAAAAAGCAAGAAAGTAAAAGACAAAACTTTTAAAACTTAGACTGCAAAATTATTTTGACTTTTAAAGTTCCTAACAAATTAAATACAAGTCTAAAAAAAGTATTCATAGATTGAACTGAAAAGAAACTTGACAAAACTTTACATTCAGGTATAATGACTGCTGATTCTTAAGAAAGGGTGTCCGTTTTTATTAATTGAAATTAAACATTTTTGAACATTCTAAATAACGGTAAAATACACTCATCTTCACTCTATAAGTGAATGGTTACACTTACTGCATATGTGAATGACTATTAAGTATATGAATTTAGCATTTCTGGGTGGTCAGACTTCAAATCTACCTGTAGTTGAGTTAACTTCTTAGGACACAGAAAACTCAATCGGCTCACGAGCTTCCTGCCCTCTGGGCCGCAGGTTTACGTCACGAGAAGACGGTGGCTTCTGTCTGAAGTGCCGCTTTGATGTGAGTATCATAATAATCTCATCTGAGTGTTTGTGTGTTACAGGGGAACTGAAGGCCACGCCAGATAAGGACAGAATGACGTGAACATGCTATAGAAATCATAGATTTTTACAAGGATAAAAACCTTTAAAGACTCAATGTTGCTGCTAATTTTGTGAGGTTGTGATTTGTTTCCACAATCTTTAAAGTGACAATAATGTGTAAAGACTTTATTATGCATTTGGACCTCTCTACTTAGCATCTCACCAGTGTTCATGTTTATGATAATTGTTGCACATATCTTCAGGTTTGTTTCATTCAGGTCAGTCACATGACTTAGATGGACACCCGAGGTTTAAATGAGGCAGAAATACTAAACTATCCACGGTGCAATTTACAGAAAATTGGAGGAAAAGAGAATGTTAACCATTTCAATTTACAACAATGATGTTTAATGAAGCAGTTATAATGATTTCAATCACTAACAAGCTAAGGATATTAATGATCTGTAAGCGCAAATGAAAATTAGGGCTGGGCGATAAACCAAAAATTTACCGATACCTACATTTACAACAGATTTACAGATGTCATTTAGCCCATGTCAGTATATTCGGTGTCAAAATAAATAAATAAATAAAAAGGACGGTTCAAAAGTTGTAGCAGCTAAAGTAGACGGAGTTAATGTGGGAGGGGGTGAGCAGCTTGTGGAGTAGTTATCGTCCATTTATCATTATCGAGGTGAACTGCTCAATATACCGTGATATTGATTTGAGGCCATATCGCCCAGCCCTACCTTGTATCTGTTTGCATGTCAAGATTTTTATCTCAAATACACCAAATTTCAGTCTTGCTTGGATCCCAAACCTTCTCCCTTTTAGGAACTTAATTTAAATATCTATTAATTTTTTTAAATTTTGGACAATTACCTCAAACTTAGAGACATTTTATTCTCAGTAATACAATCAGAGACATGCTGCAAATCCTTGGAACCTGCAAATGCTGAACATGTCCTCTCGTAAAATGAAAACACGACAGAGAGACTGATCAGCCTCTTTTAAGACGGTTTGTGTGATATTTAATTGGTTGACACTTTAAGACAGATCAGATATAGATGAGGAGGATCAAACCTAAACACAGGCAGATGTTGCACCCATGAACAGACGAAGACTCTGGAAACTCCCCTAAAACTGTATTTTCTTCTTCTGATTGTGTTTCCAGGAAAAGCCATCAGACAAACTCACAACGGCTGAATTACTGCTGCTTAGAATGAATGAATGAAATAATGAACTCTAAAAAGTGTAATTAAGAAGGAATAACTGCGCCTGGTGTCAACGTCTGATCTGTTATGCTTCTGTCATCCTAACTGAGTAACACAACACAGAAACCAGCTGAAAGACACAAACGTCTGAGTGAGACGACGAGTCACTGAATGACATCAGAGACCAACCAGAGCCCCGAGGCCGCCGTCCACTCAGCTCCGTCCTGTCATCGTCTCTCAGAAAGATCAAGCAGTCCAAGCTCAAGACCATTTAAAAACCCATCGTTCAAAGATTACAGCCGACACAACAGGAAGGTTATCTATCATGACTGATGACCAGCGTCCACCCTGACGCTAAACACCTAAAGGGTCCTCTCAGAGACCTCTGGACATGCCGGCACTAGCAGACTTATACAAACTTCAAACTGGACTCACAACAAAAACATAGAAACGATTATTCTCACTCTGCATAGACCGCCTTTAACCTTTTCTCCACTCTTTTTTAATCTATTTTCATTTAACCCGCACAAAAACTCTGACCTCCTGTGAGCCGCCGCAGTCCTTCAGAGCGAGTTCAGCTTTTACAAAATCCTTTTCAAAGAGAGAAAAAAGTTCATGCATTTGTATTTTGCAGGAAACTTAGACAGTTTAAAGAGATTCAAGGATTTTTTTCACAGAACAGGAAACAGCCTCCACGATGGGTTTAATGGGTACAATTGATTAGCTGACACCTTTCTGAATAACACGCTCTGCATGAATGTTCAACAGTCAAGGCTGCAAACTGAGTCACTGCTCTGGGTTGCCTTGGCTCTGACAAAACACACTTTTCTCTGATCCAGAAAGTATGCTTGGTTTTTTTTTTTTAGTTGACTAAATGAAGGGAGGATCATGGAAAAAAGGGAGATGAAAAGAAGAAAAGGAGAGAGGGGGCAGGTCAAAATGAGTGGAAGAGTGGGACCATAAAATCAGCGCTTACTCTCCAAACATGACTTTAATATATTTAATTTTTGTTTTAGCTTTCAAATGAAGGCAGGAGAGATTAAAGATAGATGTGGTAAGAAAGGGAGTGGAAAAAGAAAAGGATGGAGTGATGGATGGATGCTTGTCTGTCTCCTTCCCTCTCTCCTTTCATGTCCTAATTTATTCTCTCAGATTAATTCGTTTTAACCCCAGCGGCTGGAGCGATTCCTGGGGATGTGCGGTGAGCCCCACCTCCCAGCAGCCCCTGCTCTCCTCTCTCCTTCCACTGTACCTCTCTCCCTCTCTCTACCTCTCCCGGCCCACCTGCTGGGCCGGTCCCTGCTCTGAACGCCAAGCAGCAGAAAGGAAACAGAGCAGGCGTGCCGTTACCAAGGCGACCGAAACTACACACCCTAAAACACAGTCCACATAAAGTCCAGTTGAAGATTAATTCGATTTTATGAAAAAGAGCAGCATAAAAAAAAAGAAACATAAAAAGGCAACATGAGTAGAGTTTGATTCTTCAAAGACCCACTCCGATAAAAATCCTGTTTTTCTTGTTGTCTACATGTTCATTTGCCATTTTTCTGATGCTACAGGGCATATCATGAGAAAACTAAGTGCAAAATTGAATTTCTGAGTATTTCTGCATTCAGATTGTAGTGAATCTTTGGCAGACACAAACGGCAGGCTCAGATTTGGTGAGATTTCATACATCACAAATCCAAGCTCCGCCCCCGAAGCTCTGCTATGCAGGCCAGACTCAGAGAAGTAGAGAGGACGATTGTGGAAGAAGCATGTGCATTAGCGGATTGAGAAGCTAATTATGATATTAACTTTAATCATTTTTCCAAAGATATAAGTGTCCGTTAGCTACGTAGCTCTTATGTTACCTGCTTCTTTAACAACACCAGTAATGTTAGGCTTCGAGCTAGTGTGAAGAGGAGTGCGGAGAGCCGCGCTGTCTCCGCCCACAACTCAGAGGTGAATTTCAAATAAGCTACTGGAGCGCTACAGAAGAAAAGCCCTTGAAAATGACACAGGTAACGTGATTTTGGCATAAAACTTCATACTGAGAACACTTTAGGTAGTAAAAAAATGTGAAAAAATGATCGGAGTAGGACTTTAAAGGGCGAGTTCACTGAAATTTTCAGAAAATTAAAGTACAAGGGCACATCAAGAGAAAAAAAGAAAAGACTTTGAGAATAAAATCATAAATTTACGAAAATAAAGTCTTAAATTTACTAGAATAAGGTTAAAGTCAACACAGCTAATTAGTCTCCATTGTTGATGGAGATCAGTTTTTACTTTTAAATACCAGCCCGCTTCTCATGGTCTAAGTCAACAACAAATCCTCCAATTTTGTTTTTTTAAATATTTTTGAAGACAATTTCAGAGTGAATGTGTGCATTATTATTTTATAAGACTTTATAGGGGTTCACACACTGAAATACAGTCTCAAGCTGTTTCAGTAAACATGATGTAAATAAGATGAACAGAGATTAAGAGGGGAACTTTGTTAACCACAATGCCAACCAAGGATGAAGTTTGAGTGCTGCACTTTTTTAGCAGGAACTACTGCAATAAAAAGAAAAAAAAACTGTGTCTAAATTTAGTTTAAATGCAATGCTGCCATCCGTTTAACTAAGAGAAACCGATGTCATGGTTAAACTCAGAGAATTTATAAAGAACACACACTTTACTGTTTTTATGTGCGTAAAATAAACTCCAGAAAAACTCAAATTGAACATTACAAGTGTCGGTCTCAGCCGAAGAACATGAGATGAACTTGAAAACTTCGCCCCGGAGTTTGATCCATGCACCTGGAAAAACAGCTTCAGCTCTCCTCTCCACTCTCCTCCATGTTTATAAGTGGTTGTTACCACAAGTGGTTTGGCTCAGCCTCTGGAGGTTATACGACGCTTTTCTGTACCATGGATAAAGACTGAAGTCGGTTACTGCCGCACAGCTGCATCAGTGTCCTTGAGCCAAAAAGCAGAAGCCCTGAAGTGAAATAAAAAAAAAAACTGAAAACCATCTTCTCATGAATACAAATTCTTACACAGCGCTTGGATGATTTCAGGAATCCTCTCGAAATCTCAATGGAACTTTTAACAGCTGGAACATTTTACTTCAAAAAACCTTCAAAAAGACTCCACTCAAAATGTTGTTTATGGTCATTTTCTTAAATATAGAGCGGTGGGACTCGATTTGGTTTTTAAGTAAGATTTATCATAGACGTCAATCTTTCCAACCTGTCTTCTCATTCTGGTTTGTATTGTTCAAAACTTTGCACGAGGACTGAGCCAAAAATCCGTTGTTTCTAATCCCAACAGAGAGCTGGATTCAGGCAATGTAAGATTTATGAACAGTTTTAAAGTTATGTTGAAACTGATGATTTCTTTGTATGTTGATTTTCAATCGCAGCAGTAAAATATTAGATGAAACCGATGTTAGCGTAAAAAAATACATGATTTTAACGCCGCAAAATTTCCACATAGCACAAAATTTTTTACGAAAGTACTGAATCAAGATAAGATAAGAAGAACTTTATTGATCCCCGAAGGGAAATTCAATAAATTTCCCGTCTTGATTAAATACTTAGGGGAAAAAAAAAAAACTATTAAGTAATCAGCAGTCAGCATTTTTTTGGAGTTTGTACTGATTTCTGGACAAATTGAGTAACTTACTGCTGATAATCCAAAATTGAAGAAAAGACCAACCTGAGCCGTGTCGTTTTCCTAATTTTCTATGTTTCCTGATTCTGGATTGGTGGGTTGCTAAATCCAAATCATAATTATTCAGATTAAGTATGTGACAAAAGTGATACATTTCCGAGCTGTTTGAACAAAAACAAAAACCTCCATACAACGTTATCTGTAACGTTATCTTGTTAGATCAGATTGTTATCTTTCTAGATCAAAAATGCTGCCGAACTCGAGGCACTGCTGGCCCGGCGGTTTAGGTGCGCCCCACATTTGCAGGCAGCCTGGGTTTGGTTACGTCTCTCTTCCTGTTTCCTTCTATATCTGCTTTTCTTTCCTCTCTAAATAGAAACACAAAAACAGATCTGAAAATAAAAAATACTGCCTAACTGCTCCATACAACGATGTGCCTTTTACGTCTATGCTTGCTTACATCAGGGTAGTGGAGCATCATCGCATTATAGCTTCAGCCTTGGCTAGCTATGCTACAGCTTAGACTCTGCACTCGTATCAGGAATTTGTTTGATTCAGAGTGACAACATGAAATCCACAGAAATCCCTAATTAGCATTAGAAAATCTGATCACAACAACATCTTTCCTGATTTATAATCTCAGGCCTTCTCCGGCGTTTTTCCCATCAAAAACAAAGCAGAGATGTCAGAAACGATTCAGCTCTTTCAGTCTAATGACGTGATGCTCTGTGGGTTTGAGTCCACGCCAGGACGGTTAAAAAATCCTTCCTTCTTTCTCTCTGCCTGTGCCTGCGATGCCGGAGTGATGCACCTCATGTGTTTGGCAAACATCCTCGCTGTAGTTTGACTGGCTTGAATTATAGATGGGAGACGCGAGCCACCCGCTGCTTGTTTGTTTGTTCGAGACTTTGAGTAAGCAAAGGGAGCGCGAGAGGAATGAGACACAGAGAGATGAAATGTGAGGGCGAGTGTGGAGGGGGATAAACGAGAAGAAAAAAAAAAGGAGAAGAAAGAGCCAGACTGGGATGAAGAGGGACAGCAGAAGAAAAAGCAGGGGACAGAATCCAGGAGTTTGAATTCTGCAGAGGCCACCCGCGTGAAAAATGAACTCATACACGGTACAGATGATGAGCATCAAAACCCCAAATCGAAGTTTTAAACCGCTGGATTCGTGTTCAGCTGCACCATTTTTGGAATATTTTCAGCTCAAAGTGTTTCCCCTGCTGCGATTTTAAGTTGGTTTAAAGGGCGGCGGGGTAATTCTGAGAGTTCGGAGGTTGTCTAAAATCCAACATGAGAAAAACTAATCACATCTAAAGTCGAACAAGAAAGAGGTAAAGAGCAGGAATGATGTAAGAGACGCAGCGGCACACACGCCGCCTTCGCCATCCTGGTGGTGCTGTTACAAAATCCCCGTACCCGCAGTCATAATTGTTTGTTACAGAGCGCTGCCTTACATCACTGACCGCACCGTCCCTGCTCTGCACCTCAGTGCCGGGTCTTCTGAATCCAAGGGGGGATCCCTCCTCGGTCCGTCCAGCTCACATTACACAGGGCTCAGGGCTCTGATGTGGCTGCACACAGAGAGCGTACAAACCCCGGCCCACAACCACACAGACCGGCTCGGCGCAGGCCTCGTCCTGCGGTCTGCTCCTCGCTATGAAAGAATATTTCTGTGAATTCCCTGATGATATCCTCCCCCCACATGCTGCTCTCATTTAGAGGGGGGGTTTATTCGCAGGGGGGTGTACGGTCGGCGGTTGTTGCACGTTGTGCTGAAGGGATGCACACAGGATTTCACTTCAGGACAGAAGGCTCTGGTGTCTTCTGGTAGGAGTTAAAGACAATGAGAATAATCTCTGGCAGAGATGAGGATGGTGGGCAGATTTTTGTGTTGGGTTGGTTTCTTGAAGGCACGAATGGAGTAATTGGTAAAGACTTTTTTTTTTCAGGACTGCCAGCCAACTAAAGAAGAAGCTCTGCACTCAATAAAAACATAATTTAAGGTTAGTTTACTGTGACAATGGAGGCCGGCAGGAAGACGAGTTTGATTATAAAGGAAAAGATATAAAAAGTATTTAAGAGGGTTGATGTAGTGAGACAGGATGAACCATTTAATCTGTTAATGATGAGAGGGATTGTTTCCTTAATCACAGAATAAACCATTTAATATGTATACTATGAAAAAAAGTAAAAATTTACAATATTTTTACTCAACCTAACATCATGTGTCTAAACTTTTTTTTCTACTTTACAATAAATAAAGTTCTCACTCTAGTTTTTAAGGAAAGCAACATAAATACACAGTTTTTATGAACTTATAACACTGAATATTTTTAATAATATAACTGTACTGAGAGACAAGAAGAGGAGGAGGGAGTAGAAATGCCTTCATAGGGCCGCTCCATAAACTGTATTTGTGGTTTTGAGAGATATCTCTACCAAGATGGCGCCTCAACAGGAGGCCTCGGTACTTTGCTTTCACGTACTTTTTGTGTTTCTGTTTGGTTTTCTGCTCTCCTTCTACGGTAACCTTCACCAGAGAGGAACTCTTAAACATCAGGGAGTCTTCTGTCAGACCTTTTTTCTCCAGTTTTCACAAATCCAGGAGGTTTCTCTGAGATATTTGTCAGTGGAGCAGCTGCATTTTATGGAATCTGCAGGAGATGACGACACCTGCTCTAGACTGTGGAGCTCCTGCACTTAGCCCTCTCATAATCCTAAACTGCACAATGTCTACTGTGGACTCATTCCGGTTCCTAGGATCCTCTATCTCCAGGGACCTGAAGTAGACCTCCCACATAGACTCCATCAGGAAAAAGGTCCAGCAGATGTTGTACTTCCTGTGAGACCTAAGGAAGTTCAACTTTCCTCAGAAGCTGCTGATCCATTTCTGAAATTGTATTTTTAGCCCATACCGCCTGGCCCTACACATTACATCAAAATCTTTACTTAAAGACACAATTGGCCGATTTACACATGTGACTGCAGCAGTGTTGCACACATACATGTTAACATTTTACATAGACACAAACGTACGACAATTTGAATTATCGCACAGCCCTACTTAAGCATTTGTTTTTGTTAAAGCAAAGGCAGCGTACACCTGTGTCTAACAACTCAATGCATCTCCAGTAACTATGCACAAGTATTTGAGTCTGTACTTGATAAACAAGCACAGAACTTCGGGAAGTTTTACAGATTTGTATATCATAATGTTGTTTGGCAGGCAGACTTTTGTTAGTTTCCTATTTATTGATCAAACAGGGGAATTTTTTTAAAAAAAGGAGAAAAACACAAAGAGAGTGAAAGGAAGTAAAAAAAAAGAAAAGAAAAACTACAAAGGTGTTGAATTAGAGGACAGGAAGGGGTGAAAACACAGAGATGTAAAGATGCACGGCTAAAAACAGAAAAGACGCTGAAAAGTTGGTGCTGCTAGAATTAGAAAATATGTAAACAAAAGAAATCGTACTAATGGATGGATGCAAAGAAAAGAAACCACACATATAAACACACACGAACACCATCTCATCACATCTTCGTCAGCTCTCACCTTTTCATCCCTCTCTCTTCTTCACATCAATTAAATCACTTTCCATCAGCCGGGTCTTGTACTCTATTAGCACCCTGCTTTCCCTCTCTGTCTGTGAGCGAGTTTCTCTTTAATCTTCAGGAGATGTTCCCATTGATGGGTCTATTGATTTGATGTTGTGCCAGCTGCTTTTATCTACAGGAACTCAAAGAGGTGTTGGAGAAAGAGATGCACTCCCCCGGCAGGTCTAACCACACACAGACTGAGGCTGGCACTGCCGGGCAGTCTGTCTTACCCTCGAGGGGGAGATCAGAGACCGCGAGACAAAGGGGTGATGATTTGACTTTTGATTCACTTTTAAAAGTTTCATATTTATGAGATCTGAACTTTGATTTTTATTCTTTGTAAAATATCTTTAAAGGAGGTTAAAGTAGGGCTGGGCGATATGGCCTCAAATCAACATCACGATATATTGATCAGTTCACCTCAATAACGATAAATGGACAATAACTACTCCACAAGCTGCTCACCTCCTCCCATATTAACTTTGTCTACTTTAGCCGCTCCAGCAGCTACAACTTTTGAACTGTCCTCCATCTCCTCACCTGTCTATCCTCCTTTGTTACGGACTGGATGGGGTGGAGTCAAGTCTCTGATGTAGGACAGCGTCTTAAAGAGACATGAGACCAAAGCCTACCTACACACATCCAAAACCAACTTTTATTTATTTATGGGAAAAATGACGTCAGTTATTGTCGTAAATTTTGGTATCAGTAAATTTCGTTTTATCGCCCAGCCCTAGTTATATATTTTTAAATAGGCAGGAATAAAAAGAAATTACACCCCAGTGACACTAAGCAACCTTCTGTGACCCTGATCTATCTCGCCAAAGTGAAACTGCACGGAAAAAGAGAAACTACTTCTCTTCCAGTTTCGGCCAATAAACTGTGTTGAGGGTTGTAAGATGGCGCAGCTCCACTGGAGTCATCTGTGTACGTTGGGAGAGCGAAGCGAGGGCGCTCCCCGTCCAGCTGACCACACGTGGAGTCGGTCCAAAACCCTTAGAGAGCCGGTGCTGGTCCGTTCCACCACAGAGCTGCATGCACAGGCCCCGGGGGCCTTGCCTTGCAGCAGCATCAGAGAGACCGCCTGTCACCACTCGCAATCTCTCGGGCACAATGTTCCCTCTGCCAAACTGTGCGTGCATGCCTGTTTGCGTGTGTATTTTCTTACGGCCGTGTGTTTCCATTATTTTGTAAGAAAATCCACCCTGCGTGTCCTTTCTTGAGCGTGTGTTTTGGTCCGCACATGCGTCTGTGTGCAGCAGAGGCAGAGGGTCCCCCCTGAGAGCAGGGCTGGCCTGTGGTTTGGGGAGCGCCTGCCAAGCTGCCCTGCTGCCCAGCGGAGGAGGCTGATATATTCTGCTATCGATCATGCTCACTAATAACATGGTAACTCAGCCAGACTGTGTTATTATCACCCCAAAATAAAGTGGCTGGCTCTGCTCAGGGGCTGCTGCCTTTCAATCAGCTTATCATCTGCTCACTCTTTTTCTTCTGTGCTCTGCGTAGACGGGTTCACGTCTGCACCTTAAAGTGTAAATCTGAGATCAACTACACAAGTGGGTATCAAGTAGAGGACATTAAACATTGAGGCTGTGAACATTTCTGCACTAACAACACAATTTTTGAAACACTTTTCACCTGATTCCTCCTCTGTCTAGTTTCTATAAAGTTTTGTTTCTCCTCAGGGGGACCTATGACTCTACAAAAGCCTTTAAGAGTGAAGATTTTACCCATTTCTGCCGCACTGTCTCTGAAAACACTGAGTCATCTCAAGATTTGGACAAACCAGATACTTTTATGGGGGTCCTGCTGTTTTAAAACAAGTATTTCTATATAAGTATTGATCACAGCTGAAGGCTATAAAATCAGTCTGGAAACATCTTTGTGTATAAACGATGTGAGTTTTATCAACATTTATAAATACAGTTTGAAAATTTTTAATTCGTCCAAAAGAAACTGAAATAAAATTATCGACAAGTTCTGTTTAAAATAAAAAAAGAGATATAGAAAAAGTGTTTGAAGTCAGATTTTTTTCATGGATTTTTAATTTTGTTAGTTCTTATGTGAAGCTTTAGCAATAATAACTATTTGTTTCTGATGTTCATGTTTTCAAAGTTTATTTTCTGAATTTGTTTAGATTAAGGAAAGTAAACAGAGTCAGAAACCAGGAAAAAAGAGTGAGCACTGAGATCAAGATGTCTGATACAGCATCAGTGAGGTGAACAAGTGACCCTATTTCCTGTTTTTTTTCTTCTTTAACAGCTTTAAAGACAATATTTTGAGAGTGCAGTCCATTCTTATTTGTGTAAAAATAAACCAAACTCAAGCGTGTTTAAAACATCAGAGACACCTCGTTAAATCCAACTTAAATGATTCACAAATTTGGTCACCGATCACTCCATCTTCCCGTCCTTCCTGTTTTCTTTGCCGTCATCCCTCCGCGCTTTGACTCATCCCTCTGTTATTCTTATCCATCCATCTTATCTATAAAACTGTCAGACGTTTGTGTCTGTGGTCGGCTGAATTGTTTCGTCGTGATTTGTAACGTAAACATGTGGCCGTGTGTGAGAGCATCCCTCCCTTTGGACACAAACACACTAACTTTATATTGAGAGGACGACCAGCAGCTGCCTGGCTTCACTCTGGTTCTCGTACTGAGCCGTAATTGTTCCCGTTCCTCTCCTCTGTTAGTGCGGGGTGGAGCCAAGTGGCTAACCATCAGCAGCCATTATCACTCAGACTCCAGCCGCCATGTTGGAGTCGTTAGTCTACAGTCTACGGCTTAAGCGTGGGCGACTTTCGTAAACGAGCTCACCCTAGCCTAGCCTTGGGTTTCAACCATATTGGAGTTGACTGGATTTCAGTTCAAAACGTGCGTTTACTTTTTAAAGCTCCCGTGAAGAACTTCAAGTATGTGTGGATTTTGGCGCCCCCTGTGGACAAAACAGCTTATGAAGAGTATGTCCTGTTTATGTGTTATTACATTTTGTGATTAATAAAAAATATCTTGAGGGAAACCTTGAGAATTAGAAAAAGGTTGCGATCACTTGGTTTGACACCTACAGCCCGCCAATTTTGTGAAACACTTAAAACAATGAGATTAAAATACTCACAGATTTAAATAATGGTCCCGTTTGCCTCATTAGGTCATGAAGAAACATCAATATTAACTTTTGCAGTTTCAAAACTTCTTAAAAATTCTTCACGGTGGATTTAATATAATTATCACAATTAATTTTTACCATAAAATCAATTTGCTGTTGAAAATACAATTCAACTTAATACTTTATTGAATTGATGTATTTTTTTATTGATTTTACTTTTCTACTGATGTGTCTTTTAATTGGTGCCCACAAATTAAATGTATTACTATTATTTTATATTTGTTTTTTAAAGTAAGTTGTTGACAGAAATGTATTAACTTTGTCAGTAAGATTTATGAAAATACTGGACTAAACAATGAAAAGGTAGTTTCTTGGGTTCGTCAGCTGCTGTTTCATGAAATCTTAAAAATCCCAACGGTACAATTTTTTAACAGAATTGATCCGGTTGAGTTCAACATTGTAAAAATAATGACGATAATAAAATTGAAAAACGACTTGTCTTCATCTTTTCTTGAAACCTCAAACTTTTCTATCTCTTTCTGGGCCTCATGATGTCTCTCCCTCTATCTGCACTCCAGAGAAGTCTCTCCATCTTCTCCTCCATCACTCGTTTCATCTCAGTCCAACAGAAACATGGTGGGAAACCATAAAGCCAAGGAGCTCGACCGAGGCCAAACCAGAGATCACTGCGCCCATCACAGACTCCTTTCCTCTTTCTCCTCCTCCTCCTCCCTCCAGTTTCCGTATTTGATGCTGCTGTGAAGCATGAATCGACTTTCAATCTGTTACTACTTGAGCTGATGCCATGATTTTTTTCCATGACTCCTTCTTGATGAAGCATCTTATCCACAGCCAGGATGTTAAAAAGTATTGTGCTGCGAGGTTTTCCTTATTTCCTGGACGTCTGCTTTTCTCTCCGGCTCATCTTTTTTTATGCAAAACTTTCCCACCTGGGAAATGTCGACTTAAATGTCGTGTGTTTCCATGACGACAGGTGATAAATGCGTTAATTGGTAAGCAGAGTTTTCTCCATCTCGGTTGACTGGTTTATAAAAACTACATGCGTAATCAGTTTTTATGCTGTTTGTGCAATTATCTCCCAATTTACCACCCATATCTAAGATTGATCTTTTTTTAATTGCAAATGCAGACAACTATGTCTTTATTTAATGAGGTAAAAAAGCAAAAGTAGCTCTTGTTAAACAGGCAAAGCAATACAAACTTCCACCAGTCAAGAACAACACACACAGCAGGGAGGAGCTGTGTGTGTCTGTGTGTGTCTGTGTTGTTCAGGTGATGAAACTTGAGGCCTTTTTTTTTTCCACAGTAAACCACAACAGACTCGACCTCGCCTGAACACAGCAAACACAAGTACAAGCACGGTTTTAGCACATGCATTTGCACACACACACACACAAACACACCTGATAGGTAGAGAGGTGCACACCAGAGAAGACCAGAGTAAGACTCGTTCCCCGTCTATGTCTGCATTTGTCTATTTTGAAAGTGACTTAATTTTCTGCAATCACCATAAATACGTGTCAACTTCATATATTTCTTAATTTTCTCGTTTACAGATCTAAATCTAACTCTGTCACTCAGGCTAACCTGTTGCATACCTTTGCATGATTATGCTTTACACGAGGCCTTCACTAAATAAACAGATAATTGGTTTGTTTGGATCCAGCCTCAAGTGGACACTCAAGGAACTGCAGTTTTGTTTGTTTTATTTTTGCACGACCAAACACAGGCCTTATTTTTCCATCACCAAATGTTGGTGCCTGTGTATATCTAATGGGTGCTTAATTAAAACCAGTATCCTATAAAACCGGCCTGGGATTAATGAGACTCTGCAGGGGATTGACTGGAGCCGGGATGGTGCTCGTACCGCCGCAGCTTGTTTGTGACCGTGTCAGAGTTATGGATGTCTTTAATAGTAACGTTAAGACTCGAGACACAAACAGGGAAGCGGAGAAGGAGAGGAGACATCGCAAGCAGGCGGACAAATATGAGGCAGAAGGAGAGTCTGGGAGGAGCGACAGTCGCCGTTCTGCAGCGCCGTGGGAGAGCGAACGAGTCCTCTGGGGTCCTGACAATAGACTGAGTGTGTCTGTGCCTGCTGTAAATCTGCTTCTGGGAGGATTCTGCATGGGAACCATAAAAACATCACTGATGGAGTCTGACTGACTGACTACATGTCTGTCTGTCTGTCTGTTAGAGAGACCCGATCCTTTCCCATCGCCTTTATAAAACAGAGAATAATCGTCTGATCGATGACGCTCGCAGCACATGATGAAGGATGAGAAGTTCCATCAAAACAATCCTTCATGACTAGATCATATCTGCTGTTTGTTTGTTTGGTCATGAACGACAGTCACTGAACTTGAGAGAGTTTTTATTACTCACTCCAAAGTTGATTTTATTGATGGGAATCTTTGAAGGTTGTTTTTCAGCCTTTTCTAGCTTCATATACATTTGATGATTGACTTAAAAGGAGCCTCTCGCTTGATTTAAGTGTCAAATTGTGGTTCTGTGTGGGTCAAAGCCGTGAGAGGTTAAGTTCGGTTAGAAGTAAACATGGATAAACAGATGATATGAAGAACTTAAAACGCAAAAATAAGACGACTGATTCATAAAATTCATCTCTAAACTTTAAGGCTGTAAAGTCCGAGGTCAATGCTGAGTTGACCAAAATTCTGATTGGTCGACTCGTTTTTTTTCTGCGTCAGTTTATAGTCTATGTTTAATTTCATCAGGAGGAACGTACCAAGTGCTAATAGGAGTGTTTTCAGAGCATTTCCGTTTCACAGGTAACAGCCTGTCTCAGAACACTCCCCTTGTTTTCACCATTTTGGTTCCGCCCAACCCGCTGGAGACCGGCAGGCGATATATTTTTGTAGGATGGGGAAGGTCACGCCTCCTTCGCCTCCAATTGACTGTGAAACGTCATTGCCCGCTCAAACCGAGCGCGGGCTGTCGGCTCTGTGCATCCAACAGAACATTACAGAACATTATCGCAATTCTGAATCTCCTAACCCTAACCGTAACCTGACAGACGATGACATTACACAGCAATTAGGCATAACCAATCGAACCCAGCACAGAGCGGGACCTTCTCCTACCATCCTATGAAAAAAAATATTGCAACCAGCAGAAGACAAGAAGACTGAAGAGCGTCCGTGTTAATCAACGTCGGGTGGTTTGCTGGATATTTTTTTTAGTTTTGAGCATTTCAACTTTCATGGTGTTTAATTGCTTTCTTGTGCTGATATCATTATATTTTCAACCGCGCATTAGTTGATTTTTGGTTGAAAATATCAGGGTCGAAAATGTCACTCCCTCATATGATGCTCAAGATTCACAACGTTTTGATTTTTTTGAGCATTTTCTACCGCAGTTTGGGCTTAATCATGCTTTTACTGCACTTAAAATATCATCATGCGCTTGGAGAATGTGAGGTCTTGTTACAATCCTCCTGTCTTTAGTGTTGTGTCATTCACGAATGATTCGTTCAAAAGAACCAAATCTTTTTACTGAACGTACCGAACCGAATCACTTCCTCGAGTGATTCGTTCAGTTGAGCTGAAGTGAGAAACAGCATCGCCAGGCCAGCAGCCCACGAACGAGGGACCATATGCACCGATGCCTGAATCACTTGGCGAACGAATCACACATTGAACTACACTGCCTGGAATCATTTTTGTCGGACAAAACTACCTTTTTTTTTCACTGCTAAATTGCCACCACAACAACTTACAAGCAATAGGACACAGCATGTAACAAATAGTGCATTAAACCTGCAGCATCCTATCATTGCAGTGATTTGCGAGGGAACGGTGCAGGCTTCTCCTGATTTGGTGAATGAATCTTTTGAACGAATCTTTCTAGTGAACTGTTTCTAGTGATTCAGTAAATCTGAAAGAACTGCTGTGCCCATCACTACCTGTCTTAGCATCAGAAAGGCTGGCAACCTGATTTTAAACGAAAGAGGTCATGTTTGAGATTAAACGCAGACAGAAAAGTGTGAAAAAAAAAACTTTCAAATGCCAACATGTGGATCATTTCTGTGGTGGTAAAAAAAAAAAAACCTTTTCTGTCCACTTAAGAGTTCTTTAAACAAACCCACTTCCTGTAAAGATCTGATAGACACCGGGTTGGTGCTTGTTTTCCTTGAGTGCGGTGGTGAAACGGTTAAAGGTGCTCTTAAGGTGTCAGAGTCTGTTTCAACTGGTGCTGTGGTTTTGTTTCACCAGGTGCACATCGTGATAACCGCTGCTCATTGTTTACTGCTGCCTCCCTTCCGCTGCTGCTGCTGTCTTCTCTCTCTCTCTCCATCCTTCTCTCTCTTGCTCTCTCTCTCGCTGTATTAATCACTCAGCTCCTTTCAATTTCTCTCCGAATCGTCGGCGACCACTCTCTCCTCTGACTGCATCCTCCTTTTCCTCCATCTGATCGGCACGATCTGCGCCCGATTGATAAATCAGATGATTCGTTTCTTTTGTTCTTCACTTCCTGCCCGCCCACCTCTTCCCTTTCATCCGTGCATACAGTGTTTCCCACATACATGTCCTGTATTGTGTGCGACACCTACACCGTCACACACGCCCACGCACGCACACACACATAGAGACACACACACGAGACCACAGTGCAGAGCTCACTGCAGTTGCTCTAGTTTCTCCCTGGCCCTGAAATTGCTCATACAAGCTGATTTACCGCAACATCTTCAGACACATTGAAAACACTGATTAAGATTGAGCTCCCTAACTTCCTGAAGCTGAATTCCTCTTTGTTAGAGACACAACTGAACAATTTGATGTTTCTTTTTCATGTCTTATTTTAGCCTTTTAATCGCCCTCCTTGTTTCCTCAAGGCCGCCTCTTCTCCCTCTTCTCTCTCTTTTCCATTAACCTTGAGATCTAAAGCAGTAAAAGGAGGCACTTTCAACTTTTTCTATTTGTCTTTTTTTCTCTCTGTCTTAGACCGAAGGACAATGTGGGATAAGTGCTCTCTCATCGCATGTCCACTTATGGCTTTGCGTGAGTGTTGCATCTTTAAAAGCCCGAGCGTTTCTCTCGGCGGACCCACAGAAAAGCTTCCCATGAACAGCAAATGTGGGGATGGATGTCTTTTCCTCCTCTTCAAAACAGGCCGAAACAAAGGTAGGAAATCAATTTGACGCATGGCGAGCTCCTTTCGAGGAAACCTGTTGAAGAGGGAATTCCTCTGTGCTGTTTAAGGCTTAAAAAAAGAGCTTTCTCTGAACAGAAAACACTCCTCTGTCCAAAACCTGCAGGACTCATTGTGTTTACTTTGATCCAGTGTCCTTCAAAAGGCTCAACAAGGTCATTTTAACATCACTAAATGGCATATGTAGCTTCGACAAGCCTTTGGCAAGAGTTGGAGCTGCAGCTGTCAAGAGATGACAAGGACAGAAAAGAACAATCAGAGGACATGACAGGTCAGGTGGTTACAAGGAATGTCAGTGCAAACGATCTGTAACCGTGCTGCGGTTAAGCAAAATGTACAAAAGTGAAGCCAGAGCAAGAAAGAGCCAGAGTGTGATATTTTACAGCCTTTCCAGTGACCGTAACATTCATGTACCTTACAGATAGAACGACAAAGACCCCACAGAACAGCTTAGTCTATAACAAAATAGCTTCTTGTGTGTGATTGAAGTTCAACGACTGCAGCGATTGTTTAAGTTCAGTTTCTTATAGTATATCTTCCATACGTGACCGATCTACTGCACACAAGACCAAATGTCAACAGAGCTGTCAATCATTGTGTCTCAATGTTGTTGCACATGCTCCGTCCATTTGCATGAGTAAACTGTATAAACAATACCCAGTAGGGGGAGCAGACTAATCTGAATAACAGCGACAAAATACCGCTCCTGATACCAAAATGCACACGCATGTTTTTGTTAATGTAGGCGATTAAAAGGCCGGCCGGTTCTTCAACCACAAACAATAAAGATAAAAATCAAACCTAAAGCTCCTGTGAGGAGTTTTTGTCAACCCTGAAACAGACTTAAGTTCACACTGATGCTTTTATATGACTGATAAAGGCAAACAAGTCCACCAGAGATAGGGGTGTCCTGATACAACTTTTCGTCCGATACCGATATCGGCACAAACTTGTGCATGACAAGTTTTGCACTCAGTTGAAATGTCTTTTTCGGACTTTGATGAAAAATACTACCACACAGTCGACATCACTCCTACTCCTTGCTACTGTTGTTGTGATTTTGCTGGCTCTGCATGCTGGATCAGGAGCGCTGCTCGATAGGAGTGCCGGAGTGGAGGCTGGAATGGACTGCTTGTATCGGAGATTTTAGAAGCAGGTCGATATAATCCAATATTTGTTTTTTGGCTGATATTGGACTGATATCACTATAGTATCGAGAAGTTATTTTGGTCATTTTTGAAGCTCCAAACTTGTGTGAGAGAGGAGGCTGAAAAAAAAAACGACTGTTTCTACATTTTTCATCTAGAAATTTCAAGTGAAAAAAATTTTGATTATATCCTCACTTCCTTTTTAATCTTCGTTTTTAGTTCTTTTGTCTGCACCTGTGTGCATGAATTAGACCAATGTCAACAAACCATATGGAGTGATGGTCAAGTCTCAAATGTACATGTAGCTTTCGGTATAGAAAATTGCAAATCTATTGAGAGAAAATCTGATCTTGAAGATGAATCTTTTACACAGAGGAAACAATAAATTCAAGTGTCGTTGAACTCTGCTGACTGTGTGTCAAACTGCTGCTGTGTGTCTGTGCACATCAAGAGAGAAGAAGAAAATGAAGACTTTCAAACCAGCTAATACAGCTATGACTGCATGTAGAAATGAAGGTACTTTACATGACTGTGAAGGCTGAGTGTGTGAGTGTGTGTGTGTGATCTCAGCACGTGTGTGAGAACATTATTAGTGTTGTGTTTGACCTGTGCATCTCTCTTTTTCTGTCATGTATTTTTATATGAATAGCATACGATGATGGAGGCTGCTTCCTCTCCTCAACAGATGAGTATCATATGAGGGAGGTTTAGACTTCTGCTTCTGTGTGTGCGTGTGTGTGTGTGTGATCACAGCCATGTGTGCTGGGCTGCTTCATGCGGCTGTGGAGGCTCCAGCTGGTCTGGGCAGAGCCACGGGCACGGGGTGGAGAGGGGTGAGGGAGGAGGAGGAGGCCGGGTTTGAGTTTCATTTAGGGGACTATTTTTAAGAAGGCTATTTTAATAAAGTGCGCATTAAAGCGGCGATAAAGGTCGGTGAGGTTTAAAGGGTGGTGGAGGAGGGAAAATAATCATAGGACATTATCAATTACTGAGATCAGCACACCAAATATGGATGTTTACTCACACTGAAACGCACACGATGCTTTTGGATTTGTTGTACCAAATAAACAGGCTGTTTGTTGTTGAGTCAGGAAAACAAATTAGATCGCTCGGTTGTGTGCAGACCGGGATTAAGAGCTAATCAATGTGATCCTTTAGTAATCCATAATGCACAGCAGGCCTCGATGTGAACACATTAAATTCGAAAAAAAGAAGTCAGATATTTTAAGAGTGAACTTATTTACTTTGAGGCACTTAAGCAGATTAAAAACAGTCTCTGAACCCATCAGCTGTTGTCTGATAAATGCATACAGTTAATGATAACTGACCTCAATCTGAGGCTTCCTGTCACATCGAACACCGTTTACAATTAGTACCTGTACGGGCTGATATGCTTCAGGAATTCACCTTTCTAGATGGCAAAACAGATGCTGTCCTTTCTTAGTGCATTAGGTGAGTCTCAGCTTCACTGTTAACAGTAGGTTTCAGAGAGAAAAACCAACATTGAGTGAGTGGCTTGGAAAGGTCTACCAGAATCCCCCCCTATCTTTGCCTGCTGGAGACAGTTCAAAGTCACCACCAGGAATACCAAAAGCAGAATTTGGTTTAGCACTGACTGGCTTCATCACTGCAGCTAGAGTCATTCTTCGCCACTGGAAGAGTCAGACTCGACCAGAATTTACTGACTGGGTTAAGATGATGATGGATAATGTCTCCTATAAACTAATGACAGCAAAGTTGAATGATAACAAAGAGGTCTGTGGCCATTTTCTGAACTATATCAGAGGGAATAGGTGTGTATGACATGTGAGGAGATGATGACTTATGTGTGTATGTATATATGTGAAGGTACATGTGTGTATATATAGGTATATTATCTTATATTCTTTTTCTTTTTTAGACACTGTTTCAGTGTTGATCAATGTGCTGTTATGTTTATGGGCTGGGCTCTGTGTGAATATATATGCGTATTTTGTTTTTGGTATGTGTAATTGTGATCAATATGGTTGTTGTATGTATGGTTGCTCTCCGAATCGACTGTTTGGTCCCCAAAACTTTTCTATAAAGAGTCAAAAGTCAGACTGATGAGAGTTCATCAGGAGACACTACTTAAAAAAATAAAATAAAATCAGGACTACTTTGTCCACAGGGGGCACCAAAATGTTTACAGCTGAAAGTTTCTCACTGGAGCTTTAATTACATATAATGCATCAATTATTCAACTTTCACATGAGTTACTAGAGACTTTTTTTCAATCTCATCTCTCTGCTAGCTTGCTGCCCCCAGTTTAACTGGGATACAACCTGTCTCCCACTTAAAGCTTTGCACATTTATTTGAGATGCATGTTGATATTATTTCCTCAAATTCAGTACTTTGCAGCTTTAAGATTCTAGAGAGCTTTTTTGGTCACTTTGGTTATCTTAGATAAATAGATTATTATCTTAATTATTAACTTTTTCAACTAAATTCTCACTTGAGTGAAATCAAGACCTTTGTGTTAAAATTCTTCACCTGTTTGACTCAACTTCTTATTTGCAATTCAAACACAGCGCCGTAAGAGCTGCTTATTTTAGCTGGGTTTGCTTAAATGGTGTCACACTTTAAGAACGAGAGAAAATGTGTTTAGATTTAAAGATTTTAAATGCAACAGGGTGAGAGAAACCCAGGACCATTTAACAAAAAGTTTCCACAGACCGACAGAAACACAAACAAGACATGCAGGTACAAGAATCAAAGTACAACCCTGTACCAGATCAACACCATCACACACACGATGTGAAGTTAGTTACCATCTTTCTGGAAACACACACATCGACACACACATACACACACGACACACACACACACACCTCCGTCTCTTGACTGAGGAGTGTAAACAGGTTGTAAATTTCCGCACAGGGACAGATGAAAGAGGCAGAGCACATGGTAAATTGTCATGTACGATCACATATGGTCGTCATACCGACTCTGTTTGCAAACAGCAGAGGCTCCGCACACACACAGACACACACCCACACACACTCACGAATGCTAACACTACAAACGTATAAGATGTTTCATTCATTGTGAGTGTAGGTAAGTATACACAGTGATATATTGACATGAATTTGTTTGTTAGAGTAACCTGCTCGGTCTAAAATGTGTTTTCCTTCTGGTGGTGGTCATGTTTAACTTTGTTTAGACTTCCTTCTGTGCAGCTGTGCATTATACAGGTTCTTGTTTGCATGATGTTTGCGCAGAGACGAGCCTCATAACCAAACTTACAAGTGAACTTTTCCACTGTCTTTGAATTAAAAGCTCATCTTTAAATCACTTTATGATATGAATTGAAATCAACATGAATTAAAATCATATCCTCGACAGTTTAATGCATCTCTGCAGACTTCACGCCTCTTTTTAAATTTGTTCTCATGACTGTTTTTTGGACAAAAGCCTGCTGTTACACTTGACAGGATTTTATGAAGTTTGGAAAGTCCAAGGTGGTAGTGTGCGTGTGTGTGTTTGTGTGTGTGTTTGTGTAAACCTCCACTAATCAAGAGAGGTAGAGACCGCTTTGTGAAACTGTTCGACTGATTATTGACAGTACTAAAGAGGAAATGAAACAAGAATTTAATTTCTGTATGTCACGTGGTTTCTATTAAAAAAAGGAGAGAAAGAAAGTCCAACTCCCACAGAAACTCACTGACAATATCAGGACAAAATTATCAACTCAGGTTCAAACTAGCAAGACCAACATCGACTAAACTTTGAGGAATTGGATTTCACACCTACAAGGGTTCAAAAGAGGCCAAAACCAGCTACAGGAGGTTTACTGGTTCGCTGCACGGGATGGCGAGTGTTCCACGTTGCCTAAAAGTTCAGTTTTTTCTCATTGTTTATGCGCGTATTAGAGATTACCTGCAGCTTCCCCATTCGTTAAAATCTAAAGTTTCTTCCTCAGATACTAATCCATCCTGTTTCACACAGAAAGCTGCTACTCTTTCTCCCCACAGCGCACTTTGAAACTCCTCACTGACCAGCAGCAGCAGGAGGGGGAGGAGGAGGGAGCGGGCGGGCGTGTTTACAGAGCAGTGAGTGTGGCACACTGACCTACAGACCTTGTGATGCGGGCGTGTGTGTGTGTGTGTGTGTGTGTGTGTGTGTGTGTGTGTGTGTCAGCTGCTGAACATCCAAACATGAAAACACTGAGAGGTTTCCATTAATAACTTCCAACTGATGGGCGTTAGTATCTGTCGTCTGAAGTGTGAGAAGTGAGGGATCAGAGAAGAAGGTTTTTGACACAGTCACACTTTCCCTTATTTTGAAAGTTAGTTTTCAATGATTCATAGATGATATTATGGAGACATATTTGCAGAATAGACTTGAACTAGAATAATGAGTCTGTTTGTCGTGTTTAAGCAAATTAAACAACAAAATAAAACACTGATTCAAAACTTTTTTTTACAGTTTCAAATTTTTTTGTTTTCATAACACTTTATTTGACGCCTCTCTCTATAACACATTATAAACATATGTATAATGCGTTATAATCATGTTTTAAAACGGTATAACTATAGTTATAAACACTCATAAATGATCATAATGCTTTATAGCAATAATCATAACACATTATGAAGCATTTTATCATGACTTACAAGGTCAGGTATTATAATGTGTTATAACTGTTAACAACAGTTGCATTACATTCTCTATGTGGACATTGTCAGTGAGTTGTTAACCTTGTAAGTCATGATAAAATGCTAAATAATGTGTTATAATTATTGCTATAAAGCATTATGATCATGTATGAGTATTAATAACTATAGTTATACGGTGCTATAACGTGATTATAACACATTTTACATGTATTTATAATGCGTTATGGAGATGGGCATCAGAGAAAGTGTTACTATTATTTTAAATCATTATTAGTTAGAAGCCAAGATAGCATTTTCCACTGTTTCATGGCATTTTATGCCATTTTAAAGACTTGAAATCTTGTTGTAGCTTCATAGTAGACAAACAGAAAAATACTTGACTTACATGGTGGTTGAATATAGAAAAAAAAAATACAAAAAAATCAGCTGTTTTATGACTCCAACTTGAATTATGATTGTTTTCCAGGTGTTCATGCATTACACTTTCTATTTCTCTAAAGGGACTTTTAGGGCTGTTTCACCTTTAAAAATAACAAGAGAAACAGAAATATGGGGAGTGGTAGCAGAGAGCAAGGGTGGAGTCCAGGACTCAAACCAGTGACCGCTGTGATACAGTCTCTATACACGAGGGCCAGGCCGAACCAATTCCCCTTGACTTACTTGTTTTAATCTTAAATTCTAACCTATAATGCTGGATACATGATCATTAGTTAAATGTGGGGAGATCAGAAACTCCATTCTGCAGAAAACATGTTAGATAACCTTCCAAATCAAATCTTTCAAACTTTGCTGAAATACTCCTGACTGTCATGAAGTGTAATTAAAGCATTGGAGACAACAACAAGTCATAAATCAAAACTTTTCTCCCAAGACTGAAGTAAATAACATTTAAAGTCCAAAAGTTTGAGAGAAGTGACACAGAGCCTCAAGTCTGCAGAAATTTTTTACCTTTAAATGCTCAACAGATCATCTGTGCAGAATAAATGGCTGAATATGAGGCACTATTTTGGTATGCAGTGGTGTCAGACAAAGACAACACTGGCACTGATTAACTACAAACTCGAAAAAAAGCCTGGCCAGCTCACTCTGTCAACAAGGAGATGGAAGAAACTTGAATGGTTTCGCTCCACAGGTCAATGACTCACCCGGGTGCAACATCCTACAACTCACTTAAACATACACACAAACACGCCAAAACAAAGAGATGCCTCTCTGTACCCGCCTTACGTCATCTCTTGTCTCTGTGACTGTGAAACAGATCCTGAAAAGCATTATGGAAGCAAATGTGTAGAACTTTATCTTAATATTAATTTTCTTAAAAGCAAAAATTCATTAAAATGCTGCTTTAAGGCTCTATTTTAAGACTCCACTGCATAACAGCTAAAAAGGAGTCGAGGCTCTTTGCGCATATTTCATTAGCTGATGGTGTTTAAAGTGAGAAGCAGGTGGAAACAAAAAAAAATAAATAACATCCTGCAACATGTTCGACCTCCAGCATCCTCAGTTACAAGAAGCGTGGGAGGAATTATGGGAAATGTGGTCTTGATTTAAAGAAACACCAGCGCTGATGCTACACTCACAAACTGTCTTTAGGCTTTCATGATCTTTCCCACCCCCATATTCAGCGTCACTGCAGAGTCGATTTTCAGCTCATAAATACATCATTTCAACAAAAAGGCTGATTAATCAGATTTGGTCTGTATCAGAGTTCCTGGATGTATAACAAGAGATAAAACAGAGCTAATAATATCAATCACTCACTTCTTTTGCCAACACCTGTCTTTTACTGCTCCTCCGTTTCCCCTCATCCCACCTCCCCCTGCGCCGGAAAGAAATAAGTGGATGAATAATTACAGGTATAAACACCTCGGGGCCATCTGAGGGTTTTTTTTTTTTTACCTCCTCTTCTGATATTCTTTTAAACATTTCCGCCTCTTGAAATAGTCCTCTGAACTGTTTCTCTTTAGGTGCCTTCACAGCGCGCTACTTCAAAGCTGACAGGGGGGGGATGAGGACGCTCTTATGGTCATTTGTATTTTAATCTTACCCCCTTCTTCCCTGTCTCCTCACAGCTTCTATAATGTCCCCTTTACCTCAGCAGCACTCCCCTCTTTTAAAGTCTATTTACACTCTATATATCTGTCTTCATCCATGTCTATTCTGATCTCATGCACAGACTTCCTGCAGTAACCCGGGGGGGGCTTCAGTCTACCTGCCAACCTGTGACCACACATAGATACACAGTTATTAATACACAAATGCACTGAGGTGTTTGTTTTGCTTTGATTGAAGATTTCATCAGTCGTCTTTGTTCAACACATTTTTCAAACATTAAAAAAAACTTCATGTGAAACAACGAGGAGATAATGTCGCTTCTTTCACACACGCACAAGTTTCTAGGCATCGTCGCTCGGCTCTACCGAGTTTTCGAGTTGCTCGTTCACACATGAAATCTCTTCAGTAGGGCTGGGCGATATGGCCTCAAATCATTATCACGATATATTGAGCAGTTCGCCTTGATAACCATAAATGGACGATAACTACTCCACAAGCTGCTCACCCCCTCCCACATTAACTTCATCTCCTTCCGCTGCTCCAACTTTTTAACCGTCCTCCATCTCCTCACTTGTCTTTCTCTCTTTGTTACGGACTGGATGGGGTGGAGTCACATCTCTGATGTAGGACAGCGTCTTAAAAGTAGTGAGTGTTTATGTGTTTATCCCCAACTCAAAGATGGAGGGTATTTGCATGAGTGGCTGAAGCAATCGTTGAGTTTTCATATCCGATCGTAAAAGTCCCTTTGCTCAGTGATCTTAGACTTGAGCAAAAACATCATCTTGTACTTACATACAACCCAACAATGGGAAGTAAAGACTGCATGGTTTGAGCTCATTTGCACTCAGTTTCTAATATCTCTTAAATTCATCAGGACTTTTTTCTTGAACAAAACTGATTGAAAATAAAATGAAGTCTTCGTGCTTCATATTAAGATAATTTTTAGAAAGAGTTTCTTAAAAATATGTTGAGAAATGTAAGACTTTCATCCTACCCTTCAGCTCCTAGTGAAAGCTGCTTTTCTTGTAGGCCTCTTAAATCTGAGTGCCGGGGTCCTTATCGTAGCCAGTCAGAGGCACGGAGGCCCCCGCGCCGCTCATCCCAGCCCCTGGGTCTGCATGAAGGGGGGGATTAGGGAGGCCTCAGCCTGTGTTGCTGCCATTGTTTACCCAGGGACTAGGGGCTGGCTGAACAACCCCCCTGTCAACACAGAAATACAATGGGAGACAAGGAAGTGGCAAGATCCTAGAGACTTGCACACACACATGCCATTCCCTTGATCTCGAAGGATCGACTTTGTATTATTTAGGAGATACAAGGAGGAGGAAAGGAGGGAGGGACGGAGGGGGGAGCTTGTTAACACCAGGAGCAGATCTGTGAATGGAAAACCAGGGAGAGGAGGAGGCATGTGAAAACGTTTATTGGCTTAAGAAACGTAACATTTCCCCCGAAATAATAAAAAACAAACAAGCTGCGGTCAAAGATGGTTAAACGGCTGCTTTTCTTGCACGATTTGGACATCCTGGTGTGGTTCAGGGAAAATTTTAAAAGAGACGTTTTACATTTTCACCGCACTGACAAATGACTAAAAGCACCCCTACTCTTCCCAAACATCTCAGCTGTCTCTTCCTGTCAATTTTCATTCGTCATGTGAGAAAGAGAAAATGTCAAATGAGCAGGAAATTCCCCCAAACAAGACAATGACACTACACGCTGGCCTGTAAATTCCGGTGACTAAGTTTACACGCTGTCACAGAGCGTTTGAAAACAAACCTTTTTCTCTGCTTTCCCATATTAACATGTCGATGCCGTAAACGTGTCCACGCAAAAGTGAGCGGGAGAGTTTCAGAGCGCCTCTTTGTCTCCAGAGCGTGTTGATGTCTTGGTGTGACCACAGCTTCCACATCAGAGACAGTTTCACAGCCTCTTTGACAGGCAATCATAGACACAACACTATCAGATGCTGGGTTTGTACCCGATCAATTATAAGAACATAATCTATAAAAGAATAAGAGGTCTGTCTTTCTCAGGACAAGAAAAGAAAGTCGATGCTGTAGATTAAAGAAGCTCTTAATGTAATCTGTAGTCCTAAAAGTTGGGCTTATATCAAACAAAACAATCAAAAAGACACGCTGAGCTCACAAAAAGATGGTCGGAAAGAGCTGGTGACGAAATCTAGTCCTAATATTTGTCAATAAAACCACCAACCACCGATAATTCCTCATGCGTGAGTCATCGGCCACTTCAGAAAAAAGTACAGCCCTCTGTTTTTGTTTAAGTGGGTGGGTCGACCACTAATCCCGAGACCCTCAAAAATCACCCGGCGTGACTTTAACTTTGTTCCTTTATTCTTAGTTTGATTATCACAGGATGAGTGCTGCTGCTTTCTGATCTCTATATCGGTGTGAATCTGCACATCTGCAGCCTGTGACCAGGACATCCTTGACAGATGTAGATGCAGGACTCAGGTGCAAACATGAGCTCTTTCAGTCAACATGCAAAGATACGAACACCAACCAACTTCAAATGCTGCAACAAATGGAAATAGACAACACAGATAAGACAAAGAACTGCAGGAGGAAGGGGCCCCAAACCTTTGAACTACATGTGGTCTATAACAAAAATAGGATCTGTGCCTCCACAAATGCATCAAAAACCAATTCTGACATCTTTTCTAAGGACGCGGTGTCCTTGTCACTTGCACGACTGCAAATATCTTGAATATATGAATGCTGGACCTCCACATCATAACAGATCAGAAAGCTTTCAGACTCTCTTGTCTGACTCTTTGCGCATTTACTCTTTTTCTGTACACTCTTTTTTTTAAACTACATCAAGCAGAGAAAAACTGACTTCAGTCTCATCAACTCAGACTGAATGGTTTTAAAACATCGCAGAAGGAAAGACTCTTATCAAATAACAGGTTCTACAGTCAGAACACATGAGCCCTTCAAATAGGTGCAAGAAACTCCTGAAAATTTCCAGACTTTATCCTGGTGGTCTGCATGACTCACCAAAGACAATCAGATGCATAAAACTCCCCAACATTTCCAGACTTTTCCTGGTGGTCTGCAAGGTAAACCAAAAACGAAAAGATGCATGAAACTCCTGAAAATTTCCAGACTTTATCCTGGTGGTCTGCATGTTCAACCACTAACAATCAAACAGATGCATGAAACTCCTAAAGATTTCCAGACTTTATCCTGGTGGTCTCCATGTTAAACCACAATTGAACAGATGCAAGAAACTCCTGGAAATTTCCAGAATTTATCCTGGTAATCTGCATGTTCAACCACAAATAACCATGCATGTTTAACCACAAACAAATAAACAGATGCATGAAACTCCTGAAAATTTTCAGACTTTTCCTGGTGATCTGCATGTTCAATCTCAAACGAACATTTTCTCTTTTACTGGCCTTACTATACATTCCTCACAAGAAGTCTGATAGAGCAGGTGTGTAAAGGCAGCAGGTAAAAGGCAGGAAATTTTACAGTCAGTGAGTGGTTGGAATGAGGACATCATCACAATGAGCTCAAACTTTTGCAGGGATATAGACTCGAACAGTCACCATCACTGCAGACTCCTCCACTCTGTGATTTGGGTTTGTACAGTGTGTCTAACAGGGAATGGGACGCATGTGAGATAAACAAGTTGCTGAAAAATAATCTGAAAGTTGAGAAAATGTCAGGAGTTCATGTGCAAAAAAGGAAGGAAGGAGGTCCAACTGCTTCAAAACACTTCAACAGGTTGGTTTCTTTCCAACAATCAGCTCCTCCAGGTCGAGTTTGGCCATCTCAAGCCGCTTTGTTCCTCCAAATTTAAGGAGACTCTCGAGCTCTGTTAGCTTTTCAGGATTTTTAAGTACCACAAAATATCCCAGAGTAGAAACTTTTTAAAAAATCTTGCAAAAAGGATGGTTAAAAGCAGCAAAGATGATAGAGACAGAAAAGCAGCATTCGTAGAAATATGGGAGGATGCTGAAGAGGAAGATGCTCACTTGTTATTGACAATCTCCCCTCCGCTGGGGTTTGACTCCTTGAGACGACAAAGACTCATGATCCCTTCAAAAACACAGTCTGCTGGTAATCCACTGAATTATACAAACAGCCAGCGAAGGTCTCACATACACAAACGCATGCAGCAGCACACAAACGCACCATGAACACTGCATACAAGCTGCAGCCTTTGGCAACAAACGCCAGATGAAAACACACACACACAGAAAACATGCCAAAACCTTAGATACATACAAATGACTTCCTGCATATTGTGTGTGTGTGTTAGTTGTTCATTACACTGTCTTACACACTGGCTTTAAAGCTTTATCCAAAGACAACAAGCCGAGGGAGTTTAGTCATATCTCTGAATCCCATAAATCCTCCCTGTTTGGCCACTTCTCCTGAAAGGACGGCTGATATCTACATTAATGTAACAACAGTGAAACACCCATGAATCACAGTAATGGGAGAATTATCAGTGAATGGGATAAAGAGGGTTTGGAGCAGCTTCTCAGGCATGCCGTCTTCACTTCTCAACACGGAGATTAGAAGCAGTTTTACATGAGATGCTACATCACCACCAGATTCAAAAAGAGGGTTGCTATTTATTCGTCTTTTTGTCTGTTTCAGCCTATCTGGTTAGGTGGGAATAATGTTCATCCTTTCACAATAAAAGCTGCTCTGGGAATCTGAAAAAAATGGGATGTGACCCCCTGATGTTTGAGATCAGAGCGAGACAAATGTTATACGTCCTTGTGGCGCTCTTATTCAGCTCTTCAATCTTGTATGCATTCAAAAGACTCAAACATCCCAGTATAAAAGGAATCTGAAAGATTACCTTTGTACAATAAAATAAAAAACCCACGAAGGGAAAGATACAGAAACACAAATAATACAACTAATATGTGACTAACAGTTATTCAGCTGCTGCTCTCACAATGAGTTCAACTGTTTAAAGCCGTTTACAGGAACACAAAGGGGTTTACGAGAAACGCTGCGCATTGTTGTGAAGTTTGACGACTTTCAAGAAAACTGCATCTAAAGTGTTTAAAAGCCAGCCAGCTAAGATGTATTTCCACAATAAAGGATTAATCTGCAGATTAATTGGTGGATTTAATGTTAAATCTATTAAAATCTAAGAAGAAAGAAGAAAGGCGTTTGATTTTTAGTCCAAGGAAACAGAAAGAAAAAGCCTCGCATGATTGAAAAATGTTTGGTGTTTTCATTTTTAATTTACTTGAATATTTAATCGATAATGTCACACATGCCCAATCATTTTTTCTGAGAGTTCTGCTTGATTTTCAGGCTCCAAAGATAAACCTAACAACACTGAGGGAGTCAATATTTCATTCTGGTGAATCAGACAATGAACGGATAAATAAGCAGAGAAGCAAATCATCAATCAGGGAAAGTTTAGAGACTCACTGTCTGAATCAAAAATCACCAAAATGGTCCCAATAAGTGAAATGCAAACACATTTTATCATTAAAGAGCTTTACAGAGACGTGACACACTCTGATAACCTGTCTCCGTCTCTGTAAATGTGTGTTTTTGCTTCTTTTTGCATCATTTTTACACTTAATGTCTTTAAGTTTTGGAATGCTCGTCTGATTTGAGAACGTATTCTTAAGGCTCAACCTTGAGCGCTTAGAAATCTTCAGTTATCCGACTCTGCAAACACTTGAGGATAATGTAGAAATATCAAACTGATATGACACTTAAGGCTTCAGGTGTTGCCAACAAAAGAAGTCAGAAGAAGAAGATGATGGACACAAAAACAGAGGTGAAAACCATGTCCTCTCATAAAACACCGCGCACAAAAGCCCCGTTTTCTGTCCCTTCTCCCAGGCCTTTAGTTTCCGATGCATCTCTCCCATCCATAATCATCAAAACCCTCCACCCAAAGCCCCCCCAACCAGACTAAACCACCACTCTCAGCCCTTTCAAGTGGCAGGTAGACGGGGCCCGATACGTCGCTACCGCCTCGCAACCAGCGGGCTAATTACAAGGGACGCAGCAACAAGTGAGCATTGTGTGGAGTCTGGAAGACACACGGGGAAAGAAAGTGCTCTTTATCTCGCAACCGCCGACCCCCCTCCTACACCAGCTAACCCCCCCACCCCACCCTCAACAAAAACAATCTCTGGGAGGCTCTGCTGCTGCGGTTGGCACTCCCGGGGCCGGTGGAGAAGAGAGGAGCAGATTATGAGCGGAGGGTGAAAGAAGTGGAGACACACTGATGAGCCACACATACCATCACAGTCAGTTAGCGTGTTTGTGTAAAGCGACGCCGGATGTGTGCCGTGTTATGCAATAAAGACCATACAAAAGATGTTTGAGGAAATACGAGTACGCTCTCTTATATACGAGAAAATTCATTCAAATAGAGTTTTATCAATCAGAGCAAGGGACAGACACTTGCTGCTCTCTGGGTGATGCTTCATGACCAGGGAAGTTTCTATCAAATTAGAAATCAAATAACTCTTCAAACAGGAGACAGACGAGACCTGAAATTACATATCTGTTTACTTTAAGTCACTCTTAAGGGGAGTAAAATCACATTAGACAAGCAAAGAAAGATATTTTTAACCAAAGTGATGGAGTAAACGGTTATTTCGGAGCTCAATTAGGACCCCAACGAAGAAACAGCTCATGGTTTATTTGTCTGTTGAATGTTAAGTTGTTATTTTTGCACGCAGATAGGTTTAAAAACTGTTTTTGAAAGCGTGGGTCAGCATAAAAGCACAAGGTGGTGATTTCCACACTTTTCTGACCCCTCCGTGACCTGTCTCCAATCCCTCATGACCCGCAGCCAGGTCTCAACTCTGGGGAAAGTTCACTTGTCGTTTAGAGAATCACGTTTGTTCCATAACGTCCGTACAGCAGGTTCCTCATTCACGGTGCATCACATTAGATTAGCCTACAGCGCATGTGATCACATAAACAAGAATTTCTGCTGTTTAACAACACAGAGTCTTCTGCTCGAGCAGGGGGGTTAATTCAGGCAACAGGATTACACAACATGTGAGAAATGAATTAGGCACAAGTGCTCATGTTTGGTGCAATTAGTCAGCCTATCCGTGGATATCAGCTCTTATGGGTGACTTGAAGGGATTTTATGATTCATTTTGTCAGAGCTGTCTGGCTGGATGGGTGATACTGCAAGACCTTAAATCCTTCCACGAGTCTTTCTCATGTTTGTTTTACACTCAGATCAGCCGTTTAGGCGGCAAGCAAACCTCTTGTGATTCACAGACGGAAAACGTCACGCGAAACGGTTCGCAGTGACGACATCAATCATATTCCAACGTCTGCAAAAGGCGTAAACAAAAACAAGCTCCTTTTTTACTGCTTCGCCTCTCGAGGCTGCGGCGCTCATGGGAGAAAGCGTGTTTAAATACGGCTTTATTTCATAAGGCAGTTAGCGGAAAAAACAAAGTTCAAAGCTAAATCACTCGTGTTGAGTTTGTGGCTGATTTGTGGAGCTGTGAATGTGATCAGAGTAACGGTGTCCCTCTCTGACTCTCTTAAACCTTATGTTAAGTTTTAGGACATGACTCATATATGTACCAAATATTTCAGATGTAAAAAGAAGGGAAATTTGTTTTTCAGGCTGTATCAACAGGGAGACAAGCTTACTGATAGATGCGTGTGGTATGTTTACAAGAGAAACAGTCCTACAATATTTTAAAATGGAGTTAAAAAAAAGATTAAAACTCCTCTTTACAACTTTAATTTAACTTTAAAAAAAGGGGCACCTGAGGTATTTTAGGGGGAAATTAAAATTTACGCTCATGCAGATACTATCTTGGTAACTTAAGCAAGTTTGTAACCAACATTCAGACAAAAATCATAAAGAAAAGGCAAAAAATACCGCAAGAAATGTGAACAACTTCCACTAAAAAAGACCAGAAATCTATGTCCAAACTTTAACGTCCTTTTCTTTTGAATCCTGGCTACTTAAGACCACAAATAAAAAAAGAAACAACAACCAGCAGCTGCTCAGAAACAACCATCTGCATCCCTGAGTGTGTGTTTATTTACCGAGCTACTTCAGCATAAGCATCACCAGAAGTGTCGTTTTAAAAGTTCGGTTCAGTGTTGGGACGACAGGGATGGAAGTTGTTGCTGTAATGAGCAAACTTGAGTCCACAGCAGGACGTAAATGCAAGCAGATCGAGACCTCAGATGTCACACAAGCAACCATAAGAGGATGATAAATAACCAGTGTGTTTCAGCCAGCGGGAGATTCAAAACAAATGCAGACTTACTGATGGAGAAACAGAGCTGTTGGGGAGGTAGGGGTCGGGCAGCATCAGGAACGGATACCCAGGGTACGCCGGCGTCTTGTACATGCCTCCATCTTGATGCTTCGACACTAAGGTCAAACAGGGGGAAATAAGTCAAAAAGTGCAGAATAACTAATTGAGACTTTGTTAAATCCCTTTGAACAGCTTTGATTTGGTCTCTTACAGGACTATTGTTGACTCGAGTTAAAACATCAAATTAACCTCATAATTCACAAAATCAAATCTGACTTACTGTCAAATCCTTGTTAGGAGGTCAATATGTGTCCCTCAGAAAAAGTTTTAAAAAGCATCCAAGATAAAAATGACAAAAACAGTCGAGGGTTTACTTGTGATCTAGTTACTACATGTTATATCCTTGTAAGAGTGCACACGACAATACATGAGACAAAAGCGTTACAACCGTCAGCCAGTCTGAGAGGCGTGAACTCCTGTAGCCTATGTGTTAATTTATGTCTCACCACCACCCATATAAAGCATCAGCCGCCTCTCTGAGGGTCAGCTACATCTTTGTTATACCTTTGCTAAATTAGAGGTAGAGACACGGTTGACCTTTCTTCACCTTTTTTGGAACCTGACGCCTTTAATGGAGATGTTTTAACTTTTTAACCAAGATGACAGAAACAACATTGCTGTTTTTATGCACATTTCATTTTGATGATTTCTTTCTTCATATTAACACAAGATAAGGACATTTTCTCCTTCAATCTATAGAGATGCCTTTAAATTAGAACTACTAAATAAAGTTGCTTATGTTACAGGGAGGAAAAGGGAAATGGTGGGTGGTAATTTGGGGGTGATAACACTGCAGAAAATGTTAAATTAAACCTCTAAAAAGGATCCTGGTTGACCCCACCTGTCTAAAAATACCATTACTGTTATTATGCATATTTCATTTTGATGATTTCTTCCCTCATTTGAACACAGAATAAGGACATTTTCTCCTCCAGTCTATAGAGAGATACCTTTAATTAAAATTGCTAAATAAAGTTGCTTATGTTACAGGGAGGAAAAGGGGAATTGTTGTCCTCTTTTGGGGTTGAAACAGTGCAGAAAACGTTAAACTAAACCTCTAAAGGACCCTGGTTGACCCCACTTGTCTTACTGAAGTAGCAAGCTAAAAGCTACACTGCAAAAAATTCAAGCTTTGCTCTTAAAATTCCTGTAAAAATAAAAAATGTGGTCAAGTAAAGGTACAAAGCACAAGGATGTAACACTTGTCTGATGATTTTCACATAGTTTTGTGAAAATAAGCTGCGTAAGAATGAATTATTATGAATTATCTAACTCTGCTAAGTTCATGCAGTGCAAGGGACTCCATGAAGACCACGTCCAATGAAAGCAGGTATACTAACGAAGACCAGAAGCGTTAGACCTTTACATAATTAACACTTATGTGATAATTATATCTCGTTATTAACATGAAAGCAAACTGCATAGGAGTGAATTATTATGAATTATCTAACTCTGCTAAGTTCATTAGGTGCAAGATACTCCATGAAGACCACGTCCAATGAAAGCAGGTATCTTAAATTCCCCTTTAGGTATACTAACTATGAACAGAAGCATTCGACTCTTAAGTATGTGATAGAAATAAAGGACTCACACAGACCTGGTGGTCATTTTTTTGCAGTGTACACCTGAAACAAACTCTTTGAAGTTTCCTTTAATACTGCAACACGTGTGCGCGAGACCAAAATACTCCCAATTTAACTCGGTATAACCTCGTTTTTATTAAGAGATATCTGAGATAAAACTGTCTCCTTTGGCCGGATGTGAACTGCTGTGTGAGACAAAGTGTGTTTTTCTTCTTACCACCGTCGAGATGCTCCCGGTGTTTCTCTTGGAAGTCCCTCTGCTCGCCCTGATGTGCCCGTCTGACCGCCTGAAGAACCGACAATAAACACGGTTCAGGTAAATCAGTCAAGAACAAGGGCATAAAAAAACAACAAAATCTCTCAGGTGTTGTCTGAAAGCGTCAACGAGAGAGTGTTTAAAGCCACTTTATCATACTTAACGGTGTGTTTATGTTCCGCTTTGATAAAGCATCACTCTCCTGTAGTAAACCCGAGGTAGCCTGGAAGTTTTTACAACTTAAAACCTCAAGGCGCTTTTCGGCTTTATTCAGTGCTTGTCAGCAGCGTGTAAAATGAAGCAAGCTTTCTCTCACACACTCTTACACACACACACTTCATGCCACCTACCGCTGCGTTCGGACTTTGATTTATTTCCGACTCGTTCACCAGAGAGGACTTGAGGTCGGCCAGGTCTCTCTCCGTGAACGCGTTTTCTTGGATTTTCTCCTCTTGCTCTCCTTCGTCTTTGAACGATATCATCTCATCATTCGCTCCCAGGTCGTCCCCGCCGCCGCTGCTAAGCTGAGGCATGTCTGCTACTTTCCACCTCTTTCTTTGCGATGTATAACACCCCTTCAAAGATTTTATTTGAGCCCGAAAAAAAGTATAAATGAAAAAAGGAGAGTTTTCTGTTGAATTTCCTCAGTCCAAAGTGCAGAAACCCGCACCACATGCAGGGGAAAAAAGTTAAGATGTGGCGTCCCCCGGCTGCCTGGTGTGTTGAGGACTAATGTTTCCCTACAACAGCAAACAGCTCATTTGAGCCCAAGACAAGGCAAAGAGTCTCGACATCAAAGGGCGCCGACCGGATGATTGACAGGTCCGATGACTTGTTGGGGGGTTGTACGATTGTTTCGGCGGAGGGCTGAGTCTCTTAAAGAGACATCACCTCCGCAAAGCTCGGCTAAGCATAGGCGTTATTCATGACTTCCAGGGGCGTGTTCACACCATCCACGGTCTTGTGGCTGCAGACACTCTGCTGCTGCTGCTGCCAAAACTTCACTTAAGTAACAGGAATGTGTCTGAGAGCAGCGGCGCTGAAATATAGTCACTCCAGAAGAAAGATTTCGGAATACTTATAACTGTGTGGTCTGGTTTTATAATGGGGTTTTGTCATGTAGGCTGTGAGGGAAGCCACTTCTTCCTTATTTCTAGATTTAACAGAAAATAACTCAAGAATCTCACCAAATATCAATGCTTTATTTCAACTAAATGTAACTTTATAACCTAATATAATTATACAATTGAAGTGTAGTTAGACTATTATTGATTTTTAGCACATTTAATACAACTAAAACACTGATAAACCCCAAACATCAAAGGCTGAGCATGTCCTATATGCCTATTAATTCCAATTTCAAATTCCCTTAAAAATTTAGTACACATTTTGGTTTATTCTAATGTTTATTCCTTTATTTCCACTGTATGTAACTGTATAACCTGATATAATTATACGATTGGAGTGTAGTTAGATTATTCTTGATTTTTAGCACATTTAATACAACTACAAAACACTGATTAGCACCCAAACATAAAAAATCTGAGCATGTCCTATATGCCTAATTAATTCCCAATTTAAATTTCCTTTAAATGTAGTACACATTTTTTAGTTTATTCTAACATTTATTCCTTTATTTCCACTGCATGTAACTTTATAACCTAATATGATTATACGACTGAAGTTTAGTTAGATTAATATTGATTTTTAGCACATTTAGATAGATAGATAGATAGATAGATAGATAGATAGATAGATAGATAGATAGATGTTCAGTTTTTTTTTAATGTAGTACACATTTTTGGTTTATTTTAACATTTTTCCAGATTTCATGTTTTTATTTGATTGCCATTTCATTATACTGACGTGTAGTTAGATTAGTATTGATTTTTAGCTCATGTGATATGACTAAAAAAACATTGATTTGCACCCAAACATTAAAAAGATGAGCACAACAGGAACTCAATGTGCAATAAACCCTACTATCATGTAAATTCTGTACAGATGTAAATATGACGCATGCACATATCTTGTTTTAACACAAAGTTTCTTTATCTTTTAATTATTATTTTTTTGTATCTATACCATGCTGACGTAATTTTGGAATTTCCCACTGTGGGACTACTTTTCTTATCTTAGACTATCAATATCTTGCATAAGGTGCTATAAAAATAATTATTAAATATCAGAACACTAAAAGTAAGTGGTAGAGGTGCATTGGATATATTAAATATATACATATTTGACAGTTGATATGTATATTTTAAGTTTTTACCCTCCCCCATATGTTTATCCTTTATCTAGCCTGTTCATCAGCCTGTATCTAGCCTGTTCAACTTGTATCTAGCCTGTTCATCAGTTGTTCATCAGGAGGAAGTCACATTTCTCTGTTCCTCCTTAAATCTTAGTGAGAGCTTATTTAGTGTTCCTCTTACCTCTTTTCAGCCCCTCTCTTTGATTACCATGTTTGCAAAATATGACTTGTACCGCTGATTGAGTGGATAAATCCCTTTAGATTAGCACCCCAGTCCCCTCACAGACTTTAAGCCCCAAAACCCCACACTGAAAAGAGTCAGTTACCTGACCTGAACCCAACCCACACCTTAACCTCACTCCCTGCCCTGTCACAAACACCTGAATCTGAACTTTTAACATGTTCACCCTCTAGCTCTAAGCACTCCCAGGGTCTGTGTTCAACCCCCAACTCTAGTGAACTTAAAACAGCCCCAAAACCTGCAGGATTTGAAACCAGCCCCCTTCTGACGACAACAAACAGCTGCAGCCGTACTGGCAATTTCCGTCGCATCCGGAACGGCTACAAAACGCGATGATCATAGCTGATTGTAACCATTCAAGTTAATGTGTCAATTTTCACCGGCTTCTTTCCGTTCCGCTGCGGATCGTCGGACTCCGCAGCTGATCGCAAGAGTTCTATCTTTTCCGGACGCCGGACCATGCTGGATAAATTCAGCACAGATTAGTCCATGCTGGAAAGGAAATCGGGCACAAACACAAAATAAAACATCTGACTTCTTTTCAAATTAAACACTCCGTGTTTCAGGCGGATCGTATCTCACGTCATGCAAACGGACGGGGATGAACAAGTGAAAGGTTTATAAACAGCATTTCATCCTAATGACACCATGGATGAGGAGATGCTGATTTTATAAGTCTAGAAGTAGATTTCCTCCTGTGGAAGGACACAATCTACTGCTTATATGGCTAGCCTATGTGGCTAAAGACAACTTGTTATCACACGATTCCGCGTGAATCAACGGATTCTTGTGAGTTCTCGTGATTCCTGCTGTCCGGAATCTGCCACAAAATTCGCCTCACAAACAGATCTGGTAGGAATTGGCATATGGCGAAAATTGGAGATGTTCCGTATGCAGTGGAAATCCTTGGTTAGAAACCTCAAGCACCTGGTACCTACTGTGTATGAGAAATGGTCAAAGGTCTCATGGGCAGGTTCTTCAGCTGATTGGGCCCGGTCCAAGGCTTGAGTTCCGCTCCACGGGTCCCATCCATGGCAACTCTGGGCTCCTTGGACCAGGGTACCCCCCCTAACCTAACCTAACAGTTTGATGTTTGACTTTCATACCTGCACACCACTTCTCAGAATCTCCTCCATTTCTTTTTCCTTATTATTATTTTCAATCTTATTCATTTGAGGCTCGGTCTGATCTCAGAGCAAAGTTGGCACAATATGTAATTTTTAGTCCCTTTTCATTCATATGAGGGTGTGAGGATTTTCTGTCCTTACTGTGAAGCTGGTAGTTTTATTGTCATGTCTGCTCTCTGTTTATTCAGCGTCTTGCTCAAGGGCACCTTTCCACCTACCTGCCCAGTTTCCAAACTTTGGTCTGCACCTGAACTTTAACCCACGATCCTCTGGTTCCAAGCCAAGTCCTCTCAAACTGAACTACTGCCGCCCACATTAAGTCCCGACTCTGAAATTTAGCGAATGAAAGATCTCTTCTTGAATCACTCACAGTCTGCAAAATCCATATTCAACTGTTTCTACAAGTGGTATGTCTCTTTGTTCCTGCAGATTTTGCACATTTTGGATAGTTCTTAATTAAAAGATTATTATATGTGGGGACCGCTGCAAAATCCGCCACTCACAACATGTTTTTAAAAGTACCCGATCATTTAAAAGTACATGTTTGATGATTTATAACCAAGAAAATACGACTTGATTCTTGTCGATCAAAATGCCAAAGACGAAACTCAACTGTGTGTCATCCTCGTGAAGTTAGTGAACAAGTTTGTCGATTATGCACTGTGATTTTTTACTCCTATCTCTGCAGTCCTTTTGTAGCGGCTGTTGTCACACTATTCAGTTGGTGGTTTTCACATACTGGAACAAAACTCCTCATTTGCATGGATGGAAAAGTGGCAGCTCAGGCAGGCAACAGCAAAAAAAAATGTAGGACATTCTGTGAGGAAACATCAGAAGGCACGGCATGCTCATCAATAACAGAGACACAGCATGTTTTTGGCTGGCTCTTACATCCCCCAGATTTTGTAACAGTCTCCAAAACAGCACAAAGTGTTAGCTATTGCAACTACTTGTTTGGAGGAGGGGAAGACGGGGGGAAAAACACACAGTTCAAAGATGTAGACTTGAAGTTCTGATTTCTTATCAAACTTCCCCTGTTTTCCTCCCCACGCCAATGCATTTTTAATGCTGATACAGTAGCAGAGGTGGTCTTCAGAGTTTTTAATTGAGAAATATTTATACACTCCCATGCTGTGACTTAATACTTGACTTAATCTTGAGTCGGTTGCCTTGAATGAAAATGATGATCCACAGCTGGGAAACAGAATTAAATACAAACAGAAAAGGGCCCAGTATTTGCATAAAACTGCATATTTATACAATATCGTCGATGCATATTAATAAAAAGATTAAAATGAGCAGTTTTAATGTATGCAAATCTAAATTATAAATGAGTTGTTTAAACTCCTTGTTTATTCGCCTTGATTAAATATAGACAGCTGTTTTCCCAGGGAGACTGCACCTCTCCTGCACGGGCCACGCCGCCTCGTGAGGCCGCCGCCGCTTCTGCTGCTGCTGCTCTCTGATCTTAACACAAGAGTATCTGTGCTGATAGTGCGATCATTCATCACACGAGTTCACAGGTTCACCTCGGGCTAAAAGGCTAGCCTGCAGCCTGTCTGTGTCTCTCACAGGCCGATACACCAAAGACAGATCCAGAAATGGTCACACACACGTTGACTCTCTTGAAATACTTTCAGGCTCTCTGACCTATAAACACTTTCCCCTCTCTTTTTATCTGTCTGTCTCTCCCCCTCGCCTCTCTCTCTCTCTCTCTCTCTCTCATACACACATTCACACACCCTCTCTTTTTCCTATCAGATCAGAGTGATCGTTCGCAGTGAAGTTCGCACTTTTCTGCATTATCAGTCCACAATTTTACGATTCGCCCGCAGCCTGAGCACCTTCTACCTCAAACTGTACTGACTGTTTTGACATCACGCTCATGTCGAGACAGGAAAGACCAAATAAGGAAATGTGCGACAGAAAAGATAAGCAGCCCACACAGAAACAAAAGGATGTTTGCAACTGTGACCCCGGGAGATGTGCTTCTCACATACACAGTTATGAGTGCTACATCTGACAAAGATGGCGGTTTTACCGATAAAGGAAATGTGTTTGATGCAAAAACGTTCATGTTTTTGTTCATCTGAATCTTATGGAAATGTAGCAGAGAAAACAAACATTAGTTAGTTTAGTAATGCTTAACATACACTGACAGATATGATGTGTTCTGGTCACAAAATGATGATTATCCTGTCATATTAAAGCAGTGGTTTTTGGCTGTCAATCTTGGTGACACCGGCCTCCTTCAACTATAAATTAAAAATACTTGTAATCATGTTTTGTGTCATTTTAGTTAGTTAAATCACACATTTATTTTTTAGTTTAGTTTGATTTGTTGAAAGCTCTTAGTTA